AAAGCAGAAATTGGATTAAGAGGAGCGTTTTCTTATTAAATAATCTGAATTAGCAAAAATAAGGAAACAAGGGCATCTTATTATTCGTATTTTTGAAATCAGTCAGAAAAATTAGAAAAACAGAGACGTGCAATAAACATTTTTCAAGGTTTGAAAATGTGTTTACCTTAACTCAGTAGGAGATGTAAGAAAACTTAACAATTCGTTAGAAAATATTAAACACATTCTTCAAAAAGTTTCTTGGAAATATTTATCATAGTTTTGATATTTTCTAATATAATCTTCAAATATTCAACTCACCGGATTCAATGTGTATTTCAAAGCATATTAAAAAAAGTTGTTTTAACATTTTTTCTTCATACAGTACAAAACATGAAAACTGTACCAGAAGCAAAAAAATAAACAAAAAGTAAAATAAACAAAAACAGCTTCGCTTCTCTACACTTGTTGCACCCTTAAACGTCATCTTCAACAAAGCAGCTGCTATTGTTGCCTTGCAATATTAATGAAAGTGTCTACTGCACGCATGTACGCACGTACAGACACACTTGAATCTTAAATGGATAAGACATCAGTTACGAATCGCCGAAATACGTACCATAAATAAAGCTATGAATGACGGTCGATTGTCTGCGGGTCACTAAATAAACTCAAAATCAATAGAGAAAATCTTAATTAAGAATGCAATAAATAAAACTGTTTATTACGACATTAATAATTTTGCCGCACAATAATATAACAGTACAATCTGTGTTAATTTTTAACTATTGAATAATCTATGATAAAGAAAACTTTAGACCTCCCTCTGTTGTCTTAGAGTAAGATTGTCTTAAACAGTCTTAATTATTCCAAGAATTGTAATCCCAAATATATATGACACTAAAGGTGATCTTAAAAAATAAAATAAAAATAATAGTTTATAAAAAATTTTAACTTATTTTCATAAAAACATCAAAACTTTCTGGTAACATACCACCTTCATATCATTTTACACGTTTTTTTTTAACTACAGTGTCATCTCCTATTCTTACTACATCTCATACCCAGTCTAGCTGCCAAGTCTTAATGTCGCGAGTGTAGTTTACGCAACTTTTTGTTCTATTCAAAACAATATTCACCATTAAAGCAAATAAGACCGATGATCTTTCCATGAATTTTTCTCCCCAATACTTCTAAAGATTGCTCATCATTATCTTCAGAATCCGCATATCTACGTTAAATATGAAGATGAAGAGAATAAATGACTTGTAAAGAATTCATTGATAGAGGGTTCGGCTTCTCCACTGCTTACTAAATCTATAGTAGTACTTGGTAATGGTAGGTTGTTTCTTGATTTTGTTTCATATTTCGGAAGACTAAATAGTAATATTGTTCGACAGACACTCAAGTGAAGTCTGCTAAGCTCTAGGGTCTAGACAACTCGATGCGTGGATTATGATTCGGAGGAGAACAATTGAACACGAATTGGAGAATGCAAATTACTTTTAAAATGACCATGCCATATTTTTGCCCTTACAAAATTTGATATAAATTGTTACCAGAAACTTTGCATTAAACCTAAAAGTATGAAATCACATAGATGTTATTGATTGACTCTTATTATCAGTATATATAATGTGAATTTAAACAGTAAAGAACTGTATCCCTATACTTTTTTCTGTATACATATGTTTTGACTTGTCTACTGTAGTCTATAATATATTAGTCATTATCGTTTATGCATATAATTTATAAATATAGGATTGATTTATTTATTTAATTGTTTATACATGTACGAGTAACATATACCATAACAGTATATGGAATTTACCATTTTAAAAACCCGCGTGAAACATACCACAAAAAAATGTTTTTCTGTACTATGTTACCATTTGAGATTTAGTACATTTTTCTTTTCACAATTATACCTTTCAATGTATAATTGCGGCTACACAAAGAACACTCTCTCTGTTTTTAAAAGATGACTCAAAGAATATGATCAACTAAGTACCATATTCATCAGATATAGACCCATGTGACTCCTTTTAATGGGTCTAAGCACATGTTACCACTTCGAGGAATACATTTTAAGTTAATTGCAAGTATAAAAGAAAATTCCCTAAAAAATTTAAAGGCCATAAGTAAATCAACTTACGAAAAATGGATTGGTTCTAGCGCTGAATGCCGATGAGAAAGTTTTTCACTCTTACGTTATTGACGATATACTTTTATATATATATAGATGTAGATGAATAACAGGAAATTAGGTTCCCATTTACCATCATATTATTTTTAGATAATTATAAGTTAATTTCTCAGTTCATAATGTGTTAAGTTTTCCATTTGCTTTGTGATGTATAGTGTTGTATAATGTCGTCAGTATAATACAAAAACTTACTTTCTTTTTTTTAACCACAAATTCCACAAATTTCAATCGAATTTGATTTCTGTCTGAAATTTTTATTTCAACATTCATTAAATACTTCAACATAAATCATTGGTAATTGCAATTTCAAAGTTTCTATTGTAAAAAAAATGAATGTGTGTTTGTATATTTATATTTAAACTCATATTTACAAGAATACATACATATGAACTGAAATGCTATATTTAAATGTTTTTTAAATTAAAAGCTACATTATTCACAATAAAATATGATCTGTACTGTAAAGTGCGGAAGCGGAGCATCTTTGAATGGCTACATCATTGATTCTGTTGCTATTTCTAAAAACTGATAAGTTCAAATAACCACTTGAATATTTACACTAGTCCGTAAGCGTTGCTATATTTGTTTACTTTACAAGATTCTGTTTGCTCCATGCTTATAAACATACTCGTATATATATATATGTATACATATATATTTATATACATATTTATTACAAAATCGAATACTATACACATAATTCGAAGTAAAAGTGAACAGCTTCCAAGTAACTTAAAATGATAAGAATTGAATTATTTTTATATTCAATGTTTATATAAATAAATTTCTCAACACATAATTGTAATAATTATTTATAATCAATTGTTGAATTAAATAAGAGAAACAAAATTTATATTATAAATATTTTATACTTACATTTCAATCTTATAATTACCCAGACTCTGATCACTGACGATGGTTCATCAAGGTTTTATTCAGATAATGAGTATATATTTACAATTTTTTCGGTGTCTTAGAAAAAGTCCATTGTATATTTATGCATTAATGATTTTGATAACTCTAAATAAATCATTAATCAATATTAATATCCTTAAAATTGTCTCCGGGTATATTAATTTTTTATACTCCACTAAGAACAAAAACATCTATTTATAATGAACATACATTTTTATTTTGGCTAAATTTTGATTGAATTCACAAAATTTTTAACAGTATCTTTTTTTACCTTTTAAACCATTCATTGTCCCATGAGTTTAATTCTACACAGTGCCTGTGCTCTTCATCTTAAATTTAATCCAACCGATCGAAATATTTATACTGTACCACATTACTTTAGCAGTCAATTAATATACGTCAAAGTTGAAAAAGTATTGAACTAACTTCAACAATAATAGAAAAATAAAATTCGATTTTTGTGGATTTATATTTTTTATTAATTTTTTTAGTTTCACATATTTTAATTGATTTATAGGTTTTCTCTTTTTTTTAATTATTGGCTTGTAAAAAATACTATAAAATAATATTTTATACTTCCCTAAATAAAATTTGAAAAAAAAAATTACAAAAATATATTTTACATCTTTTTCTCATTTATTTTTCTTTATTAATTATATTCGCATTTATATTGTTTAAATATATAACTATTTCTTACTTAATTATTTTGTAACGATTTTATTTTATTTTTATATATGTATTTTATGTTTAAAACTATAGGCGTTCTTATAACTAATACTAATACTCGTAAATTAAAACCGATCGATATGTTACATACATTAAGACTGAAAAGTTTTCGGAAATTCTCATTTAAAATTCGCGCGCTGTATATTTTTCGATATTTTAAGTTTATGTAGTTTGGCAGCACTGTCCTTAATTTCTATGCCAAAAATGAGCGCGATCTGTCAGACAGTTCGTTTACGGCAGCTGTTGAAACCAGTTCACCTCAGTAGTGCGTTGCGAAATGTCTTCGACGGTCGTACGCCCGTCCTGAAGGCTTTGTACCACTCATAAACTTGAGTTTTCGATAAAACTGATTCCCCATAAGCCTTTTGTAGCATTCGCAACGATTCTGCACACGAAATTTCGTTCGAAACACAAAATTTGATGCAAACTCTTTGTTCAATATTTTTTCCATTGTTTTTTTCGCAACGCACTACTGAGGTGAACTGGTTTCAACAGCTGCCGTAAACGAACTGTCTGACAGATCGCGCTCATTTTTGGCATAGTAATTGTCATGAATTCTGCCAAACTACATACTTAAAATATCGAAAAATATACAGCGCGCGAATTTTAAATGAGAATTTCCGAAAACTTTTCGGTCTTAATGTATAAAAATACTTATTTCAAAATTAATTATATAATTTATTAATTTATTTTAATTTTTTTATATTTAATAGCTAATGTTTGTTTATTTTTAGTTTTTGAAATTATCTTTATAACTTCATTACATATTTCATATTCATATATATTTCTTTAATAAAATATTTACTAATGCAAAAAAAATAAAATAAAAAATAATTAAAAATTAAAACTAAAAATTATTAAACTAAAAATTAAATATCTGTCTTTATTACATTACTTTTCTTAACTTAAACTTAAATTATGGGATTTTTAAACTCTTTTTAACAAAAAAAATTTATAATTTTTTTGATTTACATTTCATTATTGTTAATATTAACGGAAATATGTTTCATATCTGGCCTTTCTTTTCGAAAGTAATTTAAATAAATGCTTTTTAGTTTTTAATAAATTCACCGATTAATTTAATTTCGTTCTTCTTATATATGTATATTATTTTTGTCTTGAAACAAGTTTCAAATATATCATAATAATATCTATATTTTATCAAAAAACATAGTTAATGATGTAATATTTGTTCGTAATTTATTTGTTTAGTTTTTACACGTATTTTCAAAATTATAACAATCGATATAACTTTTCACACTCTTAAATGTAAATGTTTTATAAATTAAAGCGCCATAAAGCGACATGACAGCGTAAAGTCTTTTAAGTCCATTTATTTATAGATATGTTAATATGCGTATGTATATATACACGAATGAATGTTAAACTAATTTACTTAAATGCGCCATCCTTGATCATCATCTACATTAGAATCTGTATCGGATGGTTCTTCACCGTACATATCAGCTAATTTACGGAATCGTGGTCCGAAATTTGATAAATAATCAAAATTGAGATCTCCGTCATCAGTACATGACGCTAAACTGGATAAGCTACCATCAGAATTACCATCGCCTTCATACGCATAATGTCGTACATCATCAACGGGATAAGCACCCGATTCTCTATCGCAATTTTCTTTTTTATCCCCTAAGAAACCACCGATATCTGGAATTTCACTTGGATCTCGCATACCTTGTAGTACATGAGGATCTTTGTACAATTTTTCCTCATAGAACGGTTGAGTGCGTAATACATTTAGATCATAATCGGTATCGCGTTCACCACCACCTTCATCTTCGTAATTTATAATCGTTTCTCGTATATCATCAATATCTTTTTCATGCCAACCGTTCTTTTGTTTCTTTTGCACAACAACAGCTAATAATATAATAAGAAGAAGCAAAACACATGATATAATCGCAATAATGAAATTACGATCTATACCGAAGCTAACAGCGACAGCTACAGCACGTTGGCAACCCGAATCAATATTACGGGATACTGATGGCGCTCCTAAGTTATATGTTTGTTCATTAATTGTTAAATTTCGTATACAACCGAAAAAGCCTTGCGTACTGGGTATATAAGTCCAATTGAGCTGACGACCTAATTGTAAAAGATTTACTGGTGTTCCACCTAACTGTAATGGTGCGTTAACGTTAAGAAATTCGTTCAGACCTTGTGGTGCGCCTAAACTCATACAAGTCGATAATCTACAATTATCTACAGTCATTTCAATACTTGTTTTTTGTAGTATTATGTCCAATTGGTACGATTTACCAGCTTGTAACTGTATATGTCGATGTTCAATACGTACACCGCCAGAACCATAATCGACTGTTAAAACTGGATAACCTTTGACTAGTTCAAGTGCCAAGAAATCAGTCAACGGAAGTAATGAATTATAGTTTAACGGACCAATGTACATTACAAGGCCATGATCTGTTTGCGGTGCAATTTCCAAACTTATTCTTGTGTTATCACAAGCTGAAATCGGTTCATAGAAAGCATAACCATTTCCATAGAATCCTACAGAGACAAGTTCACAGTGGGGACCCGAAAATCCTTCAATACAATCGCAAGCATCGTCTTCTCCTACTTTCGGCGTGCCTCCATTAAGACAATAATTTCTAATTCTTGATTCGCATACGCAGGCCGCCTCTATGAATGCATTAACTCCTACAAAAGATGTGGTATTCGAGTATATAACGTAAGCAACTGATGATTTTTGTAAAATATTCATGCATGAAGACTCGCATTTATATTTTTCTATTAAACATTCATCAATGGGCACCATTTGGATTTTTAAACCCAGATCATTCTCTAGTTTTTGCTGATTTTGAGCAACCATACCATTGAGTTTTTCTGGTGCATAATAAGGAGATCCATGAGCAGAAAAACGTACATCTAAAGTGTTATTAATATTTTCCAAAACAGTAAAAACATCGACATTCGAAACAGATATGTTAAATAGCTTAGCAATAGAATATTGTAATCTATCTTTAAGCGATAATGAATCATCAGCATGAGCATCGCGTGGTATGCTTATAAAATCTTCTTTTGTTATATTGAAAAAGCGTATACTACCACTTTTATCAACAGCTTCCTCTGGAAGTTCTCTAACCACAATTGTCACATCAGCATCAACGGAGTGGTATGGAATAAAAGTAGATTCTTCTGTAACTACAAATTCTAGCATATATTCTCCCTCCTGTGTTCCTTGTAACATAGTTATCATACCAGAACTGGGATTTAGTCGAAAATTATCATGTGGTATTCCATTTTTCCATTGGAATTGCTTATCATCCAAATCCCAATCATCAGGATCATCGACAAAAACTCGTCCAACATCAGTATCAGGTGCCTCACCCTTATAATTATAAATGAAAATACGTGAGGAGCCCTCAGTCATAGCGTTGTCATTCACGTCACCAATTATGAGATGTAGTATGCTTACTGCACTTTGTCTCGGTTGTCCGGAGTCACTGATACGTATTGGTATGAAGTATTCTTTCTGTTGTTCGCGATCGAATTGTACATTAGCAAAGAGGTAATCATTGTCAATACTAAATTTGGTTTTAATATCTGCCGAAGCATCACTATCAATACCATAAGTAAATGGTGGACCATTCTGAACCTCATCGTAATCATTCGCTTGCAACTGTACCACCTGTCCAGGATTACGATTTTCCTGCCATATAACAGGCATTTTATTAACTAAGAAAGGCGCATTATCATTTATATCTTGTAGAGAAATTGTAACTGGTGTCACAGATTTAAGGCCATTACCATCTGCATCAACAGCAGTTATCAATACTTGCCAATTTTTGTGTCCATCTGGTAAATCACGATCCAATGGGTGAATTAGTTTCAAACAACCATTATTATCAATACTTAAGAATTTCTTCTGTTCTTCCACGACAAGAAAATATTTTATATGTTGATCAGCAGTTCGATCTTTTATATCTGGATCATATGCTTCTATATTAACTATACAATGATCAAAAACTGCTTCCTCTTGTATTTTATATATATTTTTCTTATAATCTTCCTTAAACATTGGTGGATTATCATTAACATCTTCAATTGTTATAGTTACCGTAGCAAAATCATCGTAAATACCATCAAAAGCCCGTATCTTAAGTACATATTCAGTTATATTCTCATAATCCAATCGTTGATTTACTGAGATACTACCGGTCTTTTCCTCAATTTTAAAAGCATTACCTACGTTACCGCTTTCAATAGTGTAGACAATTTGAGATGCATTATCTTCATCCTCCGCTGTTACTTCGACTACAATGTGATTAATATTAGAATCTTCAGGTAATTTTTCAGCTACGTACTCAGACCTTTGAAAATGTGGTTTATGATCGTTTTTATCAGCAATATCTATGGTAAACACCTGTTGGCCACGATTTGGTTCCCCATTATTAAATAAACTAGAAGGAGAGTTATCACTAGCAATAACTTTAATATTATAAAAATCGCGTTCCTCCCGATCAAAAGTAGTCAAAGCGGTTATATTACCAGTGTTGGAATCAATTGCAAAATATTCTTTATAATCTCCAAGCTCAAATGTTACAATATTATTAGCTGAGGTTCCGTCCATATCAAATGCACGCACCTGCATAACAGGCGTACCAGGCGGTTCATTTTCTAAAATAGTGCCTTTATTTACTTCGAACAAAAAGTATGGTATATTATCATTTACATCTTCAACTTTTATCTTTATTACGTGTTCGGTTACAAGATCAAATTTATTCTTAACACTCATAGTCAGCGTATAATCAGTTATTGCTTCGTAGTCTAAAGACTTGCCCAGACTAATGGTAACACTGTTGCCAATTTGGTTGAACACAAATGTCTTTCTACTATTTGTTTGCTCGGTTCGACCAGTTATCAGTTCAAAAGTAACCTCCGGTTTATCAGGTATATTTGAAACTGCCTGCAGTGTCACTATTGGTGTTGAATAATCGTTATAGTCTTCTTTTAAATATATTGGTTCTTCAATTGGGTTAATGAAAGATGGTGGTTTCTTCGATGATTCCACTACCTTTATTTTAACTATTGTTTGTGCATCTTGTGGTATCTCTGGAACAACATTATAGGCGCGAACAGTAATTGTGTAATGTTTTCCAGGTCGTTTATCGATGGGATGATTTAAATAAATAATACCTGCTACTTTGTCGATTTTAAAGTACTTATAATCGCGTTCAGGCAAAATTTGATATTCAATAGCACTGTTTATGCCATCATCAAGATCAGTAGCAGTAATACGCACCACTACCGTATCAGGCTGAAATAGAGTATAAAAACAAAAAATAATAGTTGAAGACGGTTTAGAGTATATATTTCTAAAAAATAATTAAGATATTTGTTTATTAGTTAGTTTACTTATTAATTTTGCAATATATTTTAATTATTTCAGAAGGTTTTTACTTAAACTAAATTTTAATACAATAAAATAATTAAAAAAACATAAATTTTGGTGTTTTAACTTAATTACTTCGTTATTTTATTTTTTTATTGTGAGTAATGAAAAATAATACTAATAAAAATAATAATAAATATATTAAAAATAAATTCGAGATTTATCGGTTGAAGCCTCATTGACCAAAAATTAGAGCATGCACAGGAGAAAGGACATTTAAGCAACTGTTTCTGTACTAGTATTTTTTATATATAGCTTTACACACCTTAATATTGATTACATTTTTCATAATAATTTAATATATATAAAATTTTCAAATAGTTCCTTATGAAGAAATGAGTAAGTTAATCGTAGAAAGAACGTAGTTTTTTATAATTATAACTCAGTTTAATCACTGGATTCTTAACTCGGCATTCTGGTAATAAATCAAGCACGCTGATAGGTCCAGATACTATGAAATATAGAATAAAATAAATTCCCTCTCTTATCTACTTGGTCTTTGTGACTGACAGGGTCAGACCAATATCTCCATACGATTTCCAATGAATCATACAATGTTTAGGATATTAAATCAAGAGATTCAAGACTACTGCTTAATGTGTTGCTAATGAGACTATATATCCAGGTATAGCACTATAGATTTCAAAAATCGTTATTTACATTATTCCTGTTAATAATAAGTATACTACATTTTTTATTATTTTAAGAGAACAGAAAAGAAATAAAATCGGATGTAAATATACCAGAGTTGAAAATTCTTGTTACAGAATTTAAAACGCTATGCTCAACTTAGGGTTAGTTTAGCTATGTAGATCACTTCATTCTTAGCTCTGCATTAAATTTTATATTTACCATAATTCACACAGTAAACCAGCAGAAGTCTACATATACTTAAGTTAAAAACCATGCTTTTTTGGAAATCGTGTGACCATAAACAAAGTTCCAATCTGAAAATATTGATATAAGCTCGAGAACTGTGTAAGTACTGAGAACCCCACTTAAGATACACAAAGTTGAGTCAAAGATGGGCAATGAAGTAGTAAGTACTATATTAATTAAAAAACTGAACTGTCTAAATAATAAAGATTCAGACATCATTGCGGCTTTTTTCAGAAGGTGCTTACTACTGTTCAAGAACTTATCTTAACGTAGATAATATTGCCAATAAACTATCTCATATCTCTAATTTAGATGTTTACATAGTTCAATATTTATCTTTCTTGAGTTCCAAAATATGCAGACATTATTGGGAACTGTAAACCTTGTGAGATAGTACAGCGTGCTACTGTAGAATAGTTCTCGAGAATTCTGAAAAATATTTAATATGTGTAGTAAACTCAAATCATAGTTTATGACAATATAAGCTTTGTCAATGAACTGTATGGTGCTTCTCTAATAAATTTTTTATGTTATACTATAATATAACATAATCTAGTTTGTCTTACTAAAATGTTTGATTTTATATGTATAGCAATAAACCTTTCAAATTAAGAAAAATTGACTTCCAACCTAACATAATATAATATTAGGTAGCAATTATATTTGCTAATTACTTATTAAGTGAGTTATGATAAAAAAATATTTCAAATTAAAACAACTACAAAATATTTTAAATTTCAAGAAGTATAAATATGATTTATATAATATATACTTTATGTCAATTCATATTTTATAAACTTCTATTTTAAAATTATATTAAAGTTTTAAAACACAAAATTTGAAATATCTGATAAACAAAAATCTTGATTGACAATAATATTTAATGGATTGTGTAGGTGTAGTTAAAAATTACTATAAAAGTTTAGAGATTCATATAAAGATTGTAGAAATGTTAATAGAACAATTATTACTAAAAGCATCTCTAGAAAATGAATATTTTGAGTATTTTCAAAAAAAAAAACAATTTATTTAAAATTAGATGTTTGCTTACTATTCGATATATTTGTAATGTTGTTAAAATAAAAAATTATCTTAAACAATAATCTAACTCATCTTAATAGGAGATTGAGGTAATCATTTATTTCACTTTCTAAAATCAGTCTTGACAGTATAGAAGGTTAGGACAACCTAACCTAAATATTGTGATTCTTAATGACATAAAACTAATTTTTGTTAGAAACCTTTCATATGTACTGAAATAAATTATTTCAACTTAAACTATAGATGCGTACATATTAAATTTCAATGAGATTATCTAACAAAATCTAAAATCTTTAGTGAGAAATACCAACTTATATTAGGAACGTTTGATGTGTTTTAGAATAGTCATTTTAATACATATACCTTGAAGTAAAAAACAATATCATCAATATATATTTATTAATTGCTAAACAAAATTAGCTTCTTCATATCCAAACAACACATAGGACTAATTAACTTCAATATATAATATCAACCTTAAGATTCTACATTCAACACAAGATCTCTAGATCTTTAAGAAGAAGATCTCTAGAAATTTTTTAATTTGCTTTATTTAAGTATTTGTTCATGTCTTTATTGTATATAAATTAAATAATAATTAACCACAAGGCATTGAAAAATTTATTTTTAAAATTTAAGAACTTTCGATCTTGGAGAACAAAATGTATAAATAAATCATTCCCAAAATAAAAAAACAATCTTAATCAAAGTCCTTACAAAAACAAAACTTTTTAGTATCCTTTTACAGGTTTTTAATATTGTGTATAATTAAAATTAAGTTTAGAAACTATTTTCGATTTTGGTATTATAATTTATTATAATAAAAGGTTGTGGTAGGATATGAGTTATAAATTTATTTCTTCATTATTTTTATATATTATAAATCAAAAAGGAAATTATCAGATGTTTTTACATATTCTACAATTTTACATATACTATAACCTATTGTAGTTTTTCAGAAAGTTATTATCATTGATTTAGCTAACTCAAGTAACAAAATAACGGATTATAGAAAGAGATATATAATAGAAAAGAGAAAGAAAACTGAATCAATCAACCTTGCCGGTTAATTAAGTTTAATTTTAAGTTTTAGTTTAAAAAGTTTAAGTTTAAAAAAACTTAAAATTTATTATTTCAAATTTCATAAAAAAAAATATGTATTTATTATCTATAATTTAACATAGTCTTTATGAATCAATCGACATTATGAATCAACTAAACTTCTTTTACAAGTAAAAAGTAGTTAAATTTGTTAAAAATATTTTATATAATATAAAAAGATTTTCTATATATATTTATATAGATCTATATATTTTATACTTTAGATATATATAAATAATATTATGAAACGGTTGATATTAGCTTATATATTATTATAAATCTAGTTATATGATTATGTGAACAATTGCCTCTGCTGTTGCCCAAATTCCAATATTTAAAAAACACATTTCTGTAATCTCGTTTCAAATCATATATAGTAATTATTTTAAATATTTCACAATCGGAAAAACTATTTACTGTAACGCGGTAGGTTTCAGATGGTACAATAAACTAAACTAATTTCTAAGGTGACAAACTGTAAACCGCGAAATTTAAGGTTTTCCAAGAGAGGAAGCCAAAGGAACACTAAGCCAACTAATCTAAGTGAAAATGGAAAATAGCATACAATGTAAAAATATGCAAAGGAAAGGTTGATAACATATAAGCATGAACTCTAAGTATAAAAATTGATGAATTTATTTTTAATACTAGAAATAATTTTAAACTATTATAATACAGTGCTGCGCAAAAGTTTGAGACCACCTCAGTATTTTCCAATACAACTTACGAGAATGTTTTAACTAAATAAATTAATTTTTCAAATAAAGTATACAAAATTAAAACAAAATAAATTAAATGTTCTTCATTATATCAATTATTTCTTATATTGAAATATATTTAAAATAAAAAAACAACTGCGCATAAATTTAAGTCCATTAAGTCCATAAGGCAGAATTTTAAATTCTGTGCGGAATTGATGAAAACGAATTATAGAGACCATTAATGGAAATATTTGTTCATTGCTCCAAAAGATTTACTTTAAGATCATTCATTGATATGGAATGTTTTCTTGCTTTTACCTATACGTGTTCAATTTAATTAAGAAAAGACATGTGTGGACACAATGCGTTTATAAATAAGTTTTTGATTATTCTCTTCAGGTTATGTCAATTGTAATAACAATTGTAAAATCAATATAATACATAAAATTTCTAATAAAGATTTAGTTGCATGCTTTATTAAAAAACGAAATGTTATATTAAAATTAGATAGAAAATATGTTCGGTTTCACGTTAGAATAAGTAACTCTATTTAAATGAATGGCCATTTAAAGTATATGAAAATTATAATTTTGCAAAAGGAATATAAGTATGTGTACATTATAGTGTATTCCTTTTCCAAATTTATAATTTTCATGTACTTTGAATTATCATCTTAGTCTCTATCTGGAGCTGCAAACAGAGTAGATTTTCTGACTGACATTAATATTTTATATATTTATATATTATATATTTATATATTATATATTTATATATTATGTATTTATATATTATATATAGATATTATATATATATATTAATATATTTTAATTTGTTATTATGATAGAACAACCGTTTGCATCGTTTTTCATTGAAAATATTATATACTAAATTGATAAAGATTTGAAGGCCTTAAAATTTGTGTTATGATTAGTTTTTAAGTAGGTGCTTATGTTAATTAAAGATTATAACCTGAAGAAGTAGAGAATAGACATTAACCTAATTATGTGCGCATATATTTCTTTTTTAATCAAAATGATCATTTTTAGGCAAAAAACATCTGGAAAAGTGGACAAATATTTCCAGTAATGCTCTCCATAATTTTTTTTTATCGAATTCAAGCGGATTTCAATGCTGCATTAAAACTAAAGATCTTATTATTAAGAAGAATACCTACATTTACTTTAATAGATGTTAATATAAAAAACAATTGATATAAAAAGAAAAATTTAAGTTATATCACTTTAATTTTCTTTATTTGAAAAATTAATTCAAAAATATAAATAATTTTCGTACTTTGTATAATTTTCCTTTAAAATTAGTGCATAGGAAAATTTTTGAGATAATCTTGAACTATAATACTATATATTGCAATTTAACATAAAATATATAACAAATTTTATAAAATTTAATTTATTAAACTAATTATAATTAAATACATATACTTTACTTAATTATGGAAATAAATTATCTATAAATATAGCAATTTAACACCTATACCACCAAATCGCAGTAATCCTGGGTCCACGAATTTGGTAAATATATGTGTGGTAATTACTTAATTAAGTTTTGCATATCAGCAATATGCTTACAATGTACTTACTTGTGCATCTTCTGACATATTCTCATCATATACTCCTTTATTAAAAACCGGTGGGTTATCATTTATATCTAAAATGGTAACTTGAAATGTACAAACATCGTCCAATGCAGGATGTCCATTATCAGTTGCTCGTACTGTAACATATACAGCTTTTTCACGTATAGGTTCATCACGATCAAATGTGTGCGCTGTAGTAATGACGCCGGTTTGAGAATTTATAAAAAATTTGGGACGTTCCGAAAACGATTGTACAACACTGTATTTGATTTCTTGTCCTGGATCAGGATCTTCAGCTAGTACTTGTATGACATATGTGTTTTCTGGTTGTTCTTCTTTCACTGATGGTTTATATGTGGCACAATTCTTGAAAGCTGGTTTACGATTATCAACCGAAAAAGCTTCATTCAAATTCGCGCTGCTCGTTTGTGAGGCACTGTTATGACCAAAATAAACCGCAGAATTACCGGAACGCGCGGATGGTAACGAACTATGTAACGAACTAACTGTATCAGGAGAGCGACGTAATCGAACACTTTTAGATGTATCCGTTATATTTTTAAAATTAATGTCATCTATTAATTGATTGTGAAAATGATGCAGGTGATTTTTTGAATTTGTCGTGGCATATACAATCGCTGGTATATGTGATAATGTGAAAATCGTTAATGTCAGCAGCATTAATTTGTGAGTGCATTTTCGTTTCTGCAGCTTTATTGAAGGCATTTTGTAGCATTACACTAGAAAAAAAAATGGATACAAAATTATGTTATTAACATTTTTTTTAATTAGTTTATTTTAGCAATTTTTAAAGTTAATTTATTGATAAACTAATTTTATAACTTTTTGATTATCTTAATTTCTGAATTTCTTAAAACAACCCTGGTTTGATGATCCTTTAAAGGTATAAAAACTATTGTTACTTTTATAGTATTTAAAATTTAATAATTCAAATACTGCTGACCCGTTGAAAAAATATTTTTATAATTTTAAATTGAAAAATAGGGGAACTACAAAGAATTGTTATGAAATTAACAACTCTGATTTTTAAAATTTTTTTATTTAAAATATAAGTAATTGTTTAATGAAGAAGCGATTCCTGAAGACAAATAACATCACACATCCACTTGAAAAGATTAATACATTTAAACTTCTCATCTAAAAAAAACGTACTTCTTCATTAATCAATTTGTTAATAACCTTTAAAAAAAAAAAAACAAGAAATATGCAGAAATTTTTAAAAACAAGACTCATCAAAAAGTTTAATATAATTTTATGAATCACCCAGTATTTTTACCTTTTTCTTTTTTGCGTACGTTTATTGTAGTTTGAGAGTTATTAAGCGATCGCCGGTTTTTTTAGCGTTTGCACGTTTCTACTATATTTTACCAACTTTTTTTATTTGAATTTCATGTTAATTTCGTTTGGTAATTTTTAGTTTTATTTTATATTAATTCAAGTTTTTGTCAACGTCAGCGGAATCCACTACGTAACTTTGGCACTATAACGTTTATTTATAATTGTTATTGTTAGTGCTGACGTCGTTTTTCATTACTTGTTGTTGTTAGATATGTTATTGCAAACTTTTGCATTTTCATGGAAACCATGGCACACACTCATAGGCACTCATATATACACATATGCATATATTATCGTTTATCTTTTTCCAATTTCTTATAAATTGAAATTTACGTTTTAAATGAGAAATGCACAAAAAGGTATTATCTTATTTATCACTTATTCTCACTCTATCTTTTCTGATTTGTTTGCACGTTATTTCATTTTTTCGTTATTCTCTTGTTTTTGTAAATTTTCTTTTTGTTATATTTCCATTTTAAACAGGTAAATCCAGGTAAAAATAGTGGTTATGAACACTAATACAATAAATTATAACACCACTACCACTACTGGATACCATATCCACAGCCATATATATATATATATATATATGCTTACATAGATAATGTATGTTACCAATAAAATATGGTAACAAAGAGGAATTCCAAAGACAATGGACGGCGTCACTACGGCAAGCGAATTTTAACGGACAATTTTTTCGTTTAAAATATTTTTAAATTCCTTATTTAATTTTTACTGTTGCATTACATTTCATATATACCGAAACGTTGCACTTGCGCACTATTAACCTTATATTTTGGATTCTATTAACAATGGTAAAAATCTTGTTTTCAATATTACCATTTCAAAATATTTAAATCTGAATTTGTTTATAGTCACTAAATGCACTAATCTTCTTAAGAGAATAGAATTCGATCACCCGCTCGCACAGCAAAACCAACCAACGCAACCAATCGACAAATTCGAACTAAATCAACATGTTGGAGAAACAAAAAACCAGTTTTCGTAATGTAAATGTATGCACACAACAACATTTTTTTTTGAGTTTTTACTCTTCGACAAGAGTATTAAGAGAACGAAATTAATATGCAGGGTGTTTCATTGGGAAATACAAAACAACATACTACATATTAGAATTGATTTTATTACAATATAAAACTTATTGAAATATTGATTAATAATATTGTTTATTATATAATTATAAGACAGCAATATATATATATATATATAATGTTCAGAAATAGTTGGCATAAAATTATTTTTATAATAGTTCTACATGAAACTTAATGTTATTTTTTAATTGATAAATTATTAATTCAAGTAACAAAAACCAAATTATAAAATATTTTAAAAATTCATTATATATTATTTTAATTAATTGAATTTTTAGCTGACCACACAGATGTTTCGAGTATTACCAAATACCCATCATCAGTGGTATTGGAAATATTCTTGTATTTCATTTTGCGTAAATAATTTTTTGAGACTGCAAGTACCAGGAATAGAACTCGTGTCCTGCCAAATTTGAAGTTCAGAGTCAGCGCTCCTTAACAAACTGACCCAAGTCGTACTTGACTTTTATGTTCGAATATATTTCTAAAATTTTGTTAATTGGCTGTGAAAGTTTATTAACAAATTCACTTGTTGTGTTTATATTAGAACGAATTAACAAACCAGCTATAGAATATTTAAATTAATTAATTATATTTTTATTTTTAATTGTTAAATTTCAATACTATTATGTTTGTAGAGGCAATATTTATTGCATGATTTATAAATTCTTTCTTATATATAGAACCTAATCTAGGAACGTAATAGAACGTAAGTCATACTAATGTTATTCCACGAGTATATTCATAAAATATTTTAAGATATATTAACATTTAATCAATAATTACTCGATATCCGTGTTTGCGGTAAGTCAAATCCATTGATTTGATTTTTATACATTTTGTAAAAACATATACAAGTTGAAAAGAACTCTATTATGCCATATTAAATCCATAAAAATGTTTAGTGCTACTGGACCCTAATTCATCCTTCAGCATAGTTAGAATAAGCCATGAATGAAATAATTCTTTATAAAGCAATACTTGAACCAGTCTGGGACGAACGGGTTAGAACTTTGACGAACAGCCAGTAATTTAAATTTAAAAATTCTGCAAAAATATCAATCATAGCTTATGGTAATTTATAATATCTTATGGTGTGTAACCAACACATATCGAAAGACTGAAATCTTTCGATGCAATAGTTAGTGCCCACGCTTCTACACTATAAAACAATGATGAAAAAAAGTATCATTTCAGCATTCGTATTCTGAATGATAAAGAATCTTTATCTTTATTAAAGATAGCGTTTCGGAGCAAAACCATTTTTTCATCTGTATAAAAGCGATACTTGCCTTTTCAACGCATACGTATTTATAATGGTCCCATTGACATCATAGATATGTTGACCTTTTTTATATCTAAACCATTTGCTGTCAGTAGTGTCATTTTTATATGTCTATTGCTTATCATTATAAATTTTGCGTTACTGCAATTTAATTTTAAGCTATATAATAACATAATATAAATTATTCCATAATCTCTCTAACAAATCGGCAATAAGCACTGTTTCATTGGTGTATCTCAAGTTGCAAATAAGCATTAATTTACCATAATTATAATTCTCATTCATTGCATCAATCTAAAAATAATGTTTATTGTTTATATTTATTTTGTATATAATATATTAAATAACGTATTAAACGTAATATTATCAAAAATAATAAGACAGTACTAAAAAATAAAACTTTACAACACTGTATAGGAGATAGTTGTCATTTTAATAAAAATTGTTTGATTTGTTTTTTAAGTTGATATTCAAGGTGTTGGTTTACATTTATTAAACAATGTCGGAATTGGAAAAAACGGAATTAACAACAGCGCAAAAATGTCGCATGGAACGAAATCGGGCTAAAGCATTAAATATACGTCAAACAAAATTAGTTTGCCATCCATATGCAGCTGGAAAAAGGTATATACATAATTTATATCTGAAATATATACATAATATGTTTAAAATAATAATCCAAATCATAATAATCATAGCAATTGCCCTGAATCATCAATTATAAAGGTACAAGGTACAAAATATGTCGATAGTGGTGGCGGTTTTCTAATTGAAGAAACACACGATAAACTGAACGAAAATGTGCCGGACACAGAAAAGAAAAATCAGGAAGTTGAAACTATAAACATTCCAATTACATACCAGGAATGCATTGAATGTGGAGACCAATTTGTTGATTCCTTCTTATACAACAACTTTCAATATTCCGTTTGCGACAAGTGTCGCGATCCCGATGAACGTCATAGTCTAATAACTCGTACCGAAGCTAAAGCTGAGTATTTATTAAAAGATTGTGACTTTGATAGGCGGGAACCGATTTTACGTTTTATTAGCCGAAAGAATCCGCACAACGTACGCTGGGGTATTATCTAATATAATACTTTATTGAAACGTTGAATAAATTAATTATCATTTTAGGTGAAATGAAACTTTATTTGCATCTTCAAGTGCAACAGCGTGCTATGGAAATTTGGGGTACTGAAGAAGAACTTATGCGCCAGCATGAAAATCGAGAAGAAAAGCGAGAAGTAAGCAAAGTACGAAAATATAACAAACAAATGAAAAAGTTACGTATGGAAATTAGAAGTTCATTGTATACTAAGGACACAAAAGTAAACCATGAGCATGAATATGGTCCAGAAACGTATAATGAAGAAGATGATAATTATACTCGCTCCTGTACCATATGTCCTTTTGTACAAACATATGAAAAAATGTAAATGTAAATGAAACTACTAGAATACTAAGATTTTCATTTCGATTAATCCAGAATAATATACTTTCGATATTGATTGCTGATAATTTTATAATATATTTTTTACTACAACGATTATGTTATTATAATTATAATTCTCTGATGTTAACAAATAGTTAAGTTATTAAGTCTTCAAGAAATATACACATACTCATGCAGTTTATTATTATATTCATTTCAATAATTTTGTTTTTTTTTAACTGTATTAAATAAAAAAACTTTTAAGGAAGTTCGGATTTATTTAAGTATTCAAATAGTATACGTGAAATATTGGATTGCACATGCCAATTTTTAGGAATTTTAGCTCAAGAATGATTAATCAGCATGTGTAGTACTAAGCTAGTAATAAATTTTATGTTATTTTTTTTCCCCAAAAATGTATGAAGTCTGTTTATTTAATAAATATGTATTTAAAAACGCTGAAACTATAAGTTATAACAACTCTAAGACCACTGATGATGGGTATTTGGAAATCGAACTCGAAGCTGTATAAAAAAACCCAATTAATTAAATAAATAAAGTTTTATTGTTATAGTTTACTACTGTTCAAAATACCTCACTATTGAAAACAATAGTTTATATCAGGGCTGTCCAAAGTACGGCCCGCGACATTATTTACTACAATTACGTAAATTTTCTTTATTTTAATCTACTACAATTACGTAAATTTTCTTTTAGTGTACTGGTAAAAAATTATTTTATTTTAATGGTATACTAAATAAATTAATTTAAATTGATAAATAAATAAAACTAAATTTAACATTATAATGGTATTTTCATTTTTATCGAAAACAAGTGTGAACGTATTTATTTGTTTCTGCGGCCCTCCAATCTGTACAGTGATATGTATTGGCCAGCGATGACATCTGATCTGGACAGCCCAGATTTATATTAAGAGTTCAGTTTCTTTCGTCAAAACATATGTTAAAAATCATTCAATATATATATGATATTATATTATAACAATATAATATATATGCTTACGTTATATATTTATTAAAAAATGTTTGGGTGTTGTGATTTTAATATTTTAAAATTATATATAAAAATTAGTTACAGGTAAGTGATAACACATATATCATTTATGTATTTTATATATATGTATGTTAAGCAAAGAATAGATATTCTTTGGTGTTATGTATGATTTTGTCATAACACCACTAATTAAAAATAATTTTGTGTTGAACAAAAATTTCAATGAAGTATTATTTGAAGCGATATGGCAACGCCATATGCACCAAATGAAAAAAGTAAATGAAGTTTGTAGTCGTGAACATAAAGTGCCAGAGCAGTTCATATATGTTTTGCAATTAAAATAGCGCACAACAAATAATAAAAATATAAAAGACTGAATTAAATTTTATAATAAGCCTACTTGATTACAAAACGAAATTTTGTATAAAAAGCAATTGGTGGGTGTTGGTTAGGAGCATTTATATTGTTTGATTAGACAGTGATCTCATTTTTGCAATGTGATGAAGCCGACATTCTACGTTAAAATATAAGATTTATTAAATTATAAATTGCTATTGAAAATTTTGGTTCAATATTAATGCTGCTTTTGAAGCTAGAGTAAAATCAAAGTAAAATATTTAATTAAATTGTATGTACAAACAATGAAAAAGTTTTGTTGTTTTTGAGATATCAATCACTGTCTCTTTTTCACTTTTTAATGCAAGTGAATCATAATGTGTTAAATCTATTACAACGAAGTCGATAGTGCCTCTTGTTTTTTGATTATCTCTGCAAAATTAAAATACTTTATTTTGTAGCAAAGAGAGTATTTATAAGAAATATAAAACGTTTTCTTTATTTCCAGAATATATATTAGTAAAACACTACTAATTATTTAAAAAAAAGAACTTTGTTGAAATGGAGCAAACACAAATAAGTGATGCCGAAAAGGTGAGGATCGTTTCAGATTTTATTCTACACGCACCTCCAGGAGAGTTTAATGAAGTGTTCAATGATGTACGTGAATTGCTGAAGAATGATGCACTTCTCAAAGAAGGTGCAAGCCATGCGTTTGCTCAATACAATAAAGATCAACTAACACCAGTTCGTATTGAGGGCAGTGAGCATAATGCCGTAATATCAGAATTCAATGATTTAGGTGAGTGCAGATAACATACATAAGTGGTTTAAAATTTACAGTACAATATTTTGCTTAAAATGGGCATAAAAATAAACCACTTGATTCAGCACCTATTTTACATATATACCATATTCAGATATAGTTCTCATACGAATAATGCTTAACAGTTTTTATCAGTAAAGTGAATCGTTATCAATTCAATTTATTATATTTATTTTTTTATTTGCTGTTCTTTTTTTTGGCATGGTTTTTTTAATTTCAGACTATAATACCTCTTGCTAAAGAATTTAAGATATTTATTTATACAAATATTCGTTTTGATAGTAAATTTATATATAATAATATTTATAGGAGGGAGTCGTTTCTATGATCCACGAACGAAACAAACATTTAAGTATGACCATTTGCGTAAGGAAGCAAGTGATTATCAAGATGTGGAATCTGATGCAACAGCAGAACCTTGGCGTGCTGCTTTGGATATTGAAGCTTTGGCTTATACTGCCAGTCACTATAGACATGGGGTACTTATTGTTTTTATCAAATTTATATAAAATAATTTTTTGATTTTTCGTTCGTATATTGTAGGTATGTTCTGTTTACAGCAAAACTCAAGCTAACCAAATTACATTAACTATATGCATTGAAGACCATCAGTTTCAACCCAAGAATTATTGGAATGGTCGTTGGCGTTCACAGTGGCACGTTACATTTCCATCTGGTGGTGGTAGCGCAGAACTAAAAGGTGTACTTAAAGTGCAGGTTAGTATTGTCCATTCATTAGAGATAGATAGGAATGTTATAGCACACATGCATAGAAATATTTCAAAATATTATATTTTTAGGTACACTATTATGAAGATGGCAATGTACAATTAGTATCATCTAAGGAATGTCGAGAATCAGTACTTGCCAATAATGAACAACAAATGGCCAAAGAAGTAATTCGCCTTATAGAAGAAGCTGAAAATGAATATCAACTGGCCATATCAGAAAATTATCAGACTATGTCAGATACAACATTCAAAGCTATGCGTCGTCAACTCCCAATTACAAGAACCAAAATAGATTGGGGTAAAATTGTTTCATATAGCATTGGTAAAGAATTGAAAACGCAATAAGAGCTAGAGGAAGCGGAGGCGGAACCGCAACCTATGAAGAGACCGACTAGTCTTCCTCTGGCTATTGATTATAAAAGAGATGTAAAAAGTAAAAATTAGAGAGAAACGATAAATAATTTTAAAACTATTAGCACTTTGAAGTTTGCTATTAAATGGAAATAATTTTTTGGAAAAAATTATTGCTTTGTTCAATATAACAAAATTTGGAAACAATTTTCATTTAAACATTATAATCAAAAATTAATATAGCCTAGTAAAACAAATTTATTTTACTTTTTAAACTAGAACTTAATGATTTTTTTCGTTGTTACAATATTTATATCGTTTTACTTTACATACTTGCGTGGGTGAAAAAAAGATATGAGAAATTTAAACCCTATAATAATGTTATAATATGAAACGTTATTAACATTTATATTAATAAATACTATAAATATTTTACAAGTTTTTATTTTAGACTTTTGAATTTTATTACACCACTAAAAGATTATCATATATAACAAGGATTTTAATAAGACTTAGTTTTCACACACCTATACATAATATATATTATCTTTTAAATATCTATTATCTTTATAGGAACGTAAAAATATAACGTCAATTTAATGAAATTGTTGAAAATTCTATTAACATAAAATTTTTTTATCAGTTTTTGAACTCACCAGTTCAAATGCAATGACTTCATTTTTATAAGAATTGTGTTAATAATAAATATAAAATATATGCTAATTGATATTTGGTGTTTTTAAATTTACTTTACTCTATTAATCTACCATTCCTTCATTCACTGATTTTTTTATTAGAAATCGTTTATCTGGTTGAGATTTAACTTCCAAGTCAAGACGGTCTAAGATCCAACCTTGATTATCAGTGCGAGTTGCCCAAAAATATATTGTACCTGTAAATAATAAAGCGTTTGTGGGTTAAAAATTAAAAGTACGTTTATAAAATCTATACAAAAACTGCAAAGGTTTGACAATTGTATATGTATACATATTATAATTTTAGTGTTTTGAATTCAAGAGTCGTACCACGATCTTGCGGTCCTCTAACTTTTATTTCGAAATGCGCTTTTTGACCATCACAAGAATTTTTTTTGTCACTTAAATCGAAACCTAATTCCTTTATGGGTTCGCCCAATAAACTTACAGCACCTGGAAATATTTATTATATTGTTAGAAAATTCCATTAATAATATACAATTAAATTCATGCCTTTGTGTTGTCTTAAAGTCTGTACTGCTAAATGATAGTAATCAGTATTTCGTATGCGATCTTCAATTCTATACTTCATATACATAACAGCTGAGATGGAACCGATAGCACCATAAACTGCGATTTTAGCAAGAGTTTTATTTGTTAGAAAAGTCATCTTCAATTCATTTAATATGTAACAACAAACGGTTAAACAGCCCAACAGGCATATTTACAAATAAAACAGCTGTAAGGGTTTCTAAAGTACTTTTGGTAATTATAGTAACTCATAAAATTATAAAAAGAAAATTAAATAATTATCCAACATGTAAAAGTCGGTTTGAGATATGTATAAATATATTTAATTTATTAGTGTATAAATATAATTTACTCAAAATTGTACATTTTTAACAATATTTTAGCTACTATTTTTTATTAAAAAATTAAATTTATTTGCAACACTGGTGTCATTATAACACTTTTAAACAGATGTTAAATCAATCTTTGACAACATTTTTAGGTTAGAAATCCTAGTGTTATTATAAAATAAAATAATCTATTAAATTTAAAACAAATTTGAAAAAATGAATAACTTGGCAAATGGACTGAATATACTGAAACAAAAACTGTTTCAATCGACAATTTTAACAACAAGATTTTATGCAAAACCATTGGGTGGTAAATTAGAAAATGTTTATTAATTTTACAAAGAAATATGGAATAAGTTTTATGTGAATTTCAGCGGCTCCAACAATGAAAAAGAAAAAATTGGGTAAACTTGGTCCAATGATGGAAAAAAAAGAAATTCCTGTAGAAACTGATGTCAACAAACTAGTTAACTACGTTTGTGGTAGTAATATTTACAAAACCGGAGAAGATATTAAAGTAATTTGTTGTTTTTTTAAATTATGCCTTTTCAAAATTTTTTTACAAATATTTACAGCTAAAACCCGACAGTGAATATCCCGATTGGTTATGGAGTTTAAATGTGGACCGTATTATACCGTTGGAAGAATTAGACCCTAATACAAAACAATATTGGAGACGTGTCCGAAAAATGGCACTTCGTCGAAATAATCAACTTGCGAAGTTGAGAAGATTTTAAAGTTTTAAATGTTATGCATAAATTTTATAAATTTTCTGTTGGTATGTAAAATATGTGTTTTCAACATATATATATATGCAGAATGTAAATTGTTATAAGGAATATAAATAAATATAATATAAATCAAAGCTATTATTAATTTAATTTTACTTTTGATTTTATGCGTAAGTTTGTTTTTGTTTTTATTTTATCACAGCGAAGTTAAACAACTTATATTACAGAATTCATTTATAGCGCAAATATGTTTTCAGATTATTATTGTTAAAAATGCATAATAAAAATTTTTACAACATATAAATTTTCTTGTAAACCAAGTGTTTTACAAACAATAATTTCTTTGATAAATTCAATAATTATTATAGTTTTTGTTTGATATATTGTATTTTAATCAAATTATAACAAAATTTATAATAATTAAATACTAAATAAAAGTCTTCTTTTTATATCTGTTACTCAATTAATTACACTGTACATTAACAAAATCTTAAAATAAAAAATTATGGAATAAGTAAAAGAAAAATTAGAAAAAGATTGATGTTTATTTATGTGCATTTCTTCGTGAACTCATAGATTTGATTTAATTAAACATTTTATAATGTATAACTTAATAATTTCCATTTTAGGTTTATGCAATTATTTATATAAACAATATTATAGACAAGAACAAATAAATATATCCTTAACGTATCGATCGATTTTTTTTAATTAAATATTTACGTTGCAACATTTTTTTTTTTTGTAATTTTTTATAATCTTTGAATGCCATAATGATTTTATTTATCGATTTCACATATCTATATAATATTTTTATATAAATAAACAACGTAATTTGTTTTGTTTCACTTCAGCTTAATAATATTAATAATAATTACTTTTAATATAGTTAGTTTACCTCTCTGGTTATGTATCTTTTTAATATTATTTATCTTTTATTTTGGAGAGTTCAAAGTTGTTTTTGTCTGCCGACATGAATGCGTCATATTTTTTCTTGTTATATATAATAAAATTATTTTTTGCAATAAGTGAAGATATTGTTAACATATTTAAATTTTTTATTGATTTCATATCTTTATTTTTCTTATCGGACCTTACACAAATATTGTTTTACCCTCAACGAAGAAAAATGAAAGCAGTCTCCAAAAGATTTTCTACTATAAAATTGAATGATACATTTTGAATTGCTCAGTTTTAAAACTGATACGTAGAGTAAAATACAATTAAATTTTAAAATTTTGTTATTAAATTAAAAGTTTTTTCTTATATAATAAAATGCTTTTAAAAATTTATATAATAACTGTGCTATATATGCTGCTACATCAAAGTGAAGTCGACTGCAAGATAAATAGTAAGTGCTAGCTAAAATATTATTAATGTTGAGTATAAAAATATAAACTAATAGTTAATATTTACTATATTAATATAAAATAATAGTTGATATTAAGTATATTAATAAGTATAAATAACTGTACTAAAACTCTTAACGAAAATAACTAAACTTAGATTTTTAGTGTTAATTCGACAATTAAAAATTTTATTTTTTTTTAAGTAATTTCAAATATTTTTTAAATTAAAAATAATATATATATATATATATATATATATATATATATATAAACATATTTATTTTGAAGAAAATATTCAATTATTTATTTAAAACTATTTATTAAATTGATATTATATTTAATATAAATTTGAAATTTCTATAATAATTATGTGAACAAGTATCAATTTTCTTAGTTAATTTATGTATATTTGTTGAATACTGATTACTATAACTGCGTCAATTTCAATATGGTTATGTAAAAATTATATATATTTATTAAAAATTTATTTATATTAATGACAAAAAAATTTATTTAATTTTAATGTTTATTATTAGTGTTTATTATTATTAAATATTAAACACAAACATATTTTCTTTTAATTAAAAATCAAATTGAATTAATGGCCTATAAAAAAACATACTTAAAATATACACATTTTTTTGAACAAATTAAATAATATATTTGTTTCTTATGTATTGTATGTTACATAATAAATATATTTTATATCTAATACAATTAATGTATTTATATCGAAAATATATAAATAAAAAATAAATAAAAAAGTTTTATGCTTTGCAGCAATTTCTTGAAATTACTATATATAATATACATATAATTACTATATATAATTACTATATATAATATATATATAATATACATTAATAATACTGTTTAACCAAATAATTAATAATGCTTTTTAACAATACTGTCATATTGTTTTTTTGAAACGGCAAGGAAATTAAACTTAAAATATTATCTACTTATTTAGCAAACGGCTGCACATCTGCACAATTCACGTACACATATATAAAGTAAAAAATAATAGATCTGTATAAATAATTTGAGTTTACAAGAAAAATCAATTATAATATTTAACTGATAAGATATATCTACACGATTTGTAGTTTTGCTAAAGGGGACTTTATTTTTATATCAGTAAACAAGAAATAAATGAACATTTTTCTTTTGTTATAGCAAAAGCTACTAAATATATGTTTATATATGTTTATATAGTATATATATATATATATATATATAAATAAATAAATAAATATAAAAAATATCCAATATATATATACAAATATATATAACCCATATGTACTAATTTATTATTGATTCCAGAACATGTTATATGCTACCACGGAACATGGTCCACATATCGATCTTCATACGGTAAATTCGACGTCTCTAATATTGATCCATTTTTATGTACTCATTTAATGTATGCCTTCTTTGGCATCGAAGAGAGTGGAGACTTGCGTATAATTGATCCTTACTTAGATTTAGAGGACAATTACGGTCGTGGTAATATAAAAAAATTTAATGCTTTGAAATTGAAAAATCCAACACTTAAAACTTTGGCTGCTGTTGGTGGTTGGAATGAGGGTTCGAAAAATTTTTCAATTGTAGCTGGAGATGCCAACAAACGTGCACGTTTTGTTAAATCAGTTGTAAGTTTTTTGCAAAGGCATGGTTTTGATGGATTAGATCTAGATTGGGAATATCCACTTCAGAGACATAATCTTACCACACAAGATGATCGTAATAATTACATAACGCTGTTAAGAGAACTTAAAGAGGGGTAAGCCTAATATAGTTATATTGTAAAAGTTACAACCTATAAGTTTTTTTTCACATTTGATACATATACGTTGGTAAATTCATCATTAGATGCAATAGAAAAACCTTTACAGTTTGTTTCAAATCAAATAAGAGTTAATTTTGATAATAATGTGACTTTTCTTGTTTCATGCTATTATATAAGTTATTAAGAGTCTAATAAAAAAATCGTTCTCATTTTTTAATAATTTAAACATAGAATATTATACCACAAATAATTTAAGGATCTCTATTGACGCTATGTTTACACTTGTAATTATCATATCGTATTATCGTACAAGATTTTGTATAAAAAATGTTATTTATTGCTGCATTTTTTATCAAGTTAACGTGCTGTTCGTTGGGTGCAGACACCCATCTGCCTCATAGATATAGCAAAAAATTTAATACCACATTCTCCACAATAAAACCCTATAGATAAATTTGAACCATCTTATTAAATTATGTAGTTATTATAGATCAATTGTATTGAATGATCATCAGGCTAACAGATTATCAAGAAATTATTTTCTTTTTAAAAAAAAATCTGTTTTTTCTGTTAACCAAAGTTGGGCAGTGGCAGCGAAATTATTAGATAATATTTTCTCGTTCAAGATTCCGCAATTTCTATTATAAGAGTTGAACTTAAGTTGCAGTTTTTCTGCATACATCACAACCTATATAAAAAACTTCAGTTAGCTTGACAGGAGGGACTAGATCTCTGTTAATAAATTGTGAGTGACTGTCACCTATGATTAGCAGGAGAGTTCTCTCTCCTCTGAGAACTAATATCTGAGACCTTAATATTTAAGCTGTCTGATTTTTCATTCTATTTAATGTACCTATGAGCTGAACTATTTATATGTTATTAAGTGTTTAAGTTATTAAGTCTTTTCTATTTCTATTTTATTCTATTTAAATTGGATGTTGTTGCTATTGTTTCTATCAGAATGTTGATAATTTTAAGATTATTTTTGACTTTTGAGCAAGATGTACGTGATAAATCTTTAACAACTCTATATTTAAAAGCTTAACAGCTTTTTTATCACATTTATTATATTTTTAAACTAAGTTCGAAATACTTCCATAGATAATATAAATACAAATATCGTGAAGTAAATCCCGTAATAAAATACTTCATATTCTCTTTATCTTATATGCTATAATACATATAATTGTCTTTAGCATATGGTTAGTTTGATGATAAATTATGTGTATTAAACGATACTCAATAAAATACTATATCTTTTATACTAATTTTTTGAATGTTGCAGTTTGGATCCGTTCAATTACTTACTGACAGCAGCAGTAGGCTCAGCGGAATTTTCTGCATCCCTTTCATACAATATACCAGAGGTATCGAAATATTTGGATATTATCAGCGTTATGGCTTACGATTTGCATGGTCCTTGGGATGATGTTATAGGAATTAACGCTCCACTTTATGGTGGTAATAGTGATAAAACTAAACGGGAGAAGCAGTTGAATGTCGATGCAATAATTAAATATTGGCTAAGCAAAGGTAAAGTATAAACAGGAATAATTTATTTAAGTATTAAATACTATTATTTATATGTTATCAACATATTTTCTAATTAACATAAAATGAATAATAAAACCTATATACATTTTAGGTGCACCGAGCGATAAACTTGTTTTGGGAATACCATTTTATGGACGTTCATTTACTTTAGAGAATGCTGAAAAACATACACCTGGTTCTCCTCATCTTGGGCGTGGTATAGCTGGACAATACTCCGTAGAACCAGGCGTAATAGGCTATAATGAATTATGTGAAAAAATGCAAAGTGAAAGATGGCATGAAGAATGGGAATCCGAACAAATGGTGCCATATGCTTATCAAGGCAGACAATGGGTTGGTTATGAAAACTTAAATAGCATTAAACTGAAAGCAGATTATGTTATGGAAAAGAATTTAGCTGGCATTATGATATGGTCAATTGAATCAGATGATTTTCGTGGACAGTGTGGAGAGGAAAAATTCCCTTTGCTTAAACAAGTCAATAAAATATTGTTTGGTCTTACCGCTACAGGAATGACTGAGGCAACAAGTAAAATTCAAAACTTGTCAACAACAGATGCCAATAAAGATAACAAAGGTATTTCTGGAACTGATGGTTCTTCAACATTTATTTTCAAATGTGAAGGACAAAATGGTTATGTACGCAGTCAATACGACTGTTCCAAATTTTATTACTGCGATCCAAATGACAATAGTTTTTCATTTGAATGTCCACATGGCCTTTATTTCGATTTAGAGTCGATTAGTTGTAATTATGCGGATCAAGTTAAATGCTGAAATAAAATAAACTTAAATTTAGTTAAGTAAATATTTACAAAATTATTATTCCAGTTTTTGTAAATTAAATTCTAACTTAAAAAAGTTAAAAGTAAAATACTTTCAAAGTCTTCTTGACAAACCTTAATATTTCCTTAATATTTGTATTGTAAAATTATTTTTTTAACTAATAAAAATAAACAAAATATTAATACAATTGTATATAATTCCACATTATTATTTATTTATTTAACATAAAAATTAAATTTTTTTTTAATTATGACAATTTACTAACTCAGGCCAATTACACCTTATGGTGGCTTCATCGAAGTACAAACCACTAGGACATGACATATCGTAACGGATCATATCATTAGTGCAATAATAATATTTTGTGCAGTCATTGGAATTAACAAAGTATCCTTGTTTGGTACACCCATTGGAATTCGAGGTGCTCGTCGTAGTTGTTACGGGAGGTAGTGTAGTTACGACTGCAGTTGTGGAAGTTGTTATAGAACCTTGTGTGGTGCTTGTTATACTCGTACCACTGTATAATGCATTATTAATGGCATTCAAGAGTGGATATGCACTTCCACAAGTACCTCGAAAATCATCACTTTCTATTGACCACACCATTGCACCAGCCAAATTAAGTGATTTCAAAAAATTAATTTTCAAAGTTATACTCTCCTGATTGTCATAGCTAACCCATTGGTTATCTTTAAATGCATAGGGAGACGAAGAACTTGTGTCCCATATCTTATTCCAGTTTACAATCTTTTCACAAATTTCATTGTAGCCCAAAAATCCAGATTCATATGTATATGGACCAGCAGCTCCAGGACCTGCACTAGGTGATCCAGGCGTATTTTGATTTGAATATGCTAAGGTAAATGTACGTCCATAGAATGGTATACCTAACACCAATTTGTTCGGTGGAGCACCTGGACAAGTATATGAAATAGTTATTCTGGAGACATATGTGTATATTTATTTCGGTAAACCTTACCACTTTGCAACCAGTAGTTAATTGAAGCTGTTACTGTATTAAGACCGGAACCAGTTAAAGGTGAATGTATGCCAATATTGCTATCCCAAGAACTAACAAAGTCATATGTCATAACGTTTATGTAGTCAATATATTGCGACATGCTTGGTATGTCGTACGAGATACTAGCGGATGTTTGACCAGCAGCAACGGCGGTAGTGAGTAAAAAGCTCCGCTGCGAAACTTAAAAAATTAATTATAATTAAATTAAATTTTCTTTTTGGTGTTGGCACATTTTATTTGTTTACAATCTTTGATGTAAATTAGGTATACTAATTATGATTAACAAGTATATAATTAACAAGTATATAGGTGTAACAAAACACTGTTGTGCCACTAGTAATCAGTATACCGATTAACATTATTTTACTTACCGATTAAAAATAAGTTTTTATGTTTCTAAGTTTATTTAAAATCTATGTGATATATAATCGCTAAGAACCTACAGATCTACGTGTAGCTATAAAGTTCTATATACTTATTTGTTTTCATATTTTATAATTTATTATTTAGCAATTTATTAATTTCAAATGTATTGAAATCTTATAGATTATTACCGATATATTCATCTATATGAGGCTGCAGGGACTATCTAATATATATATAAAATTTTGTATGAAGTTTTGTCAGAAAATCTTGCACTAAATATATGTAAACGTAATGTTAACCATTGTCGTGTGTTTTAAGACGAAATGGAGATATAATAACTGACTACTTGTTTGGTCGAATGAATATCAGAGAACATCAATACCCCATGAGATACACTCACTGCTCATCAAGTTACAAGTAAATCTTTGTGATCCAAGTAATTTGGATCAAAAAGCTTCTGTTAAACTAGAGAAATTATGTATGTCCGCACGTAAGGTGTGTGTAGGTATATCTTTAACATTATTAAATCAAGAAATAAAAAAAGAATTTACGGAAAAAAACTAACTAAAGGTCGCAAAAATGATCAGGAAAAAAGGATCAGTCGACAGGGTATGACAGTATATGATGATGTTTTTATAAAAACACATATCTATAACATAATGCGAAAATGGCTTAAAGCTTTAGAGTTAATTAAATTTTCTTTTTGACTTTAGTAGATAATGCCTTTGAGTCATAATTCCCTACTTACGCTTGTTTTAATTCCTTCAGCAAAATTACAAAATTTTGTCGGTCTGCAGAGATTCCATCGCGCTGCGCTGGATATTCCCAATCTAAATCTAATCCATCAAAATCATTCTGATGTAAAAGAGCTAATGCTGAGTTGATAAAATTTAAACGTTTTGTCGCATCATCTGCCATTGTTGAGTATTTTATTGAACCTTCATTCCAACCACCCACAGCCTCTAACACTTTAAGGCCAGGGTTTTGTTGTTTCAATGCCACAGTATTAGCAAGATTATCTAAAAAACACTGTCTATATAACTGTCTATAGCCATTTATATAATAAACTTGAGCTTACGCAAATCTTCATCCAACCAAGTATCCAGCCAAGTAATATTATTTACTTTGTAGTTTCCATTTCCATTTCGGTAATGGGACCATGTACCCCAGTAACAAAAAACAATTTCTTAAAATTAAACAAAATCCACATTACTTAAAAAGTTTTTGAATTTAATCAATTAAGACTAACTTTCCGTAGTAGCCCTAACAGCTATAACTTGAAATAGCAAAAGTACAAAACTGAACTGTAGTATGGTTCCCATTTTAAAAAGATTTCAGTACTAAATCAGACGAGTAAAACCACCAGCTTTTATAATGTCGGTCATACTATCTATACTAATTTACCTTTCTTAAGAAAAATTTGATAAATTATATTAAATCTGCTGACTTTAAATTTTAATCTAAACAAATATTATAAATTTTTACGAAAACAAAATGTGAATATTCAACAAATACACTTTTGAGCTACATTTTGAAAATAATAAATAAACTAAACATGTATTGAGTCCAACATATATCTATTAAGAAGTAGTAATTATTATTAAGATCTGTTTAGCTCATAAAATATCATTTCAACATATTGTGACTGTTATTTACTATTATTATTACTAATAAGCTACATTTTCTTTTTTGTAGATACATATATAATTATCTTTCTAATTAATTTAATCTGAACATGCTAGCTTTTATGGTCGTAATATCTTGGTTTTTATTTCTAAAGAGATTAAAACATTTTGTTTATGGCATCCCCAATATATTCCAAATAGTGAAAATCAAAATAAAAATTCTGATAAATACATTAAGGAAATATTTACATTAAAACTTTTTTATTTTTCATTTATTCAAATGAATCATGTTTATTAAAATTTACAAAATAGTATGATCCACAAACATCTATTCAATGGTCGCCATCAAGAATTTTGCAGCTTCTGTGTTGATCATATATCTCTATTTTAAATATTTGATTTTTAATAAAAATTTCTTTTATAATTAAAAACAATGTCATGTTTAGGTCTTCACATCTTTCCATAGCTTGGATCAGCTTATTTTAACGAACATATAATCCATTTACAAATATCTGAAGAAAGTCGATGTCTAAATGCAATCTAGAAATTATGAAACTTCTGTGACGTTCGCATATCTTTACTTTACATTCTTTATTGTTTTTTTATAGTTAAAAATAATTTAATTTTTAGGTCTTCACACCTTCCCATCGCCTGATTAAAGTCACTCCGACAAATATATAAACCAACTATAAATTTGTGGCAGAAAATCGTTGATTAAAATTTGTTTTGTCTATAACTTTTAAATAAATTTAATGTAATTTTTCTTAATCTTTATGTTTTATAATTTCTTTATGCTATATTAATCTTAAATTTATAACTCAATATTGATTTATTAATTTTAAATATTTTCTTATTCCAAAAGTCGACAGCCTCTACGTCAATACCTATTTGTTTCTTAGATATAATATGTTTATTTAATTTATATTATTGAAATAGAAAGAAATGAATAACATAAAATATTTATTTTAAATTTTTCTCTTTATTGTAAAAAAATACTTATTCCTCCTACGCTTGCATTTGTATTATCAGTTGCATATTTATATGAGAGAAAATATTATTAGAATTAATTGCATATTTTAAGGCGTAAAATTTTTTTAGAAACTAATATAATACTTTTATAACCTAGCAGCTTATAGTGGCATTGACGCTAAAAGCATCACAATGGCATCGATGCCTTATTGATGCTTTAAGCAGCTTGGAGGAATTAATGGGCGAAAAGCAGTTTTTGTATGAGCAATTTTTTTACATTTGCGTTATAACTAATAAACACATTGGCAATCTTATATTATAATAATGTTTCATGCAACATAGGTGTGGTTCTGATTTAAAGATTTTTTGTTTTTACAAATCCTTTTTTAAATTTGTAAGTATTATTATTATTATTATCGTCCCTGTAGTAATATAATTCTTAGAGAAGTTACTTGATTTGCTTCCCTAGCAAATGCAGAAACTTAAATGGGTATGATAACCCACAATTTGACAAACGAAGATGAGATTTTATTCATATTTTTCCTTGAATTAAAAACTTGTCATAAAAAAGTTGAAAATTAAAATATAACATACTTAGAAATAAAATGAGTAATAGAAACTAATTTTGCATAATTAGAAAATACGAAACAGTTTTGAACCCAGAATTATTAGAATAAAGAAAGAACATTATTAAAGAAAATAATTACAAAAACTTATGCATAGTCTCTTTACAATATTAATGTTATTGTGCCAAATATAATTTTATATTAATTTTTTTTATCACTTAGTGATGGTTTTTTCTATAGAATTGAGATTAGAGCACAAATTTTGCTTTACATGAAAACTTTATTTACGTACAATTTGTGATACTCTTTGAACAGAGATTTATTAAAATTTTAAAATTTCACATTACGTATATATGCTTAAATAATAAAGTTCTGATATAAAAATATATTTAAAATTACAAATAATTATTTGTAATTGAAAATGTAATAAAATCATTTTAAAAAATATATTTGGATTTGGTTATTATTCACTACGAGTTCGGCTATTACGACGTAAATTTATGCATTCTTTAGCTACTAGTCGTATTAATAATATCATTGCACAGGTCAGGGCCATAATAAGCATTTGAAAAACTTGTTCCCAACCTCCAGTACAGAAAACACCAGCCAAAAGTGGACCCACAGCAGCACCTTAAATAACAACAACACAAATACGTCTTATAAAATCATAAAACTTTTAAAATTAATAAAACTTTTATTATAATTATTACCAATTGAGCCGATCCCATCTATAATTGCAGTAACAGTAGCTAAAGCTTTGGCATTTCCTTCTACAGTACTATGTGTTCCTAATTCAGCACTCACTGCTGTCGTTATAAGACCATATGGTCCATTAACCGTAATGCCTCCGAGTATAAGCAATACAATGCTTATTTCCATAGATACTGAACCAAACTGTTGATACAAAAGCAACTAAAACGATATTAGGTAAGTTCAAATTTTTTTCAATACAAACAATTTTGTATACCACAGGAGATGCTATCAAAAACATAACCATGCACACAGTAGCAGGCATTCCAGTTTTATCAGATATTCCACCAGCTGTAATAGTACCAATTATACCACCAACATCAAATGTCGTTGATAAAATGGCAGACACTTCTGCTCCCAAAGTGCCTATAAAAAAATTTACCATCTATGTATTATAAGTGACTTTTAAAAGGTTTAAAAGAAAATTAATCTCGAAACTTCAAATTCCAACACATTGGTATAATCTCAGTTTTAACTGTACCAATGCATGCCCTAATTACAGCTCTATCTCCATGATTTCGCTCAGCTGTTTTCCAAATCCACACACTAACTGGATTCCAATCAATATTTGAATTCACAAATCTCACCCACCCACAACCCATTTCGACTCCTAAACTATCGCCTACCTCTACACTATTGTAACCTACTCACATCCTAATTCATACATACGTATTTGTAATTCCATTTATGTTATCTGATCAATAGATCCGCGGGTTACCACAATAATAACAACAACAACAATGGAGAGAGTACTACCTACAGCAGTAAAAAGGCCAAAGCGTTGTTCATCTCTCCAAGCTGTGACTCAAAAAAGAATACATCTGTCTACGTAATAACATAGCAATTTTTACATAGTTTGTACATTTCATCTCTATCTTTTTAAATATAATATAATTATAATTAAATAAATAAATAAAACTAAATGAATTATTTATATTTAACAATAAATAGGCAATAAATAGAAACAAAACATTATATTTGTAAAATAACTTACTTGAATTCTCAATGTACAGCGGCAACCAGTACAGGAATGTATAACTGACTAATTTTGAAAAAAATAAACAAAATGAAAATTCGATTACGCCTGGTATATGAAGTGCATCAATTATACTAATTGATGGTCTATGCCGTAACAATTGTGCTCTTTCACTTGATTCATTACGCTGTAATAACAGAAAACTTATACAATTACAACAAACGTAAATTTATTAAACATATTACAAACATTTCTATCATCTTCGACATCGGAATCATTAATGAGGTCATATGAGTAAGGCCGGTCAAGTTGTAAGCTAACTGATTCTGGACTTTCTGCCAGAAACAAAAACATGATAACACCGCCAATACAAATTATAATGGCGGGAACAATAAATGATAGCGACCAGTCTGATTCCACATACTCTGCAGCTATTAGCGTACCAAGTATATTGCCAATAGAAGTATGACTATTCCAAATTCCAAATACTAAACCACGCTTTGATTTACCGAACCAACGGCCAACGATAGTCACCACACCAGGCCATCCTGTTGTTTGGACTATACCACCAAATATTTGTATAAGTAAAAAATACGTCATGTTATGAATATCCAAAATTTTAGCTAAACCAAATAAGTATTGAAAAAGTCCTGACAAGATCATGCCAAAACAGAGATAATAACGTAATGATACACGTTCAGCTATGAATCCTGACGCAAACATGGAAAGTGCATAGGTGAATAAAAATGCAGAGTCCATCTCACCAAATAATTTAGGTCCATCAGGAGTATCTGAAAAAAACTTAAAATAATACAAAAAACAATTAAGAATATTATTAAAAATCTTACTAAAAGGCGCATAACCACAATGTGTGGAAGTACCATTTGTGCATGTATCGTGCAGTACAGATTTTACTACGGATATTGGCTTTCTTGACATTTTATAACATATATAGCACATATATGTGAGGAATAGAATTGATATTTTATATCTGGAATTAAATCACATTATATAAGTTACTTATATTAATATAGCACAGTTACAGTATAACTTTTTGACAGCGATTACGTGGACAACATATTCGTGCACATTTCTGAATTGCTAATATCCCGTATGGAACATCGTTAGTATTCCTTTTTAAACTTGGCGGTGTCATGAGTATTGCAGCTGGCACAGATATAATTTACAGATTTTTGTAAGATTAAAATCTGAAAATCTATTTATATAAGAAAAATTATGAACATTTTTATAAAAATATATTAGTGTTTGATCAAAACAAACAGCATACACGCCCGCATATCTATAAATTGTTATCTTTTCTATTATGCAGGAATATTAGTTTTTTAATGATTCATCGTAAATGTATAGAGTGTATTGTTACTGATTTATTGCTTTGTTGGCAAAATTGTTAACAATTATGTTAGATAAATTAGAATAAATATTAACATATGATATGTACTGACTGTTTCAAACATTTCTATTACCTTGCCAGTGTTTTATTTTTACTGTTCAAAACGTTAATTTAATCAAACATCCAAAAGTAATCTTCATACAGTATTAATTAAATATTTTAATACTTCTTGAACAAATATAACAAAAATTTACAAACGTAAACAAAATGACAAAGCCATCCCTGTTTATGAAATTGACACTGACACAGCATGAAATTAAAAAATTATTTAATTAATTGCTGCAATGAGCACAATATAGAGAAATTATGTATTAAAAACATTTCTTATTATGATTATTGAAATACAAACTATGAAAATAATGCTATATATCCGTGTTAACCTACATCAGAAACGCACAACTGGGCACCTTAAAATTTTAACAACGTGTGGTCACCTAACATATGTGTGACAGCGAATGTCAAAAGCAAAGAAGATTTTATATAGAACGGAAACTTAAATGAGCACAACAGAAAATAACAAACACACTTTCAGAAATTGCACTAATACCATCTCAAAACGTACGATTATTTCTAAATTGAGCAAGTTAAGGTCCTTATTCGCTCCGAATACGGACCTTAACTTGCTCCGAATAAGACCCTTAAGTTACTCTTAAGAAAAATTTTATGGACAATGAGTCCAACAGGGAGCATAATTTTGGTTCTCTGTTTTGATTTTTTGACAAAAAATTTGAATGCACTGCCCTATATTTAAAAAAAAATTACCGCGCAATTGATTGTTAAAAAGTAATAAAACTAATTTGCGCCCAATATTAAAAAAAGTATAAAGCAAAAAATTATCAAAGTGATTTAATTATAAATTTTTTTGAAATGATAAAGTAAGTAAAGAATAATAATTATGATTTAAAAATACTAGTTTATATAATTAATAAATTAATGTTTTGTAGATGGTGAGACATTGTGTTAGTATATTTTCGTATTCGTGTATTAATATTCAGTACTGTGCAAATAATAATAAGAAATACCATCAGTATTGTTTTTTTATATGTTTTACAACTACTGTATTTAAGTATTTTAAGATGCTGCATTTTTAATATTAAGTTTATTATAAACATGTTTATTCTATATTTACTTATTTGTCTAACTATAACTGTTTGAGTATTGTATGAATTGCATCAAGTGTATTTTATAATAAAAATTAAATTTATATATAAATAAAAGAGTTAACTGTATATTTTTTAAATACATAAAAGATAACGAAAGAATTTTATATGAGGTATACGAAATTTAGATGGGTCTCTAAAAAAGAATACTAATATATTTAATTTCATTTTGTTTGAATTTATTTGCAGTAAAAGAATATTGAAATGTTTTCAACAACAGATGCCAATAAAGATAACAAAGGTATTTCTGGAACTGATGGTTCTTCAACATTTATTTTCAAATGTGAAGGACAAAATGGTTATGTACGCAGTCAATACGACTGTTCCAAATTTTATTACTGCGATCCAAATGACAATAGTTTTTCATTTGAATGTCCACATGGCCTTTATTTCGATTTAGAGTCGATTAGTTGTAATTATGCGGATCAAGTTAAATGCTGAAATAAAATATACTTAAATTTAGTTAAGTAAATATTTACAAAATTATTATTCCAGTTTTTGTAAATTAAATTCTAACTTAAAAAAGTTAAAAGTAAAATACTTTCAAAGTCTTCTTGACAAACCTTAATATTTCCTTAATATTTGTATTGTAAAATTATTTTTTTAACTAATAAAAATAAACAAAATATTAATACAATTGTATATAATTCCACATTATTATTTATTTATTTAACATAAAAATTAAATTTTTTTTTAATTATGACAATTTACTAACTCAGGCCAATTACACCTTATGGTGGCTTCATCGAAGTACAAACCACTAGGACATGACATATCGTAACGGATCATATCATTAGTGCAATAATAATATTTTGTGCAGTCATTGGAATTAACAAAGTATCCTTGTTTGGTACACCCATTGGAATTCGAGGTGCTCGTCGTAGTTGTTACGGGAGGTAGTGTAGTTACGACTGCAGTTGTGGAAGTTGTTATAGAACCTTGTGTGGTGCTTGTTATACTCGTACCACTGTATAATGCATTATTAATGGCATTCAAGAGTGGATATGCACTTCCACAAGTACCTCGAAAATCATCACTTTCTATTGACCACACCATTGCACCAGCCAAATTAAGTGATTTCAAAAAATTAATTTTCAAAGTTATACTCTCCTGATTGTCATAGCTAACCCATTGGTTATCTTTAAATGCATAGGGAGACGAAGAACTTGTGTCCCATATCTTATTCCAGTTTACAATCTTTTCACAAATTTCATTGTAGCCCAAAAATCCAGATTCATATGTATATGGACCAGCAGCTCCAGGACCTGCACTAGGTGATCCAGGCGTATTTTGATTTGAATATGCTAAGGTAAATGTACGTCCATAGAATGGTATACCTAACACCAATTTGTTCGGTGGAGCACCTGGACAAGTATATAAAATAGTTGTTCTGGAGACATATGTGTATATTTATTTCGGTAAACCTTACCACTTTGCAACCAGTAGTTAATTGAAGCTGTTACTGTATTAAGACCGGAACCAGTTAAAGGTGAATGTATGCCAATATTGCTATCCCAAGAACTAACAAAGTCATATGTCATAACGTTTATGTAGTCAATATATTGCGACATGCTTGGTATATCGTACGAGATACTAGCGGATGTTTGACCAGCAGCAACGGCGGTAGTGAGTAAAAAGCTCTCCGCTGCGAAACTTAAAAAATTAATTATAATTAAATTAAATTTTCTTTTTGGTGTTGGCACATTTTATTTGTTTACAATCTTTGATGTAAATAAGGTATACTAATTATGATTAACAAGTATATAATTAACAAGTATATAGGTGTAACAAAACACTGTTGTGCCACTAGTAATCGGTATACCGCTAATAGTAATCGTAAGAACTAGTAATCGCTAAGAACCTACAGATCTACGTGTAGCTATAAAGTTCTATATACTTATTTGTTTTCATATTTTATAATTTATTATTTAGCAATTTATTAATTTCAAATGTATTGAAATCTTATAGATTATTACCGATATATTCATCTATATGAGGCTGCAGGGACTATCTAATATATATATAAAATTTTGTATGAAGTTTTGTCAGAAAATCTTGCACTAAATATATGTAAACGTAATGTTAACCATTGTCGTGTGTTTTAAGACGAAATGGAGATATAATAACTGACTACTTGTTTGGTCGAATGAATATCAGAGAACATCAATACCCCATGAGATACACTCACTGCTCATCAAGTTACAAGTAAATCTTTGTGATCCAAGTAATTTGGATCAAAAAGCTTCTGTTCAACTAAAGAAATTATGTATGTCCGCACATAAGGTGTGTGTAGGTATATCTTTAACATTATTAAATCAAGAAATAAAAAAAGAATTTACGGAAAAAAACCAACTAAAGGTCGCAAAAATGATCAGGAAAAAAGGATCAGTCGACAGGGAATGACAGTATATGATGATGTTTTTATAAAAACACATATCTATAACATAATGCGAAAATGGCTTAAAGCTTTAGAGTTAATCAAATTTTCTTTTTGACTTTACTAGATAATGCCTTTGAGTCATAATTCCCTACTTACGCTTGTTTTAATTCCTTCAGCAAAATTACAAAATTTTGTCGGTCTGCAGAGATTCCATCGCGCTGCGATGGATATTCCCAATCCAAATCTAATCCATCAAAATCATTCTGATGTAAAAGAGCTAATGCTGAGTTGATAAAATTTAAACGTTTTGTCGCATCACCTGCCATTGTTGAGTATTTTATTGAACCTTCATTCCAACCACCCACAGCCGCTAACACTTTAAGGCCAGGGTTTTGTTGTTTCAATGCCACAGTATTAGCAATATTATCTAAAAAACACTGTCTATATAACTGTCTATAGCCTTTTATATAATAAACTTGAGCTTACGCAAATCTTCATCCAGCCAACTATCCAGAGATATTATTTCTCCATTATTGTTGATACCAAAGAATGAATATGCGATATGCGTACATAAACTTGGATTAATATTATTTACTTTGAAGTTTCCATTTCCATTTCGGTAATGGGACCATGTACCCCAGTAACAAAAAACAATTTCTTAAAATTAAACAAAATCCACATTACTTAAAAAGTTTTTGAATTTAATCAATTAAGACTAACTTTCCGTAGTAGCCCTAACAGCTATAACTTGAAATAGCAAAAGTACAAAACTGAACTGTAGTATGGTTCCCATTTTAAAAAGATTTCAGTACTAAATCAGACGAGTAAAACCACCAGCTTTTATAATGTCGGTCATACTATCTGTACTAATTTACCTTTCTTAAGAAAAAATTTGATAAATTATATTAAATCTGCTGACTTTAAATTTTGATCTAAACAAATATTATAAATTTTTACGAAAACAAAATGTGAATATTCAACAAATACACTTTTGAGCTACATTTTGAAAATAATAAATAAACTAAACATGTATTGAGTCCAACATATATCTATTAAGAAGTAGTAATTATTATTAAGATCTGTTTAGCTCATAAAATATCATTCCAACATATTGTGACTGTTATTTACTATTATTATTACTAATAAACTACATTTTCTTTTTTGTAGATACATATATAATTATCTTTCTAATTAATTTAATCTGAACATGCTAGCTTTTATGGTCGTAATATCTTGGTTTTTATTTCTAAAGAGATTAAAACATTTTGTTTATGGCATCCCCAATATATTCCAAATAGTGAAAATCAAAATAAAAATTCTGATAAATATATTAAGGAAATATTTACATTAAAACTTTTTTATTTTTCATTTATTCAAATGAATCATGTTTATTAAAATTTACAAAATAGTATGATCCACAAACATCTATTCAATGGTCGCCATCAAGAATTTTGCAGCTTCTGTGTTGATCATATATCTCTATTTTAAATATTTGATTTTTAATAAAAATTTCTTTTATAATCAAAACCAATGTCATTTTTAGGTTTTCACACCTTTCCATTGCTTAGATCAGCTTATTTTAACGAACATATAATGCATTTACAAATTTCTGAAGAAAGTCGATGTCTAAATGCAATCTAGAAATTATGAAACTTCAGTGACGTTCGCATATCTCTACTTTACATTCTTTATTGTTTTTTTATAGTTAAAAATAATTTAATTTTTAGGTCTTCACACCTTCCCATCGCCTGATTAAAGTCACTCCGACAAATATATAAACCAACTATAAATTTGTGGCAGAAAATCGTTGATTAAAATTTGTTTTGTCTATAACTTTTAAATAAATTTAATGTAATTTTTCTTAATCTTTATGTTTTATAATTTCTTTATGCTATATTAATCTTAAATTTATAACTCAATATTGATTTATTAATTTTAAATATTTTCTTATTCCAAAAGTCGACAGCCTCTACGTCAATACCTATTTGTTTCTTAGATATAATATGTTTATTTAATTTATATTATTGAAATAGAAAGAAATGAATAACATAAAATATTTATTTTAAATTTTTCTCTTTATTGTAAAAAAATACTTATTCCTCCTACGCTTGCATTTGTATTATCAGTTGCATATTTATATGAGAGAAAATATTATTAGAATTAATTGCATATTTTAAGGCGAAAAAAATTTTTTAGAAACTAATATAATACTTTTATAACCTAGCAGCTTATAGTGGCATTGACGCTAAAAGCATCACAATGGCATCGATGCCTTATTGATGCTTTAAGCAGCTTGGAGGAATTAATGGGCGAAAAGCAGTTTTTGTATGAGCAATTTTTTTACATTTGCGTTATAACTAATAAACACATTGGCAATCTTATATTATAATAATGTTTCATGCAACATAGGTGTGGTTCTGATTTAAAGATTTTTTGTTTTTACAAATCCTTTTTTAAATTTGTAAGTATTATTATTATTATTATCGTCCCTGTAGTAATATAATTCTTAGAGAAGTTACTTGATTTGCTTCCCTAGCAAATGCAGAAACTTAAATGGGTATGATAACCCACAATTTGACAAACGAAGATGAGATTTTATTCATATTTTTCCTTGAATTAAAAACTTGTCATAAAAAAGTTGAAAATTAAAATATAACATACTTAGAAATAAAATGAGTAATAGAAACTAATTTTGCATAATTAGAAAATACGAAACAGTTTTGAACCCAGAATTATTAGAATAAAGAAAGAACATTATTAAAGAAAATAATTACAAAAACTTATGCATAGTCTCTTTACAATATTAATGTTATTGTGCCAAATATAATTTTATATTAATTTTTTTTATCACTTAGTGATGGTTTTTTCTATAGAATTGAGATTAGAGCACAAATTTTGCTTTACATGAAAACTTTATTTACGTACAATTTGTGATACTCTTTGAACAGAGATTTATTAAAATTTTAAAATTTCACATTACGTATATATGCTTAAATAATAAAGTTCTGATATAAAAATATATTTAAAATTACAAATAATTATTTGTAATTGAAAATGTAATAAAATCATTTTAAAAAATATATTTGGATTTGGTTATTATTCACTACGAGTTCGGCTATTACGACGTAAATTTATGCATTCTTTAGCTACTAGTCGTATTAATAATATCATTGCACAGGTCAGGGCCATAATAAGCATATGAAAAACTTGTTGCCAACCTCCAGTACAGAAAACACCAGCCAAAAGTGGACCCACAGCAGCACCTTAAATCACAACAACACAAATACGTCTTATAAAATCATAAAACTTTTAAAATTAATAAAACTTTTATTATAATTATTACCAATTGAGCCGGTCCCATCTATAATTGCAGTAACAGTAGCTAAAGCTTTGGCATTTCCTTCTACAGTACTATGTGTTCCTAATTCAGCACTCACTGCTGTCGTTATAAGAGCATATGGTCCATTAACCATAATGCCTCCGAGTATAAGCAATACAATGCTTATTTCCATAGATGCTGAACCAAACGCTTGATATAAAAGCAACTAAAACGATATTAGGTAAGTTCAAATTTTTTTCAATACAAACAATTTTGTATACCACAGGTGATGCTACCAAAAGCATAACCATGCACACAGTAGCAGGCATTCCAGTTTTATCAGATATTCCACCAGCTGCAATAGCACCAATTATACCACCAACATCAAATGTCGTTGATAAAATGGCAGACACTTCTGCTCCCAAAGTGCCTATAAAAAAATTTACCATCTATGTATTATAAGTGACTTTTAAAAGGTTTAAAAGAAAATTAATCTCGAAACTTCAAATTCCAACACATTGGTATAATCTCAGTTTTAACTGTACCAATGCATGCCCTAATTACAGCTCTATCTCCATGATTTCGCTCAGCTGTTTTCCAAATCCACACACTAACTGGATTCCAATCAATATTTGAATTCACCTGATTAAAGTATCCAAATTTTTCCACTTTAACTCAAGTTGACTTCAATCAAAATCTCACCCACCCACAACCCATTTTGACTCCTAAACTATCGCCTACCTCTACACTATTGTAACCTACTCACATCCTAATTCATACATACGTACTTGTAATTCCATTTATGTTATCTGATCAATAGATCCGCGGGTTACCACAATAATAACAACAACAACAATGGAGAGGGTACTACCTACAGCAGTAAAAAGGCCAAAGCGTTGTTTATCTCTCCAAGCTGTGACTCAAAAAAGAATACATCTGTCTACGTAATAACATAGCAATTTTTACATAGTTTGTACATTTCATCTCTATCTTTTTAAATATAATATAATTATAATTAAATAAATAAATAAAACTAAATGAATTATTTATATTTAACAATAAATAGGCAATAAATAGAAACAAAACATTATATTTGTAAAATAACTTACTTGAATTCTCAATGTACAGCGGCAACCAGTACAGGAATGTATAACTGACTAATTTTGAAAAAAATAAACAAAATGAAAATTCGATAACGCCTGGTATATGAAGTGCATCAATTATACTAATTGATGGTCTCTGCTGTAACAATTGTGCACTTTCACTTGATTCATTACGCTGTAAATACAGAAAACTTATACAATTACAACAAACGTAAATTTATTAAACATATTACAAACATTTCTATCATCTTCGACATCGGAATCATTAATGCGTTCATATGAATAAGGCCGATCAAGTTGTAAGCCAACTGATTCTGGACTTTCTGCCAGAAACAAAAACATGATACCACCGCCAATACAAATTATAATGGCGGGAACAATAAATGATAGCGACCAGTCTGATTCCACATACTTTGCAGCTATTAGCGTACCAAGTATATTGCCAATAGAAGTATGACTATTCCAAATTCCAAATACTAAACCACGCTTTGATTTACCGAACCAACGGCCAACGAGAGTCACCACTCCAGGCCATCCTGTTGTTTGGACTATACCACCAAATATTTGTATAAGTAAAAAATACGTCATGTTATGAATATTCAAAATCTTAGCTAAACCAAATAAGTATTGAAAAAGTCCTGACAAGATCATGCCAAAACAGAGATAATAACGTAATGATACACGTTCAGCTATGAATCCTGACGCAAACATGGCAAGTGCATAGGTGAATAAAAATGCAGAGTCCATCTCACCAAATAATTTAGGTCCATCAGGTGTATCTGAAAAAAACTTAAAATAATACAAAAAACAGTTAAGAATATTATTAAAAATCTTACTAAAAGGCGCATAACCACAATGTGTGGAAGTACCATTTGTGCAATTATCGTTCAGTACAGATTTTACTACGGATATTGGCTTTCTTGACATATGATAACACGTATAAGACAAATATGTGAGGAATAGAACTGATATTTTATATCTGGAATTAAATCACATTATATAAGTTACTTATATTAATATAGCACAGTTACAGTATAACTTTTTGGCAGCGATTACGTGGACAACATATTCGTGCACATTTCTGAATTGCTAATATCCCGTATGGAACATCGTTAGTGAGACTCATCCTTCTTAAACTTGGTGGTATCATGAGTATTGCAGCAGGCACAGATATAATTTACAGATTTTTGTAAGATTAAAATCTGAAAATCTATTTATATAAAAAAAATTATGAACATTTTTATAAAAATATATTAGTGTTTGATCAAAACAAACAGCATACACGCCCGCATATCTATAAATTGTTATCTTTTCTATTATGCAGGAATATTAGTTTTTTAATGATTCATCGTAAATGTATAGAGTGTATTGTTACTGATTTATTGCTTTGTTGGCAAAATTGTTAACAATTATGTTAGATAAATTAGAATAAATATTAACATATGATATGTACTGACTGTTTCAAACATTTCTATTACCTTGCCAGTGTTTTATTTTTACCGTTCAAAACCTTAATTTAATCAAACATCTAAAAGTAATCTTCATACAGTATTAATTAAATATTTTAATACTTCTTGAACAAATATAACAAAAATTTACAAACGTAAACAAAACGACAAAACCATCCCTGTTTATGAAATTGACACTAACACAGCATGAAATTAAAAAATTATTTAATTACTTGCTGCAATGAGCACAATATAGAGAAATTATGTGTTAAAAACATTTCTTATTATGATTATTAAAATACAAACTATGAAAATGATGCTATATATCTGTTTCAATAGGACAATTGTTGAATTATATAAAATGGGACATAATAACTGATTTTTGTAAAATTGCCCATTGTGAAGAGTACATTTTTGCATAAAAAGTAAAGCATGATAAAGACAACACTACATGTATGCATACCACCAAGTAAGCCACCAAGTAAGTAAGTAAGTAAGTATGTATACCAAATTTTGGGATGCAGACATGTATACGGTAAAATTACATCTTGTTTTAAAGTGTGCAACAAAACGCATACTTGGTGCGCATACATGTAGCAACGTTAATATTATGTTTAAGCAATAAATAGAATAGCTGTAAAAACTAATTAGCGTCGTTTGTGTAATAAATGTAATAATTGTTCTTAAGTAGTATTCGAGGTTAGGCGTAACTAATATGTAAAGTTCATAAATCTAAAGTGTGATACCTTAAATCCCCAGCTATAGCTGTACATCGCAATATATTGCGATGAACATAGCAAAACAAGTTGCTCATACTGCTGAACTTTACAAAAATCGTAACTCGTATGTAATTTATAATTACAAATTTATAATTGTATTTAATAATAATTTCATTTGTTACATTTAAAAATTTTATAAATATAAATTGTGAAAAACCACCACTGCTTGCGTATGCTTTGTTAAATCCAATCGGATATACATGTGTATACGAAATAGAATGCACAGGTGTTAGTTGCTGAATATGTCAGTACACTTATTATTATTTTCATAAATAATTTAAAATTATAAAAATGATTGCATTAATTAATATAATTATATCTACATAATTATTGCAGGCAATAAATTTCATATAATATAGATTTTTCTGCCACAATATTAATCGTTAACGAAACAATGGCGTCGTCGTAGTCGTACACGAACACAAATACGCTGCTGACAACGCATACATTGACGAACTACTATACAGAAAAGGGCAACTAAAAATTTATTACACTAATTTTAATTGTATTTATGTTATTATATTTATATATAGGTATTTTTATATAGTGTAGTATCTTTGAAGTATTAAAGTAATTGTATTTATTTTATTTTGAATTACTTTTTTAAAGATTAATGCAGTTTTAGTGCGTTACAACCTAAATGCTTACTGCACTATTGCATATGAAAAATTGCCCACACCAGTACAAAATGCGACGCAACGTTGCCGAAGTTTGATTCAGCAGTCAGATTTATTGTGTCGTCGGCTTCGCTTTCACGTTGTCATTCAGTTAGCGCAACTAGAAAAATATTTATTTCTCTGCAAGTGGAAAAAATTTCAGTTGGCAGAGACAGAGAAAAGGAAATTAGAATTTTAGTGAAATCGTCGACGTTTACAGCGACGCAATTTTTGTAATTTAAAAATTTATTAACAAAACAAATAAAAACTTTTAAAAATGGATACAAAATTAGACACAAGTATGGAACAACAATTTGATTTGAATCTTATAGAAGCAGTAAAAATGAATCCTGTTATATATGATCGCTCCCACTACAATTATAAACATTTTGTAAGAAAAGCGCAAACATGGAAACAAATAGCGGAGACACTTGGCGTGCCAGGTAACTTTGTAAATTAAAAATATTAATGGTGAACATTTATTTAAACATTTTATAAAACAATGTGTTCGCCATATATACATACATATGTATAAAAAATAAAGTTTTTGCGGCGCATAAATACAGTGAAAAAATTTGAACAAAGTGTATTCACATATATACGTTATATTAATTGAAGGAACCTACGTTTATGCGCTGCTGCGGGGGTCGGATTATATATGTAGAAATCAGTCGCCTTTTTCGTAGCGTTGGCTGCTGCTGTACTTCGCTGTCAATGCTGTGTGCTCGCTCACACTTGCACTATCGCAGCAGCAGCAGCATAGCTTAATATATTCAGTTGAACCCCACAATATATTATTTTGTTAGCACAATGGGACTTAACTGTCTTTTCGTGCTCGAATTTGATTAAAAATAAAGAAATTTGTATATGTTTATAAATTAAAAATAAATATATACAAATAATCCCATGATAATTTAATAACCATTCTTGAAAAATAAACGTAATTATAAATTATTAAATATAGAATAATAAAATATATGATATATATTATAATCAATAAAAAATACAAAATAATAATAATTAATTTTATATTATAAATACTGTTATATATATATATGTATTTCTTTTTTTTTTTTGTATTAAAATCTATTTCTTAAAATTGTTGAAATATTATTTTTATATGAAGTACTCAGTTAAAAAATTCTTTCTATTTTATAAAATATAGAACAAAAATGTACTAAACGATGGAAAAGTTTACGCGATAAATTTGCTCGTGAAATGAAATTATGTCAAGAATCACGTTGGCGTTACTTTAAACAAATGCAATTTTTAGTGGATTCTATTAGGTACACTATACTAAACTATACAATATTTTTAGTGTTAATTTAGAAAATAATGTGATTATAGACAATACCGTGAATCATTACTTGGCAAATGTGGTGCTACTCCTGGACAAGGAAATACACAAGTTACAGCGCAAGTGGATCCTACGCAACAACAGCAGCAGCAACAACCTCAACAACAAACTGTAGTTGACATATTCGCGCAACCATTCAATGGTAATGCATCAACCTCTGCTCAAACATTGACCCATTCGCATGGTAAGTCTGTAGTGAACACTTTAAGCTACGTATGCTCTGAGTGAAAATCGCTCATATTATTTGTTTTTTATTATTATTTGTTTATTGTTTCAAGTTTTTTTTTACTAGTTTTTACGCCTAATGTACATTCAAGTTCACATTTAGAAATTGCAGTTACAGGCGACACCCAATTGGCTGCAGTGAAACAGGAACAAAAACCTTACTTCTATGAGCCGCCATTAAAACGTGAACGTAATGATGATGATAATCATGATAACATGTTAAATACGATTAAAATTTTCCAAAACTCTATGTCGCAAGGTGTCAGCGCTGAAGATCAATCGTTTGGAATGGTAGTCACAGATATGTTAAATACACTTGGAGTCAGGCAGAAGGCAGAGGCTAAGGTGCATATTATCAAGTATCTTACGGATATGCAGCTGCTGGCACAGCATAACAAATACTAAAAAATGGGAATCAATTTTTGCGATCGCTGTTAAAAACCTTTTGTAATTACAACTTTTTTTACATATACTATAAAACTCATCGTTTTACTTAAAATATCTGATTTTATTTGAGGAAATTCACAGATTTCAAAGATAAAGGTGAAAATTATTTTTAAAAAAAATATGTTCAATAATTTTTATATTAAAAATAATTGATTTTAATATATTTAATTTATATATAATATATATATTATTTGATGTGCAGTAAATTACAGAGTACAATGGGAAATAATTTTTAACCAATCTATATTTTAATAATTTACATATAATTTTTTTGTTATATATGGCTTTAATTTGTGCAGCTTAATACTTTCATACATGCAGGTAATAATCCTTAGCTAATATATTTGTACATGAAAATATTTAATATTTATCTAATATTTCTAATTTCAGTTTAGTCATGTATGAGTTCTTGCTTTAATTCAACAAAATTGATGAAACTTCATATAATTTTAAATTATTTTAAGTCGTGCAAAATTTTACGATAAGCATATAATAAATTTATACTTATGATGTCTGTATATAAATAAACAATTAAGAATTTATGAATTATAAAATGATTGCTTATTCGGTTAAATGAAAAGACTTTATTATATGTTGAATTAAGTACCCATTCACACAGTGTCTAAAACAGGTTCTTGACACTTTCTTAAATTTCAAGGTTTGGTCAGAGATCTAAATATAATGAGATGCTTATGGAAAAATATACTTATGGAAAAATAGGAACAATTTGCTTTGCATAAACTACATAGATGGATGGCAAGATAAAATTACGATATGAAGCATAACAAAAAAAATTTTATTAAATCAAACATGATAGTACTAAAATTTCGATATTCGAACATAATAAGCGTAACCAAATTTTTTTTATTAAATCATTTTTTTTAAATCATGTTTATGATTTATTACAGCTTCCCCTTCGATCATAATAAAAATTCATGAATGAAAAGAAATCTAGATTTTTTTGTTAATAGAAATGAAGCAATACAAAAACAACTAATGCATATATACAAAAATAGTCGTAATAGCTGTATGCTATATAAAAGTCATATACCAACTCCCCGATTCAGTCTTGTCATATTGGAAGAATTAACATTCACACAAACCTACAAAACTTGGAAAAATCTCGCGAACATAACATCAATACCTACCATCACTTGTGGATTTAATAGATATTATTACGCCGTAATATGTCAGCTATCCCTACAAAGTTACCTTCGGAGTATGAAGTCGAGGAATACTTGTACTTCCATTAAATTAGTATCAAGACTCTAAATCTTTGAACTTTCCAGGCTTCAAACAATAGTCATCACTGATATTTTCTCTGTTGCGGAAGGGGTCGACGTATTAATGAAATCATTGTGTGCGACAAGATGGATAGAGCTCTTCTATTTATTTTGGCGGTATTGTGTAGACATTTGGATGTATAACTTTGTTGTATCAAAGGATGTATGTTTTTGACAGTAGCTGGTTTTGTACCTTGAAGGGAGCATTTTGAATCTTGATTTTGAAAAGTTTGAAGATTATTTCAGCGTAACTTGACGAGCTGTAGAGTCGATACTGGTGTAGCATGGATTGCTCTATTGCGTTGTATAGCCCGCGAGCTCCTTCAGAACGTATAGTATAGGCCGCAATAAATTCTATTATTTTGTATGTTACCACCAAAATTTTTTATCCTTACCTAAAGAACAAACCGCGAGCGACATCAGTCGTTGTTACAACTGTACTACCGACTACGTACAGCAGTTGCACGAGCTAAAAGGGGTAAGCATATTAACCGCTTTTAAAACACCACATTGCAAAAGCCATAAACAGAGGAGAGGTGCTTGAAATTCATTTGTAAACAACGTAAAAATATGGCCACGGTTTTAAAAAAAAAAAAACAATTTTTTTATGTACTGTATTCCAATATTGTCTATAAACAAAAATTTAGATATCCTAGTTAATTAGCATGTTAAAGTCTACCCAGTGAAGGCGGATTTGGATTGCAAACAGCATTAATAATTTTGGAAATTTATGTTGGCAATGCCAATGCTTTAGTTGACATGTGTTAAAAATGAACGTCAAATTTTTGACATTAAGCGTTTTCTGCCGGAATCTTTGTTTTGTTTTAAAGTAGATTTTTTAAAAATAAATTTGAATAAAAATGCCAACTTGGAATCAAATTCAATCTCAATTACGAAATGCGAACAATCCAGTTGTATTTTTTGATGTATCTGTCGGCACCACAGAAATTGGACGCATGATATTCGAATTATTTGCAGACACGGTACCAAAAACTGCAGAAAATTTTAGGCAATTATGTACTGGTGAATATCGGCCGGATGGCGTTCCAATGGGCTATAAATCTGCTAGCTTCCATAGAGTGATTAAAGACTTTATGATACAAGGTGGAGACTTTGTGCATGTATGTATATGGGTAGTACTTTTGTATACATAATGGAACAGTTTACTCTCTAGGGTGATGGCACTGGTGTAATGAGTATATATGGTGGAACATTCGCAGACGAGAATTTCATATTGAAACACGATTCCCCTGGACTTTTATCTATGGCAAATAGTGGAAAAGATACCAATGGTTGTCAATTTTTTATAACTTGTGCAAAATGTAATTTTTTAGATGGTAAGCATGTTGTGTTCGGTCGCGTTTTAGACGGTTTACTAATAATGAGAAAAATAGAAAACGTGCCCACTGGACCCAATAATAAACCAAAATTACCTGTTATTATATCACAATGTGGACAAATGTAGTTAATTCATTTTATTTAATTGCTTATATTAATTTATATAAATAAAAACAGATCAAGAAACATACAAAACATTTTAGGTAAATATGTTATAAAATTTACATATTGGTTTTTTCTTTTCGCAATATTTTGCAATCATCTATAATAAAACTAAAATTTAATTAAGTTAGAAAGCAATTCTTTCCCGTTATATAAATAGTAGTACGATACCTGTAAAATAATACAATTATGGGAGCCGTCACTAAATGCCATAATGCATGTGCATCAAATATCCACAGAATTGGTGGGAAATCAAAAACTTCTAAAGTCATAGATAAAGCAAGAAGAACATAGAAGTTTAATATTTTTTTGTTGTGCGTATATTTTTTTCGTACAATAAAGCACCATGAAAGCCAACCACCAGCCGATAGTATACCTAAAATTAATGTAAAAAAGTTTATTTTGTTGAAGCAAATTGTTTGAATAAAACAGTTTTAATACCTGTTAATATGTTTATTTTCATATTTAATGCATAACTAAATTTGTTAACACTTAAATACGCAAAGTAATTAACATAGAAAGACAAGAAGGTTAGAGTCAGAAGTCCTCGTAAAAATAATGAATTTTTATGTAACATTCTAAAACAGGAAAATATATAAAGTATTCAATATTAGTGTGCTAGTTTTAGTTAAAAATACAAACCTTAATACCATACAAGCAAATGTAGCCAATACAATAGAATAGGCAAATGCATAATCCATAAGTTCAGTAAATGGAAAATCTCTGGCATGAAAAACAATTGACCACACCCAACCATTAAGAGAAACCTGTTGCAGTTTGTTTGAGTAATTTGTAATGTTTACTTATAATATATAACTTACGAGGGAAAATACTTGCCAAAGCCTGTAACATGGACTATCAGGTCGTACCTCTCTTCTAAATTTTTGAAACATTCGATAATGAACTACTAAATTTAAAATAGAAAAAAATACTGATGCCGGCTCTTGAAATCCTAAGAATCGCATAAATGGCCACTTAAAAAATAAAGGTTTACATATCTATCAAATATCTGAAAAAGTTTTTAAAAACCTTGCCATAAAATTGAGGTACATTCCAGCCTCTATCTAAAAAAGCGTCTACCGTTCGCCACATACAACCATATTGGCACTCATCTGCACAAGTCCATTGCAATGCTTTGTCGAATACAGATTGTTTGTAGTATTTAATAGCTTGTTCTTGCAGCTCAATTCCATCTGTAAAATTTAAAAATGAAACTAAGAATTTATTCATTTTTTTATTTTTATTATACTAACCTGCAGAACAATTTTGTCGTTCACAGTTTTGGCGACAATTTCGAAAAAACTGTGTTCTATCCCCATTTGAAGCACTAGAGTTCGAAATAAATAAAAAAATTATAACAAATAATATATGAACATATGTACAATTTATAAAATTCATATTATTTCCCACACTTTGTCACTTTATTTTACGCTAGATACATTTTATATTGTAAACAAATATATTATTGATTTTTAATAACAAAGTGATTTTACACTTTACACAGTGTAAATAATAATAAAGTATACACAGGGATGTTAATGTTTCAGCGATTATTGGTATTTACTGTTCAAGTGCTCTAAAATAATAAATACATGTATATAGATAATAAATTCAAATACTATTTCGAGAAAGCAAGCGATATTACTCTACATTTATATTTTTTCTCAAGTATCTGTATAGTATAATAATATAGTTTCTTGTCTTATACGGTAAAGTCGTTATCAAACTCTTATTTTAAAAATAGGTGCTTTCTATGGCTCGCAAGTGTAGTAAAAAACGACATACTGGCCTATAGGAGCTAAGCGACATTGGCATCACTGTTTCAATCTGTCAAATATTATGTTTTCGCAAACAGTGATTCTCACATATGTGCACATAAATCGAGCAAATTACAATTTGTATAAAAATAAATAATATGAAATTGAATGAATAATGAATTAAAAGCAATGTTAAGAAAATTATGAATTTTCCGTTTACAAGAAAATTTATAATAATTTAGAATATTTATGCCTTAATAAATACTGACTTCTTCGCAACTAGAAGTTAAAAAATTTAAAACTATTTTTAAATAAATGTTCTTCATATACTCCCAAAAATTTTTGGATTTATTTATGTGCATATTTTTAAAATATTCATTTTCCACAATTTTGCATATTTTTAGAATATTTCATTTTCACAATATTCAAATTTGTAAAACAGTTTAATCTTATTTGAATTTGTGTTTACAAATTTTGATATATGATTGAAATATTCATTGAAATTTCCAATTTTTCTTTACTGACCAAAGTGTTTGCCCACTTCACAACTACTTGCTTACATGTAAGCAATTATAGGCCAGCAACTTGCTGTTTTTTTGTCACACTTGCGAGCCACCGAAAGAACCTAATAAGAATGAGTTGCACAAAAATGTGTTTTATTTATTTTTTATTTCTAATTAAGAATATATTATTTTTCAATGTTTGAAAACTTAATTAAGAATATCTATCACTTATTATCAATTTTTATTAGTTTCAGTCTATAATTATATGTGAAAAATAATTTATATTTTATAGTTTTTTAATTAGTTTTTAATTGTTAAACAATTTGATACTTGTAATGTAAAGTTTTTTAAAACAAGAAATATGCTCATATCAATTATTCGGTTTCTTGATAACCTATAAATTTTTCAAGTGAAGAGCATCTCTGTAAGAAAAGAACATTCGTATTGGTATTCAAAATAAAATGAATAAGTTGGTAGCACTAGAATTTTATATCGATAATATAAACAAAAAACATTGTCACTGTCAATATCATATGTAAATTCCTATCGACATTTAGATGTTTTACGAGTAAAGATGAAGTTTAAGTAAATAAAGTATAAATATTATACGCATTAAACATTTTGAAAAATGCATAAAGAGAAAAAAATGTTTTTTTCATCATAACTTTAAAACAAACAACTAAAAATTTAAAAAAGTGTAGCTAATATAAAAATATTCTTAATATGCATTGGTACTTACATATGTATATAAAAAAAAATCACATGCTTTAACATCAAAAGTACTTCTAGAGGATATCTCTATATACTATTTCATCAATGACAACTAATTTTGCTTTAATAGCAAAATCAACAAATGTTACTACTACATCTCAACTGACCGCTGATGGTCAGTGCAGTTATCGCAAAAAGGTTAGATAAAACTGCATCTGCATATTTGGTATAACAATAATTAACAATCTATATGGCATTTCTATCATTTGCAGCACGAGCCAATCATTCTTTTCATTATGCGAGTTAATCTCAAAGCTGTTTTGTTTTTTTTAACCGTTGCTGTAGTTGTTATAACATTTGCAGTTTATATCCGCTGCTCTGAATTCACATTTCCACATGTCCTTGTCAGACATTGGGATCGTCGGTTATATGAAGTAATTGGTGACTCCAGCATTGGAAATGAGTTAACAGATAATGATATTACGGAAAATACAAAAATAAGTGGAGCTCTCAGCACCTTGCAGTCTATTGACTGCGATATAAATCAAGAGTACACAATAACTTGTATGCGCGATGAGAAATTCAACGAAATATATGTACCATTTTCCTTTATACATAAATACTTTGATATCACTGGTGGTATAGCTGTTAATACAAAGGAAGCTGGTAACGTAGAAAAAAAAGAAAAAGTTATTAAATTTAACTGGTGGCACAGCACTGCTAAAATTAATTTACCGAAAGGCAAATATGATGCTCGAGGTTTATATATGTATTTTGAAAACTATAATGTCGAGGTAAGTCAAAGATTCTAATATGAACACAACTTCCATTTGATTTCATGGAATATCATTAAATTTCTTTTTTTAAGGTTCGAGATCGTGTAAAATGTATCAGTCCAGTTGAAGGTGTACCTTTGAGCACGCAATGGGAAAAACGTGGTTATTTTTATCCAACTCAAATTGCACAATTTGCATTATCACACTATAGTAAAAATCTGACAGAACAGGAACCACGCAATAAGGTATAAATAATTACCTTATGAAGTACATTTGCATTAATGTTAAATATTGCAATACAATTTTATAGATTCTAGAAGATGCTGATGCTAATCAAAATGAATGGCTTATGCCGAAAGGTAGTAATATTTCTCGAATATGGCATCCCAAATTCAATACTTCCGTTATACAATACGAGACTTCAATTGATTATGATAGCGCTGTAACGATTAAAGTTGATCAAGGTGCTGATTATGTCCTTAGTATAGATTTGCTATTAGTTACAAATAGCAGCAGTTTAATGATAAACATGCTAAATCGAGAAACAAAGCGTATATATCGTTTGCATTATATACCAGCCGATTTATTACTAAGCGTACAGGAAGATAACATTTATTATGGATTGGGTACATCTGCTTTAAATAAATGGAGACATACTACTCGAGATTTAGCTATTGATATCCAGAAGGGTCTCACATCTGATAAGAAATCTGCAATTAAAGTTCGTCGTAGTGATTTAAGAGTATTATCAATATCATTTTTAGGAATAGGTTTCTTTGATAATATAACGCTTGCTACTTCGAATCACATGGCGCATTTTTATGATGCCGCCGAGTGGTTTGTTAATAACCAGGACATGAAAACTGGCGGCTGGCCAAATCCTGTTAAACGAAGTTTAAATGGTTTTGCGGAACTTCATGCTGGTTGGATTTCGGCAATGGGGCAGGGGCATGCTATTTCAGTTCTATCACGAGCCTATTGGCATTCTGGTGGTGATAAACGCTTTTTGAAAGCTGCAGCTTTTGCGCTTAAACCTTTTCATGTATTGTCTAAAGACGGCGGAGTATTGGCACAATTTATGGACAAATATTTTTGGTATGTTTTTTTTTTTATTGAACAATTTATTAATATAACAGAGTACTCAATAATAGGTACGAAGAATATCCTACGACACCATCATCGTTTGTGCTTAATGGTTTCATATATTCCTTACTGGGTTTGTACGACTTAAACTCGACAGCGCCAGCATATGTGGCAGGAGAAGCTGGTAAGCTTTATAATCAAGGGATGCAGTCACTTAAAAAGATGTTGCTTCTTTATGACACTGGTTCTGGCACAAGTTACGATTTAAGGCATTTGAGTTTAGGTTTGATATTTAGTTTTATTTTAATAAATTTCTTACAATAAATTGAAATATTTATAGGTGTGGCACCTAATTTAGCTCGGTGGGACTATCACGCCACACATGTAAATCAGTTGCTATTATTGGCAACAATTGATAGTGATCCTTTAATATCCCGAACTGCTGAACGTTGGAAAGGATATATGTTTGGTAAACGTGCCAAACATAATTGATAGCTTCAATAACTGTACTACATTATACTATATATATATATATACATATATACACTTAGAAAATAAGAAAATCGAAAATTAGGACGTCTAGCGTCTAACAAAGTGATATTGTGAACTAATTTTAAGTATTGTTTTACTTAACTTAAAGTTTAATACGTTTTTAAATAAACTTTTTAGTATTGTTCCATTAAAAAATATTTTTTGTAGTATTGACTTACCTTTATATGTATTTTTCTTCTTGTATTTTTGTGGTGCTGCTTTATGTTTTAAGTTTGTTTATTTTTTCAATATGTTTAAGTTTTTTAGTAGCACATCTAACTTAGAAAGTACCTTAAAGTATTTTAAGAAGTTTTATAATATTGAGAAAAATTTACACTGTAGAAATATATGTATATGTAGTGGCACTGTCATATATGAAAGAATTTGAAATGAGTGTTGTAATTAATTAATTTGCAACAATTTTTGATTAATTATATTTGCTTAATGTATTTAAGTTGAAAAAAAAGCTAGTAGAAATACAATATATTGAATTTTAATTTTAAAATAATGTAGTGTTAAGCTTTTTTCTTTTGATCGTGTTATAAAATCAGATATTTAGAAAAAAAAACTGTTATAGTGATGCAACATTTATCTAAATCAATGTTTTTTTTTTTCAATCAATGTTTTGTAAAATAGTAGGTCTCTAATATATAAAACGTTAATATTTCTTAGTAGTATTAAATTGAAGAAAATGCAATTTAATAGTTAATATGAATAACATGCCAATATGGAGCAGTGCATATCGTCTTAAAATTAAATTTAAAAAATTAACTCAAAAGGATTTAATATACAACAGAATTTGTATATTGTAATTTTTTTATATTATCCTTATTAAATTCATTCCATAATTTTTTATACAAAGAGATATTGCAATAATGTAATATAGTGCATATGAGCGACGCAATAATTTCAAATATTTGTTTTGTTAAAATTTATTTATTTTTAACATAAAATGCTTAAAAGTAGTATTTTATATATAGACAAGTATACAAACATCAGTTTTACACATAATATCAACGGAATTGCTAAGACTTGATTGGTTTTTAATGTACATGTAAAAGTTTGTCATGTCAATTAAACAAAATTGTACAATAATATTTTATTATACGAATTAATTTATATTTATTTGAGTCTTATTGGTTTCAAATATTTATATGTACTCCCAAACTTTAAATTTTATTTCATTCAATAATATTGTTATTTTTAAAATCGAATTTAAGAAATGTGTACTTAATTAAGTTTTAGTTTTTAAATAAAAAAATATTTTATTAACTAAAAGTAATAATAAGCAGAGTTTAGCGAAATTGAATATATACATAATAAAATACAAGTAAAAAATTGTGTATTTTGGTTTTGAATTATTTAATAATAAAATAAACTAATGAGAATTATGTTGAAATTTTATATATAATAATTTTTTATTTTGTTTAAAGCTCTTTTTAGAAAAAAAAAAGTGAAGGAATATTAATTTTGCAATAGATTAACTTTATATCCGGAAAAGTCGTAAAATGTGCATTTTAAAAATTTTAGTGTAGAGGAAGATTTAGCTTATTTATGCACATGAACTTAACATATTTATTTAGTTATATCAATATATTTATATTTAATTGAACATCTTCGCGTGAAATGTACATTTTATTTTAATTTTATAAGAAAATATTGGTTATTTTTTGATATGAGTTTAATTTATTAAAATTATTTACATATAATTGAAAAATCTATAATAATTTATGAATGGGGTAATTGGTCATTTAAATAAAAATAAAAAAACTATAATTTATTATTTATATTGAAACGAATTATGTTATTAATATAATTTCCATCTTCTTGACCATCTTCGATAGTCAGTTTCCCTGAAGATGACCACTGATGATGGGTATTTGGCAATACTCAAAAAAACTGTATAACTGTATTACTAAAATTCAGATAATTAAAATAATATAAAATAAATTGTTGTTGTTGTACTTCACTACTTTTCGAAAAATCTCTTCATAAAATAATTTGTTTTAAATATAAGTAATAAATTATAGTTTTTTATTTCTATTTAAATGACAAATTAGCCCACTCATAAATTATTATTTATATGTTATATTGTACACCTTTGATAAAGGTACTTTTTATTTTTAAATTAATGGAAAATTTAGTTTATTTTTATCCATATGATATTAACATATTTATTTAATTATGTGATTCAATATTCATTTTTAATTGAAGAATTTTATAAAATGTACATTTTGTTTTTAAATTTTAGTTTTGAAGAAAATAAGATATAAGGTGTATTTTCCTCTTTTTACTCTTGCAACTTATGCATTTTGCTGCCAAATGGCTTAGGAAATATAATATTACTATCCTGCTATGTAATTTGAATGAACGATATGTTAACAATAGTTATCGATAAGTTAAATTTGACCTAATACAAGCTGTAAAAAATAACTATAGTTAAAGATACAGAAGAGTCAATTATATAGGAATAGAAATAGTAATAAATTTAATAAAACTAATTATTATTTAATAGTCAAGATCTGCGTGTCGATAAAATATGCGATTTTATTGAGGGTGCACCATATCTACGTATAGCCTCTTTTACAAATGCATGTTCCATTTGATCACATATTAAGTCAAAAAATAAGTTTGCTATATTACTATGTAACAATGATTTAAATTCAAAAGAAACTTTAAAATCTACAACACAAGATTGTGGAATATCCTTTAAACCGGCACTGAAACGCCACTCATTTAGAAGATAGTTGAATAAACGTCCATCTTTACAAACAGATTTTACTAAACTGTGTGGCATTAAGGAAACAGTCGATGTATAAGCTTCATTAAGTGGTGGAAAACCGACAATAAGATCTGCTCTAAATCCATTTTGTTGTTGACTGTGGACATGTGATTTTTTCACGTAAGGTACAAAGTTATAATAATTCGTTACATCTGCTACAACTTCATACATTTCTTGCATGGAATAACTATAATTTAATAACATTTAGTAAAAATTATATATACATATAAACATACTGTATATAGATCTTACCCAATTAACTCCTTTTTCACATATTCTCTATTTTTATTTGTTAAATTTGATATATTAAAGATGTTACGAGCTTTAGAATTTGAGTTCACGTGCCATGATGCAATACTGCAATAAAAGTAACATATGTACTTACATATATAATTTTATTTTTCTAAATCTTTAGCACGCCTACATTGGAATTTCACATATTAAGGATCAGCGCAACACGTGTATTCGCTGGACTGTCCCAGTTTCATACATTATGTAATGTAAATATTTATATTAAATTGGGAATTTTTACAAACTTACGATAATTTACAATTACAGCAAAGTATGTGTTTATTTGGTAAGACCAATTGTAATGTTTTTAGCATAATTTTATTATTTTAAATAAAGTTTTCGTTTATTAAAAAATATTAAAGCGTTTACAAAACTAAATAAAGGACTTTGTAGTCAGTAATTTATTATTTTGTTTTGCTAAACTATTCTGTGAACAGCTGATAGCTTTTATTATATGCCAAACAGCTGTTCTCGCAATTTCAAGGTAAACATACTTATGTACTTATTAGACAGGAAAAATATATTAAAAAAATTATTAAAATATTCTAACGGTGAGTTCGTTAATAGATTTACATTTCTTTATTATTAAAAACAATTTTGTAATTCATATTGGCACATTTACACTCCTGCGTAAAATAAAAATGAACTGGTTCCAGAAGTGACCACGGCTGGGCTATAATTCGGAATCATTTATCACCATCGACAACTGTGCTCACCATTTGTATACATTTTTAAAATAATAGAATAACATATAAAGATATAAAACAAAAATTATTATATGTAAGTTCAAACATAGAAATTAATAATTATTGTTACTTAAAGGTGCATCCAAACCAAAACGAACGAACCAACATTTGCAGATAATGGTCGCTTTGGGGTGGATGTATCTTAATATAACAAAGGGAATTTTATTTATAACAATTATTAAGTTAATTAGAAATGATAAATTTGTTATATTTTTATTCTTACTTATTTAAAACGATATTTATAAAAACGATGACATAGTTATATTTTTAACCTTACAAATGATGATGATGATCATAAGTATTATTATTTTTGTAAATAATATAAATAGCATTAGAACAATAACTTGCACCAAAAACGACGGTAGTGTCCGAAATATTAATATTCAATGATCTTACATAAAGTACATATATTTTCTCATTATCTATTGCTTACGTTAACAAAAATTTATTTATTTTCAGGAGGTTGACCTATATTTAAATGCATTAAATCAATCTAACTTAAGAATTATATTGCAGAGAAACAGTTTACTTTCACTATGCATATCACAAGATTATGTACAAAAAGTCGTCTTTTATTGCAGTGTGCAAATAGAGCAACAAGTGATGTTAACATTAAAAAATCATTTCTGCACAATCATCGTTTAGGTTATGGAAGTAGGCTAAAGTTCAAACTAACGTACCTGGGTTTTGGACTTTTAGGCAGTACAATTGCTTACGATGGCATTATCAATGAATTTACTTACTGTGGTGCTACTTTTAGATTTATACGTTCACTGAAAACTGCTTCTTTGATTGCAGTTGATTATATATTACTGGAAAGGCATGAAAATGATAAAGATTATGACAACCAGTTAAGTGCGGTGCATCAGAGAAGTGCTAATCGCTTATTAGAAACATGTTTGAAAAATGGTGGCCTATATATTAAAGTTGGGCAAGGTTTTGCTGCTATTAATCACATACTCCCTAAGGAATATACAAGCACACTTGCAAAATTACAAGATGAGTGTTTGCCAACTTCACGTAAGTGCCATACAAAATTGGTAATTGTGCTTTTATAAGTTATATTTTTATTTTAATTTTATTTTCTTCACTAGGTAATGATGTACAAAAACTATTTCATGAAGAATTTGGACAATTGCCAGAGAAAATATTTGCCGAATTCGACTATAAACCAGTAGCAGCCGCTAGTTTAGCACAAGTGTTTCGTGGTAAACTCTTGAATGGTGATGAAGTAGCTATAAAAGTAAGATGAAGTAGCTATATACATTTTTAGTGTATTTAATTTAATTTTGGAAATGGGTTTAATATAGGTTCAATATAGTGATTTACGCAAACGTTTTACTAGTGATCTGGGTACTATAATGTTTTTACAAGATATTATCGAATTATTTTTCAAAAACTATAACTTTGGTTGGATATTGCGTGACGTACGTAAGAATTTAATACAAGAGTTGAACTTCGTGAATGAGGGCAAAAACTCAGAAAAATGCGCAAAGGATTTTGAAAATTTTAAATATGTTTACATACCGAAGGTTTATTGGAAATATACTACAACCGTAAGTATAACCGTTGTTAAGATGTATATAGACATTTTCTTAATATGGTCGGCTTTTTCATAAGCGCGTTTTAACTTTAGAGTGGATGAATGGATTTAAAATTAGTGATATGGAGCAAATACGGCGTAATAAGATGGATTTACGTGATATTGATATGAAGTTATTTAAAATGTTTGCTGAGCAAATATTTAAAACTGGATTCGTACATGCAGACCCCCATCCAGGAAATAGTAAATTTATTATTTTAATTTATCATTAAGTTTTATATTTATTAATAAAGAATTTAATAGTTTTTATACGAAAAAACCCAAATAATGGCAAAGCAGAACTTATATTACTTGATCATGGCCTTTATGAAATATTACCGGAAGAAGTACGTTTGCCGCTCTGCGAGTTTTGGGAAGCTACTGTATTACGTAACGACAAAAAAATGGAAGAATGTGCAAAAAAAATGAACATAAAGGACTATATGAAGTTCGCAGAAGTTTTATTTCAACAGCCTATTAGTATGAATAATGGGCATATAAAAACGAAATTAACACAAGCAGATATAGAATATATTCAGGAAATTGCGAAAAAGAATTTCGATTTAATAATGAACACATTAAAGGAAATGCCACGTAATATGATTTTTGTAGTAAGGTAGGTAATGCTTATTTATAAACACAAATACTTGTTGATATGCACATTATATAATTATATTAGAAATTTAAACACTGTAAGAGCAATTGGAAGGCACCATGGTGATGTAGTTGATCGACCTAGCGTTATGGCAAAACATGCTCAAAAATGTGTGAATAAAAACTTCAATTCATTTACTGGACGTTTACAATGGTTTTACCGGCGGTGTATATTTGAATATTGCTTGTGGTAACTTAATTATTTTTACTATTTCATATAAATGCAATGACTGTATTTCATTTCAATTTTAGGCGAAATGCTTTCAAAATAAGATGTTTAAATTTGTACTTTTTAATTCTGTACAAATTGGGACGAGCCCCTAAAGAAGCTACAACATTACTGCAGACATTTCCATTTGAAGAACAAAGTTGACGTCTTTTGTAAAAACTTTTGATATTTAGTTAGATATATCAAATAAATATATATTTTCATATTTAATTTTCAAGTATTTACATTATTGTACAGTATGACTTTGATTCTTTCTCTACAGGCAATTGGCCTTCCAATTCCATTTGTTTAAGTTTAAGATAAGAGTTCTCATAGCGTTTTGTAAGCCATTCTGGTAGGGGTTTACTCCAGTCATCCGGTGGGCTTGAACGTTTTTTCCATGTTGTGTTGCCATAATGAGCTTTCATACGCGTTTCACGCCTTTGTTGTTCGCTTTTAATTATAGCTTCACCTGCTGTTACATCACGTCTTTCAGATTCCTCGTACGCTATACAGTTGTCATAATCTGTTTTCCATTGTGTACAATCGGTATTTTCGCCATCCACAAAATATTGATGAAAACGGGCTTTAATACTAGTGCAGTTATCATATTCATCCTTATATAAGCTGCACGAACGTATCTAATGTAATAAAAATATGTATATAAATTTCAGCTGTTTTTGTGTATTTTTCAAATCTTCCTACCGACCAAGCATTCTTTAGGGTTGGCGCAATGTTTGAAGAAGAAGAATTTTCACTTATTTCATCTTTATTCGACATGTCTTCCCTTTAAAGAATAAACTATAAACAAAAATCTGTATAATACATACTAAAGTATATTACACGCTTTATAAAGTGACGTTTAACTTAACAGCTGATTTAAAAAAAAAAACAAAAAAAATTGTTTATCCATACAAAAGCATACTTTGCTCCGATACAGTGAAAACACATTATAAACACGTTTTATCAAATTTTGATTTATATTTGAACATTTAAAATTATACAAGATACAAAATAAATTGCGTTATTTAGCTTATACATAGAAAATACATATTCCTGATTCAATTAATATTATTTTAATTTATAGACTTATATTTATAAATCAAACATTTATATACATTTATTAAAATTTTCTTAATATTTATTTGAATGCAAAACAATAATGTGACACAGACATAAATCTTATTTAAATTATTAACGATATAAAATATTTGATTATGTACTCCTTGGCGATGCTAATCAAATAATTCTTAATAAATTAAACACATCACCTGGGTACTTAGTGGTTCACAATTATTATACTTAACTCTATGCAGTAAAAAAGCAGTAAGTTTCCAATTCATCATTGCACCAAAATCATCCTGCATCAAAATGACGTAAATCATTCAAATAATATATTCTTTGATAAAAATTCAAAATGAATCACAAATTTTCTTCTAATTTTTCGACCAAGCTGGTACTTCTTGCACATTTATCGTTTTGATACAGCATGCCCTATATAATGAAAATATGACATAAAATAAATAAAATAATCATTTAAATGCAGCTAAATTCAAAATAATTGGCTTCTCTGCAAAATTTCCTGCTTTTAGTATGTAAGAAGATTTTGTATGTATGGAGATAAATCAACATCAATTCTGTTTTTCCAATTCCATATTATTAATTTAATAATGATTATCTTCAATAATGCTATTTTTATTTCAAAAGTAGTAAAAGTCTTCTTCATGAAGATCTTCTTTCATTATCATCATCCGATTTTTCAGCGTTATTATCTTCAATTTTAAAATCGCGTACTCGATATGCAACAAATTCACCAATTTTTTTATTACCGGTATAGAAAAAATCATTCAAACAATTTCCACATAAATAAGCTGGATCATGCAGTTGGCGATTACTATTTTTAACGACAAAAAAGTAATGTTGACTACTACACATTTCACATATGCGATTAGTGTGCACATTATATGATTTTAAAATTGGATAACATTTCTTTGAAAAGTATTGATCACTAGGTGTTAGGATTTCGACTTGTGAAAAAGTAAATAAATGTTGACAATTTCCATGATGCTGGTATAATTGTGGAAAACCAATGCTTACTGTTAGGTCAAAAAAACGCACATTTTCCATATTTTTTACAGAAAAGTTAAAGTTCTGTAAACCATTAGTTTTTTTAGCCCATTCACGTATAATTGCTGAATAGTCAGCATTTTGTGGAATCCGCATATCGTTGTAAAATGTATCTGTTATAAAAAAAAATCCAGGATCTTGAAATTTTTCTGGAAGTTCTGCATATGGTTCGTCACTTACATCAAAAAATCTTTTTTTACCGCATATACATGAAACTTTGTCCCGAAGCTCTGTTAGTAAATTACTTCCCAAGCACTGAAATTCTTCAGCAAATTTAGGTTTTTCCAATTTTTGACCTTCATGAGAAACACGTCGTGGACTGTAAAATCTTACAGTTATAACTAAATCGCTAACAAAACCCCTTGCATCAATTTTTTCAAATGGAGTTTCTACCATCTTATATATTTCAGCTGATCGCTTAAATGGATTTTTTTCAGATTGTTTCTTAGAATTCCTTAAATAATTATCGGATTTCAAATTTGATACACTTTCAGCACATTTGTATCGACAGCGATAGATTTCAGAAACACCTGGTTGATATTCATATACCTCACTCTCATCTGGCACTGAAAGTTTATTTAGTGATGTAGCTTCCTCCAGATTCAATAATTCCTCGTCCGTAATACGATTTCGCATACAATGTCTTATATTTAATTCCACTAATGGATGTTCGATCATAAAAATTAAATTTTCTTTAAGCTTATTTGAATAGTTTACGAAAAAATCATTAAGCGAAATGGGAGGAGCCATTTCAACTCCCATTATTTCTTCCATTACTTTTGTTTCTATAGACATTTAGATTTAGATTAATATAATCAATCAAAATATTATCAATATAAAAGTTACACAATTATTGTCTATCTTCTGGAAAAGTCTTAATAGCTTCAGTATATGATATATTTAATTTAATATTTTGTTCAGTACTTTTATCTTCCAGTATATTTTTGTTTGTGTAACTTGAATTATCTTCAATATTAGTGTTTTCGCCTATAAACATTCTTTCAAATTTTATAATTTTGTTCGTTTTTCCCATATACGAGTACATTTGTGGAGACGAAGTTTCAAAAAGTGTATCAGCTGCAACGTTTTCCGCACAATCATCACTGAAAAACACTTTAGTAGCCAAGGCAAAGTCAAAATTACCTGAAATGTTTAATTTTTTATATTAGTGCTCTGTAATGTTATAAAATAGTTCACCACGCCTAACCTTTAAATATGTTGCCCTTTATTTCTGCAATTGGATTTTTCGTTTCTAATCCAATTATTTTAATTGCTTGTTTACAGTCTTCAACTTCATGTTTCAATAACTGATTTTGAAAGTCTGCGAAAACTAAATAAGAATCTTCATCTTCATATTCGGAGTCGCTCATTACTATAATCAAAACAATATACAAATATTTTGTTATATTTTATAACATTCCACGCTTCGTCACAAATTTTGACGTTTCGATTTAAAACGAGAAGAGTTGCCAGTTAAAGTTGTTAGGCGTTCATTTCTCCAGCACGATATAAACAAAAGAATATTTGTACAAGTATTCCTTGATGTTTAGACTTCGTATTCGGTTTTACGAAGTATTCTGACATTCTGATTAAACAGATTTTAAAAAAGTCTCCGAAATTGAAAATTTAATGTGAGAGCACAATATGCAAACGGACGTGCATCACACAAATTGTTTGAAGGATGATAGAATTTGCTTTGTTTGTATTATTTTGTGGTTTTGGTATTTTATGCAGGAAATTATACACATGTGTTTGTTTTATTTTATTTAATTACATATTATTAAATAAAAAATTTATAAATTATAATTATAAATAACTTATATTTATAATTTATATTAAAAAAATTAAATTAATGAAAATATTATATATAAAATACACATATAAAAATTTGATGATATTAATGAAAAATTTATAAAAGTTTTCATTTTTCCTTTCTAAAAAAATATTAAATCACAAAATAAAACCTTTTAAATTAGTTATGAAGAAATTAGTTATGCTAATTTTATGAAAAATTTATAAAAGTTTTCATTTTTCCTTTCTAAGAAAATATTAAATCACAAAATAAAACCTTTTAAATTAGTTATGCTCCTCAATGCATAATTATTTGACCTGAATGACCTCTAATGATCACGCAGGTAGGCGCAAATTTATTTTTGTATATTAAAATTCAAATTTTTTTGTTGTAGTTATTGTTGTTACTGTTGTTATTGTTTTTAAATCGTTATTTCTAGGAAAAAAATAAAATGTAAATTAATATATAAGCAAAATTGTATAAAAAAATTAATATTTGAATTACATAATAGATATAGAGATTTCATGGGTTTTAGGTTATGTATAAAATCGAATAATCGTAGAACTTGGGTTTTTAAAAAATCCGAATAAAATGAACAGCACTATTATATATCGGTGCATGGTGTGTTTATTTCGTGTTATAGAGATTTTCAGTAATGAAGGTCAATGGCACAACAATAAAATACATTGCAAAGTCGGTTTCAACTCTTTTAAGTATGTAATTTGTTGTTATAATTCTTATAAAAGGTCTTTTGGTTAGTAAGTATATCACAAAAGAACAGCCGCTTATTTTAAATCTCATGTAAAACAACAACACTGTTGGCTTATTTGGTCCAACCTCTTTGAAATCGCCTAAGTAATATGCAGCTCAAATCGCATGGTTGCCAAGACTAAAAATTCGTCTATTGTGAACGACTTTTGTAATTACATACGAAATTTTCAGTTAATTGTCAACGAATGATTTCGTTAATTATTTTATTTTTTCTATTTATTATTTTACTGTTAAAAGTCATGAAAATTCATATTTTATTCACAATCATGTAAAAGAAAAATATTCTTACCAATAATTGCAAAGAATTATTATTCATTTTCGATATTTTAACTTTAAACTTTTTATGTGTTTTGCATATAAGCCTAACAAAATTTCCATTTTGTCCAGAGTTGAATGGAGTAGTGCTTATTTTATTTGCTCTTTTGAGACGTGTTTACAAAAGAATAGAAAAGTTTTAAGTCACACTAAGAATAGTTAAATACGGAGACCTTATGAAATATTGGATCTGATATATCGAAGTGAGTAAATTTTTAATAAATTTGTTTAATAATAGTTTTGGACATAATTATAACTAGAATTTGTTAAGTTATTGTTATGAAACTATTTATTAAATTTATATTACAATTTTTGTGTACAAAAAGATAGAACATAAAAATTAAACATTTTTTGTGGATTTCAGTAGTCTTACTAATTGCTGGACCTTATTCAAAGGTTGTCCAAATAAAAAACGCAACAATGTTGAGTATTAAGTATAAAATGAAAATATTAAAAGTAAATAATACAAAAATAGTTTAATGCGATTCATTTTGAAATGACATATAAGGTATATAATAATTAATATATTAATATGTATATAATGATTCATCTAAAAAGAGGTATAACCGAACACGCCCGAATAACCTTTATATATGACCTTGTAATTATTTTCAGCAAACGACATTATTTCAATGTGTAATTGTCATACCGAATCGTGTTACTGCATATAAAAAAATATGGCATCACTTACTTGACGAAACTTTAAATTCAACGAAAAATTTACTATTAATGGCCGGCGGGAAGATAGTATCACGTCAAAGCAGAGTGGTTGAGAAAGAGAAAGGGACGTGTTCGAAAATACGTGAAATTTTACACAAAAGTGCCTAAATTGTCATTTTATATAATAAATATTAGTTGTTTAATAGCTGCCAAAGGTAAACATACTAAGTTCGGGAAATAGTGTCTTATATTATAAATTTGTATGTATTAAAACATCAGTATTCGCGAATGAGAACAAAAAACGTGGAAAAGAATATTGTGATAAAGTGTTACCCATTGTTTTGAAAAGTTGTGTCGCGAGATAATAAATAAGTTGGCATATATATTTATTAGATTGATTTCAATAAATAATATGTATATATCATTAAATTGTTGATGATTTTATTATTAATATCATTATTTATTTATTTTATGGAATGTTAGCAAGATAAAGTTAACTTAAAAAATACAACGCTGGGTTTTTCCATTACTATATGTGTATATTTACATCCTAAGTTTACCACGAAAAAAATTTAAAGAGGAACGCGGAATTATCGATTGAAAATGGCAGACGAAGATATTACTTTGAACGAAGATCAACTACTAGAAAATTTGGATGAAGCTAATGGCGAGCACGAAGCGGAATTGATGAATGAAAACGAGGTAAGCAAAAAAAACCTGTTTGTTAGATAAGTGAGATAAATAAACGAATTATATATAACGAATAACATAAAAGGAAGCTTTTTTGGTTCAGCCATTTTTCCATTAAGTTTGGGCGTGCATGCATTTAGCCGACACACAAGTCGTTTACTAAAAATTATATTTGGTTTATTTTAAGGACGAAAATAATATGCAAATTGATCCTGAACTTGAAGCAATAAAAGCAAGAGTTAAAGAAATGGAAGAAGAAGCTGAAAAAATAAAACAAATGCAAACAGAAGTCGATAAACAAATGACACAGCCGTCTGGAGTTCCTGCGACACCATTAACCCTAGAAGAAAAACAAGAAATTGATACGCGCTCCGTATATGTTGGGAATGTTGATTATGGAGCATCAGCTGAAGAATTAGAATCGCATTTTCATGGTTGTGGAACAATTAACAGAGTGACGATTCTATGCAATAAATCAGATGGGCATCCAAAGGGTTTTGCTTATATTGAATTTGGCTCAAAAGAATTTGTAGAGACGGCTTTGGCAATGAATGAAACACTGTTCAGAGGGCGACAGATAAAGGTAAGAAGTTTAAAATTTATAATATATAGTTGATTTAATTATATATTTTGGAACAGGTTATGTCCAAACGCACCAATCGTCCTGGATTATCCACTACTAATCGATTTGCTCGAGGTAGTTTTAGAGGTAGAGGAGCACGTATATCGCGTGCCTGCTGTCATTCAACTTTCCGTGGCACTCGTCGTCCAATGTAAGCGGATTTTAGTCATAAACATATCTATTGTTTGTTATTGTTTGCACGCGTTTTATTTTTCTTTAAACAAATTTTTTTTTTTTTGTGGTTTTAGTAAGGGTTACCGTGGTCGCGCCAATTTCTATACACCATACTGACTAATAATGTTTGATTAATATGGTAAGTTGCCTTTAATTTTGTTGCTCTTATTATTTTTAATTACATTTTGTATTTGTTATGCATATTGCTTGAAACAACACTAATTATATCATTTATAAAGAAGCAAAATTTATATTATTTTCATGATAACCATTTAGACCATATGCCACATAATACCACTTCTAAATTTATATTTCTTTAAACACACAAATTACATTTTTTTAAAATTTAAGTACTGATGTAGTCTTAAAAATTGTAGTAATATTATCCTTAACCCTATTGGAGTGTAGGTCAGTGAATTAGAACATTGGAAAATTGTAACTTGCGGTGAAAAATAGTAAATGAAATGAATATTAATAGTTTAGTTTATTTTTGTGTGTTTCAGGCAATATTGTCATAGATATATAATGAAATCATTAATTAAATTAAGGTTTGTTTAAAAACACTATATAATCTGTATTTTTATATATTGAATAAAATATAATTTTTAATCAAACCTTTTAATTTAGTTTGATATTTAAATAAGTTTTATTAAACTATTTCTAAACCCAAGTAATTTGAAAGTGATTTTTCACAAAATTTATGCTTAATATGAGATTTTTTGAATTATAATATATGTAAATGAAATCACAGTGTTTGGGTCTAGAGTTTGCATATCGGCCTAGTCGAAATGAAGTTGTTTTTAATATTTTCTTAATAATTTGGCATTTATCATTATTTGGACAAATATATATTAAGTTTTTAAATAAAATGGGTGCTTATAATTTTCTCGTACACTTTTATAGTATTTGCGTTTACATATATTACAAATTTATAATTTTGCTGTTTATTAAACGATAACCTTAAATGAACATTACTAGTAAAAGTATTTTATTTTTGATTTTCTAATGTATATTTATCATGTAAAATATGAGTGGGGTTAAAATTTAAACATTTCAAATTTCAAATTTTTATTATGAATTTAAATTTTAGTTATTTAAAAAGTTTTAAACATTTATTTTTTTTTAAATTTTGATTATTTGATATATATATTAATTTAAATTTGAAATATGTTAAATTTAAATAATTGTGAATTTAAAATTTAATTATATAAAAAGCTTTGAACATATTTTTCTTAATTTGTAATTTGTATTTGAAGTTTAAAACATGATAAATTTAAAAAGTTATAAATCCAAATTACTTTAAATTTAAATAAATTAAAATGTTAAAATTTACATAATTTTAAATTTGATGTTTTTAAATTTGAATAGCTTTAAATTAAAAGAGAATATAAAACTTTAAATTTAATAAGTTAATTAATTTAATAAATTATAAATTTATAATTTAAATTATAGTTACTTTGAACTGTTTTGTCTTTATATAAAAGATTATTGAGAAATAATTTTTTTCTATACCATCTTTTAGTAACTGAGGAATTCTACACCTATTTTAAAATATGAATTTTTAGCAATGGTTTTATTTTTTATTTTTTGTTTGTATATTGATTTTGAATGATATTTGATATTTAGTTTTAGTGAATATTTAAATTTTTTGAAATAATTAACTAATTTTAATATTTTACATTTATCATTTTGTTTAAAAGTTTGCTTTTCTTGCATTTTTTACCAAGCATACATATGTAAATAATGTCACCACTTGTTTTTTTTTGTAAACGTTTTGTTTTTAACATTTTAATTTAAAACAGCGAATTTAATTTCAGATTTTTTTTCATAGCCAATAATTTCAAAAAACATTATATATTGCCATGCTTCATAAGAAAAAAAATAGAGAAAAAATATATCCAAAGTATATGAGATTAAGGAAAATAATTTACTTTCTTAAAAAGTATATGTACGAAATGACTATGAATAGAAAAGGATTCTTAAGAACTTTAAATATTTATTTGAACAAAAAAAAAAAATAAATAAATAAATAAAAAAAAAACAAACAAATGGACTACTTGTTATCATCGATTTTATTTTTATGTTTTTTTATAATGTTTTTTGAATGAAACTTCCACTACAAATTCCCCTAAAATATTTTAATTTACGAACTGCTTATCTGCAAAATTTATCAAAATTAAAAAAAAAAATACAAAAAGGAGTTAAAAAAAATATCAAAAAAAAAGGAAAAGATGGAGAAAAAGAAAATAAGAAATATTTAAACAATAAGATTTTCTTGAAAAAAATTAAAAAAAGTCGAAAAGGAAGATAAAAAGAAAAAATGGCACAAAAAGAAAAATCTGAAAAGGAAAAAATAAAAAAATAATGGCAATTAAAAAAAAATCAACATTCAACACCCTATTAAGTAGCAAAAAATCTTGAAAAGAAGCACATCAAAATGGAAAATATAATATAAAAAATTAGTCATTTCAAAATAATAAAACTCTGTAAAAACTAAAAGCTAAAAAATCTCTGAAATAAAGTTCTTTCTAAACCTATTAAAAATTGTTTTACTTATTTATATAAAATATAAAACGACAGGCTTCTCGGGGAGATATGCAGATCTAAGGTGAATTATTGCTTAGTCTGATGAAGTGATAAACATTAATCCAGTCAAGGCGTAAAGAGGAGTTTTGAAGATATCTCGAGTTAACAAAGAGTAAAATTGCTCAAGTACACTGGCTCAAATAGCTTGAACATAGAAGAAAATATGTACACATTTTACATTGTTTGAATTATGCGAAATTAAGACATTAGATTTATTTAATCTTTAAAGTATGTTTACAATACTTAAAAATTAGTATAGCAAATCTATAGTAGGTCTGTTCCACGAGCTACTCGTAGTAACTTTGATTAACACTGTGTATAAACAAGTGCGTTCCACCAGCAAATTTTCGAATAAATGAGAGCATCTGAGAGAGCATAACATCCCTGTCGAAATTTGAAAATGCTACACAGACTTTACTCGTACATTTTATTTAAAGTAATATTTGTATGATGTGTGAATCAGCTATTTTGATTTGAATTTAAATTTTTGTATTGTCTATTTCCGTAGCACTGGTGTTCTCACCAGATTTTACATAAAGCTGTTCCCTGGAAAGCTATGTAAAGAGCGTAATTTGGCACTTTATTTGTATTACCTCTCAGTTTGTACTTTATTTGTGTTTTACTTGAGTTTTACTACGAGTAGCTCGTGGAACAGATCTAGTATGTATATAGAGTTGACGACTGAAATACATTGACGCGGTGTCAAAGTGAGCCGACATTATGATACCCTGCAAAATCAAGAAACTGTTATTATTTCTCGATGTAATGATATACGAAACTTCAGAAACTGACATGAAAAAATTTTTAAATTTGATCAATAACTTGAGATTTTTACAAATAAATTATTTATTTATTAGTTGAAAAAATATTTTAGCTATTACATATTATTATCAAACAAAATGTGCAAACATTTGAGAAACACATATAAACGACACATTTCAAATAAAACACGTACCTGTCACCGCACTCCCAGGACGCAGACCCAATCGCTTTTGAAACTCGACGGTATGTAGAGCTTTTCTGCACATGCCACGGCGATGAGGTTTCGGCTGAAATGCTCATCGCAATGATGTTTTAAATGCTCTCGCAGGTTACTGATTTGGTAAAGATAAAGAAACTGTAGTACACACACACACATACAAAGTAGTTTCTTTGAATCCTCCTCGTTTCAATCTAATTCACACCCATTCCCAATCCAATTTTACTTCTAAACAGTTCTCTCACCCCCCTGTCACACTACTTTCACCTATCCACATCCTAATAGCATGTTTCCACTAGCTTCGTTAGACCAGTTAAATTACTTGAGATTGCTTGAATTACTTGAATCTCAAGTAAATTAACTGGACTAACAATATAGTGGAAACGTACTATGACACATGTACAGTATGTTCAACGAATAACTGAAGCATTTGGCAACTCTATCACTTTAACACTAGTTATCACATTCATTTCATTAAACGTTTAAATGAAACTTCAATCAATGCTAATATTTAACATACTATAGAGCAGTATATGCCAATTCAACGCGATCAAATTGAAATTTCAAACGAAGTTCTTGTATCCGAAAAAAGCTTTCTGAAAAAACTATTCGTAGTTTATTAACTCTAAAATTATACATAATGTAATAAGCAGGATAAAAAAGACTTAGATAGATTTGGGGATCATGGAACTAGAAAGACGTTTTGAGCCACTGGATTGCGATGCTGATATTATTTCGATTTGTATTTTGGCAGTATATAACTATAACATCAGTGATCTTTGAAATTCCAAGATCCTTGTGGATATGAGCGTTTTTGACACACCACGGTGCACCATTTGTTTGTATAAGTAATTTATATTATATTCTCTGCACCTTCTCCATATTAGAGAAGCACTAGGGAGGAGCATTAGCGTATTTTGTTTTGTCCCCATTTACCATAAGACTGATTTATGTCGCTTGTTTTTCTAAGTTGGAAAACCCCGCACTGACGGCGTGAGTCTTCAAGCCACCAATATCAGTATCGTCGGCATACGCAAGCAGCATCACACTTTGGTAAAATATGGGGTTTGTAGGTACCTTTTTTTGTGAATAGGTCAATGTACAGATTATCCAGATTAGTGTAATAAATACATTTAATGTTTATAAATACCGGTGTAGTCTGACAAAAAATTCGGTAGAAAGACTTTGACAAGGGTGTTCCTGTCGTATCTCTCCGGTAAAGGAACTCAGATTACATTATGCGCTATAGATAACTCAGATATGAGGTTCTTCGATGTTTTTCAGATTTGGTGAACTTATATTAGAGAGAAATAGTGTTAGGCTTGGAACAATATATTATAATTTCTACAAGGATAAATCATAGCGGAATAGTTTATTCTGAAAAAGTTTAATTTCTACATTAAAAAAATGTTGTTGACTAATAAAATTACGGCTACGAAATATGAAAACATGGTAGCATATAAAAATTCGATATATATATAAATAAATACAAATAAGAAATAGAACATGTGTTTTTATCTTCTTAAAACAGAATATGATACTTATAATAAACGATCATTAACATTCTTGACTGTTTTTACTATAACATATATATGAGGCATAGTCTTAAAAGCAGACTGTTTATTTTACTTCCAATGCTATGAAATGTTTTAATATTTATTTATATAAGAATAGTGATGATTAGTTTTATGATTGTAAAATTGATTATTGGTCGTAAGATTGTTTTGTTAATCTTGGTTAATCATTTGCGAAGTTAACCCTGATAGTAACAGTTTCTTGCAAACGATCGCTCCTAAAGCTAATAGCCAATAATATTAATTGTTGCGCAGAAGATGTTTCCAGATGATAAAATTGTGGCAAATACTGAAAATGTTAACGTAAACGTACTAGAGGACAGTGGAAGAGAATCACCACTATTGTCACCCAATACAAAAATTATTACTGCAATTGAAGGAATACCGAGTACTGCATTTACGTGGCGATTATATGTAAATGATCTCATGGAAACCAAGAGGAAACGCAAAGATCGAGTAGCACGCGATTCCGAAACATTACCCGAATTTTTGGAACGATTTCCGTTAAGTGGTAAATTTTCAATATAAATTCAATATAATATATTTTCCGATAATTGTATTAATTGTTTTAAGATCATGCAGAATCTGTATGTTATATTTAATTAATTTTTGTACTCAATCGTAATAAGATGTTAATAATATTAAATTAATCTTACCTAGAATTACAGATAATTTTTTTAATAAAAAAAAAAATAGATAAAATCAACAGTCCTTAAAAATTTACTATGTACGTTTATATAAATTATCATTATATATATAAATATAGATATTTATAAACATATGCATATACCTATCAGGTAGAACAAATGCTATTCTTAGAAAGGATTTTTATTTGTAACCACAATTTTTAAATTGACGCTATTCAGGGAGATATCTATAAATTAAGATCTACCTGTCTTTTTAAAAAGTCACTATATAAGATCAAATATCAGAGCCTAGTCATCACAGTATCCTTAAGACTCTTGTTGGGAAGCAACGAAGATATTATAATTTTTAACGTACATAAAATTTATTTGAAGCGAAGATGTTTTTAGATGACCAAAATTTGCCAAATCCTGAAAACGATTATGCGAACATAGTACCGGACTCGATTGGAATGGAATCACCACCATGGACTCCAATATCAAATAATATCAATACAATTGAAAATTTACCGTGTTCTGCACTCAACTGGAAAATTTATTTAGAAGATCTCATGAAAGCGAAGAAGGAACGTCAGAAGCGAATAGAACGGGAATCGGAAAAAGTATCTGAATTTCTGAAACGTTTTCCCTTAGTTGATGATTTTGCATTGTAAATTATATTTGAAAATTTGACCATAAATTTTAATAATTAAATACATTTGTTCCTAAATATTCAAAATATATAATATATTAACTTGTAAAAATAAAAAAAATCTTCGAATATTATTAATATATTAAATAAATATAAAATTTTCTTCTGTTCAAAATCAAAATAAACTAATGTTTTAATAATTTTTACATAATTCTGATGAAATATTAAATATGTCTGGAAAGATGATAAAAAACTGTCGTCTTCTCTTATTGACCTCTGATTGTTAGTTTTCCTTTTAAATGTTTATGACGAGGAAGAATTCGATTCAGAGATTATCCATACTTGCAAATATTAGTAAGGTCATATCAGCATAGATCGTAAAAGAAAAACAATGAGACTACATATAGCAATAAAATGTTTATAGAGAAATTCTTAAGAATTTTTTATTTTTAATATTTGTTATACAAAGAAATATTGTAGGAAGTAGAAGTTATTGCCTAATTAGAGGGAAGCTAAATTAAAATTTCAATAGAAATTGAATCGTTCTTAAAGTTCATGGAACTGAAGTAATAATTTCACATTTTCACTAAAATTTTATAGTAATAAGGACGAAATTCTTAAAATGATTTAATTATTGTAACTGTGAAGAGTAAGCAGAAAAATATAGTTCCTTAAGTAGAAGTAAGTTAAGATGGTTTCATTTAAGACTTGCTCCATTTTAATATTGATAACAGGATCACTCCTTATTAAAGTTAGGTACAGTAATTCTCTTGATTACTTTAAGAGACGAAGTGTTAGATCTATATTTATATTAAGCTACCTTAAGCACGAATATTTTTGTACTCAATCGTAATAAGATATTAATAATATTAAATTAATCTTACCTAGAATTACAGATAATTTTTTTAATAAAAAAAAATAATAAATAAAATCAACAGTCCTTAAAAATTTACTACGTACGTTTATATAAATTATCATTATATATATTTATAAATATATAGATATTAGATATATAGATATATAGATATTTATAAATATATGCATATACCTATCAGGTAGTACAAATGTTATGCTTAGAAAGGATTTTTATTTGTAACCACAATTTTTAAATAAACGATATTCAGGGAGATATCTATAAATTGTGATCTACCTGTCTTTTTAAAAAGTCACTATAAAAGATCAAATATCAGAGCCTAGTTATCACAGTATCCTTAAAACTCTTGTTGGGAAGCAACGAAGATATTATAATTTTTAACGTACATAAAATTTATTTGAAGCGAAGATGTTTTTAGATGACCAAAATTTGCCAAATCCTGAAAATGATTATGCGAACATAGTACCGGACTCGATTGGAATGGAATTACCACCATGGACTCCAATATCAAATAATATCAATACAATTGAAAATTTACCGTGTTCTGCACTCAGCTGGAAAAGTTATTTAGAAGATCTCATGAAAGCGAAGAAGGAACGTCAGAAGCGAATAGAACGGGAATCGGAAAAAGTATCTAAATTTCTGAAACGTTTTCCCTTAGTTGATGATTTTGCATTGTAAATTATATTTGAAAATTTGACCATACATTTTAATAATTAAATACATAGTAGTAGTATTTCTTTTATTAAATTTAGGTTATATTTACATTTACAAAATTAACATTTTCAATAATTTATAATATATAAAACATAAATATTATAAATAATTATAAGAAAACTAATAAGAAAAACCTAACTTCATTTACATAATATCTAATTTTATCCTTATACGATTATGGCATTTGCCGTCAATCGGGTTAATTAAATACATTTGTTCCTAAATATTCAAAATATATAATATATTAACTTGTAAAAATAAAAAAAATTTTCGAAAATTATTAATATAATAAATAAATATAAAATTTTCTTTTGTTCGAAAGTACATGCACTTTCCAAAGAAGAAACACCCTTCGGGATTTCGGTCTATAATCTATGGTCATTGTACAACATGCATCGGTGTTCAAGGTCAGAATAAGAGAAATCACTTTATGCAAAAAAGCGTTTTATTATTCCTATATATATATTGTTTTTATTTGGTCGATGCACGATATATACATGCTTAAATTATGCCTTAAAGGTTTCGGTTAGTTTTCGCAGCGAACCATATTCTTTCAAATAACAAATAAATAGATGCATAAAATATAAAACAATGATATACATGGTAATAGTTGCTGACGTTATTCCGGTATAGGTAGTTAAGTCTATTGCATTTATCTTCTTAACTATGTACCATATGTCTTTCGTAACATAATGTAATAAATCAAGAAGTGGTTTGTTTGCCATAAAAAATGAGCAAAATGGAATGGAAGGTAACAGTTTCCATTTTTATTTCATCAGATATGGGATGGAAAAGAAAAGAAACCTTGTAAAAATCTTTACGCAAAAATAATGGAGTTTTTAATTTGTCTTAAAAAAAATCACAAAATTGGATGGGAAAACAAAATTGGATGATTTTTAATATTATTTTAGATGCAGGGTGAAATAGAAGAGTCCATCCGAAAAAGAGAATATAGTCAAATAATTCTTAATATCTTGAAGTAATAGACAAGTAATAGACATATATAAATTTTAACTCTATTAAATATTGTTTAGTTGACCTTCTTCATAAGATTTTTACTTCATACATGTATCGAAGATTATTTGTAAATATGATATTCTGAGTATATACATATATGTAAACAAAATGTTTCTATTATTTATAAAAATTTCAAGTGTTTTACAAGCGACGTTAGACGTAGCCTACTACGCGTTTTTCTTCTATGATAAAAATTATTTACTCATCTATACGCTCAAGTAAATGTATGCGTCATAAAATTTGAAATCCATTAATTTATAAGTACTATAAATTGACAAGCTTTTCGGATAAGACATTTTTGAAGTATTAGTTAATCTGAAAAGACTTTTCTTATTGTCTTATATTAGGAATTCTGCAGATGAAGGCAAAAGTGTATTTGCCGAAATACGTATAGAAATACCGACATCGAAATTGTATCTCTCCTTCCGATTTTTTTCTTTTATTGGAACAAGAAAATAGATTTTTTATTTTATTATTATTATTATGTTGAGGGAAGTTGAGTCAGTGCACCTGAGCACTTTTACTCTATATTAACTGCGAGGTTTCTTCAAAACCCCTGTTTGCGCCTTGACTGGATTATTATTTATCACATCATCAGACTAAGTAATAATTGACCTCAGATCTGCATCTTATATAAAAATCTGTAAATAAAATGGTATTTACTAGGCTGAGTGATTTATTCTCAACCTTTACGTTGCTATAGAGTATAATTCCAATTGATTTATTTTAATTAGAAGAACACACAAAATTATACTGCAAATATGAATATAGTTTTTATATATTTTATAATGCACCTAAACTAATTGATTATTAATACATAATTAATACATTATTAATATATAGTCTTTCTAGTTCAATACAATAATTTTTGGAGGTATCATACTATTTCTATTTCTTTTTCATTATTTTAATTAATTATTTCTTATCATTTATTTTGTAAATTCTTTTAATCAGTGCTTCATCATTTGAAATTAATTAATTGTTAAGTTGATTTTTATTGCATTGCTAAGATTGTTTTTCCAAGATTAGGATGCTTGTGAAGGAAACATTCAAAGAAGCGTTGTGCCCAAAGACAGGTATCTGTCTTAAGTTTATTGCCATCATTGCATGAGTGTACATGTGCTTTCATTACATCCTCGTCAGCGCCATATTCATGTAACATATTAACCAAATATTGTTCATCAAAACCTTTATAAGGATCAAATACACCCATTCGTTGAAGAACGCATTGTATATAGCATGGCATGAAGCTATCGTTAGGATATTCGTGATGGGTAACGATGTACTCTTCAATATAGTGTGGACCAATATTAAACTCAGCCTTACATTGTTCACGTGAGGCCATTAAACGTTCCATATTTAAATGATCAGCGGCAGCAAATGTTGCTATAAAGCATAAACTTATTATGAACGATTTCATTTTTAAAATTATTTTTTTTTAAAAACCGATATAAAAAAGTTTCAATTTTAATTAAAATCGTTATTAATAACTAATTCACTTCGACTTAGTTATTAGCTACTTAGAACGAAACTGAAAGGTGTATGAAAATCTCTGCCTTTTTATAGTGACTGCGAAATCGAGCTAAACCGCTTCGATACGATCGTTACGATCGTTTCTTCAAAAACGAATTATTCACTACATAAACGAATTGCTTGTAAAATTGATGAGTAAAGAGGATTGTAACATACTAACAATTCTGGGCTATAATGATTATAACTTCGGAATAAAAATTATTCCCTTATATATAAATATATAGTATGTATATTGTAAATGTTAATAGATGAGTTTTAATGATATTGTACCTTATATTAATTTTTAAGTAGAAATTTTATTTTAAAAATTCAATTTAATAAGTTAATAATATATATTTGACATGTGTTATATACAAATGTACATATAATAGATATTATATATTTAATAAGCATTATATATATAATAAATATTGTATATATATGTAATAAATATTATAAATATATAATAACCTTCTCTCTACTATCCACTATTATGAGGTTTTGTGAATTCAAAACCGCTTTTTTAGCTAATTGAAGATGACTCGTTCCTCCCTCCACCACAACGAACTAACTGACTATAATAAATTAAATATTTATATTTTACATATATAAATCTTATTACATATAAATGATAAATATTATATATATATAACTTATGTTATAAATTATTCCTTCCATAAATATATATTAGCAATTATTGTAACTTACAAAAAACATGACTAAAGTCATTGATTATTTGTAAATTATATTGACAATATAAGAAAAATATATAAATATGTTATTAATCTAAATATAATATATATGATAATTTTAAAATTGTAGGGTGTTGATAAATCGTACCAGTATTTCATCTTTTGTTTTTGCATTAATTCAAATAATTCTTAACAAATCTAATTTATTCTTTTATAAATCCTTTAAAATATTAATGTAATGACTTTATTAACTTACTTAGTTAAGATATGTATAAGTAAAGTTAAGCTTTGATTTAAATTTTGAAGTTCATAACCTTATACACAGTAAAGAGCTTTAACCTTAACATATTTATTTAAATAAATTTTTTTTCTGGATGTTTGAGAAGATTTGTATAGGAAATAAACCGGAATATCGCATATTTAAATCAGAATCAGAGAACATTTTGTTAATAGTATTTTTAAGTTTTATTTAAATATTTGTTAAATATATATATTAAAATAAAATATACTTTTTAAATATAAAAAACTTACAGAAAAACGTATATATTTAAAATAATTAAAGTTATTTGAATTAATAAATATTAAAAACTCAGGTTGTATCAAGTATAAGCGAAAAATTTTCAGCAAAGAATGTCCGTGGTACCATTATTTGACCTCAAATGGGTTTTAGTAACAAGGCCGACACTACAACATAACCTAACCAAAAGAACTAATTTAAAATTGAGGGAAAATTCTTTCCGAAAAACTATCAGAAACTATATCAGAAGCCTTATAAAAATCTTGAATAAAAATAAATATTAAAAAGAGATACGGTAAGTTATTGAATTAGGAATGCATGTATTGAAATCCTCAGTGCATAGACTATTAACTAGAGGAGAGAGTTTCTGATGACAGAAATCGCAGCGAAGAATAGATATAGCTATCAGCAAATGTTTTAAGAGCATAATTATGTGTAAGAAATAAATTATTGCAATGCATATTTATTGATATTATGACTTAATAAATATTTTGAAGAATTCATAATAATAGAATTTTTTAAAATTAATATTAATATATATCTGCCCGATTTTTGTATCTAAATTGAAGTATGCCCAAATAGATGCAGTACAAGAGGCGGTACTTAAAATCATTGCGGAATATGGAATAAGACAAATAGCCCCAGTTAGGTACTGCGGTAGTTTCTTATATTAAATGGTACCGTATCAGCATCGCATTGAAAAAAATGATCGTACTGTAGAGAGTCATTTTTATTTAAAAGAGTTGACAGTCAAAACTTGAACTCAAAAGGACTGCTTAAATTGAAAATATCGATTTACAAAACTTATTTATTTTCATTATTTTAATTGTTTATAAAGTTAAATTTTTATCCATATTTTGTATTTTATTTAAAGTTTACTTTACAAAATATGTTATCAATATTTGCTATTGTAAAACATGACTTGTACATAGTTTCATATACATATTTCTTATAGTTTTATTGTATACAATTTTAATATACGTATACATACCTATTTCATATATAAAAAATAGATAATTATATTAAAAATATATTGCGTTTATTTAGTTGAATTGACAGTACCGTACCGTACCTTCAATAATGGTACCTTTTATGTCGTTATGGGTACTAGTACGGGACTCTATTGCACCATACCCATTAATTTGTAGTTTTTGCTTTATTAAGTATACATATATACTATATGTATATGCAAAAGTTGTAGATTTCAAAATTGATTATTCTTTTAAAAATTGTTATTCTTTTCTCTACACATAATAGTAGATCCTCTGCTATGTTGTATATTGGAATTTTGTTATGTAGGAAAGGAATTTATGAACGAGAGTTTTATCTTTGATAATCCTCGAACGAGAGCTACACTTTTCATCTTGAAATGCTTTATAAAAGTTGCGTTTCCTTTAGGAATTCTAAACTTATATTTTATTCATTATTTGTTAAAATCACTATAGTATTTTAATACATAAAAAATAATTATTTAATTTCAGGGATATGTTATGGTTTATCACCGTTTAACTAATTCGCAACTTTAAATTTAGTCATTCTTAATTAATTATAATTATTTAGGTTAACGAGTCGCAACTGTTTATATGTACCAATAAATGAAATTACTTTTAATTCGAAACATAACATAAGCACAGACATATTAATTACTTTTCCAATAATATAAAAACAACGTAAGCAATAATAATTATGATATATTCTATAAACACATGTTGATGAGTGAATGAAGATCCAAGTTCATATAATCGTAATTATTTTATTATTTATTGGTGAAATGAATCATGTAAATATCTGTAGTAAATGAGTTCGAATTGTGTACGGTTTTAAACATCGACATCGACTAGTTAGTATACTATATATATATATATTCTCACACATGGATTACTAAGAAAATGTGTTATTATTTCCGTTCAATTATAATCAAATAAAACTGTTTCACTATATAAACTATATATATATAAATAGAAAAATATGGTTTTTAATGCAAAACTGCATTCCATATGGTCAACAGTTGCATATCGAATAAATAGCAAACAAACATAAGTTACACACACATTCTTCATAATTATTATAAAAAATATAACGCTATTCTTAAGATCTACTGTGCGCCATCTAGCATTTATCCAATTTTTAAGTTCACTTTCTTTCTAAAATAGTAAAATTTATTCTTATTCTTGAATCATTATGAATTCAAGATGCGAAAGAAAGTACAATACACCTTTCATACATGCAATCTGCTTCGTAATTTCTCTGCGTCTTCCAATTCTCAGTTTATTAGGTTAATAGCTTAATCTACAGTATCCAATTAGAGAATTTCTGTTAATATACTTTTTCTATTCTTCGTTATGCTTAAACAATTCTTATATCGGTTATAGGTTTCTATAAGTGATGTGAAATTTAATGACCTTGGTAGGTTGTCCCAGTGTAGGTATCTTTGTTCTTCTTTTTTTCCTAATAAGCATGGAGATATCTCTTTTTCGATACAAAAAAAAAAGAGTTCTGGGCGTGGAGACAAGAATGTGGTTTTTCTCCTTACTATTTTGTTGCCTTTTCGTTACCTTAAATTCTAATATATCCGGAAGTACATAGAATTTGAAATAGTTAGTTCATTTTAGTGGCGGCAGTTGTTTCTTGTCTGTTCAAGTAGTGCTCAAGCACCGTTTTGCTATCATATACCAGGTCTTGAAAATCTTAATATTAAAACCAAACTTCACTGTGGATAAATAAATTACTTCGTAAAGATCAACTTTTTGGATGTTGCCAGGGTCATTTGTTCATAGACTTACATAGTAGAAAGTATCGATCTTCGTACCAAAATGTTCAGTTATTTCTGTTTCCTTTTCTTCATTGCAGGTTCTGCATTTCTGGTTAAAAGAGATATCTAATTTTCGTAATGGGTGTCTATTAGTCAGCACTCCCACAAATTTCAAGCACTTCTATATTGGCTATATTTAGTAGAATTTTCGTTCTCGATAGATTATAGTTTGGTTATATTAGTTTCTAAATCTCGCGGCCCATAGTAGATTTCTATTTGCGAATTCTTATTAATAATTTATGTGTTCTTTAAAAAACGATTAATGAAAGTACTGAAAAAACTAATCTATAAAAACAGTAAACTGATTCAAACTATGAATATAATATGGCTGCATATTGTACCACTGTCTAACGTATGAAAGTATAAATATACCTCATATTAATAAATATGTAAAATAAATTATATGATGATTCTAAGAATTGCCGGATCTAGTTTCATTTACCACCCCCAAAGTAGTCCCTTCGGGGGGCAAGCAGATGCCTGTGACTTACAAAAACAATAACAACCAATTATATGAGCAATAACACTTTCCATAAATATGCCCAATATCACTGCAATTATTACAAGATAGGGTTTTAAAAGTGACAGGAGTCTAGAACAAATGCAGACATATAGAAAGAAGTGTCATATCAAACTACCAACAGTTTAAGAATCGAAACTGTTGTGTGATAACTCGAGTAGTGCTCGTTCATAATTTGAGTAGTTTGCGTTGCTGAGCAATACTGCTGGGTTTTATTTTTTTTGTAAATAGTTTACATCAAATAGGTGTTGGGTACCACAAAATTGATGACAAGTATACTCTATTGGTACTGAATCAAGTAATTACAGGTACGATTGTGATGTGTTGTAGTGGCATAAAGCTTAGAGCAAGACTTTCATCTATTAAACATTTGCAGAAACAAACTTCAAAATATAATAAGCCGATTTTTTTAAACATTTTTTCTTACCTTTACAGCACAATTTTTTTAAAAAAAGAATAATAAATTTTTTTTTTAAGCAATAGAAGCAATATTTATTTATGCATTTATGATTTACTATAATTTCATGTAAGCACATATAATTTCATAAACTTTAATAATATGAAAATGTTTATAATCACTTTATTTCATAATCTCTAAATCTCTAAACTTAACTGCTACTCATTTCAAAGAAATTCAGAAAGATCAAATCAGTTTCGTTTTTGGTTATCGATACAAAAAAAAAAATATATTCAAATAGATGAACAATATGAATATATATAAAATTAAATCACGCAAATTAGTTAATTTGTAAATTTTACAAATTCTTAAATTTTATCACAACATAAATATGAATGTTCCTTTAATGTTAATAAAAAAAATTAAATAATTCTTAAAAATTAAAGCGTACAACAAAACTAAGTTTTCATTTTAAATTAAGTTTTCAACAAAAAGTAATCACAAAAAATATTTCAACTTATTGTATAAGAAAAGAAATGCGAATCTAAACTGCTACTATAGTGCTATTCACGATCCCGAGTAACGAGCCTTGTAATCGAGTAACAACGTAGCAGTGTAAAGTGGCAACAACAAAATAGATTTTGTGTAAAAATATATTGTTGTTGCCGCTTTAGAGTCTGATCCTGTTAATTGATTACTGTGCTCACGATTTCTCGAGGATAGTGATTACCCGTTATATATTTTTTTTGTTTAAAATAATATTTTTCGTGTGGTTCTATTAAGTAAAATGTCCTTTCGTATTTAATTATTTCATTTCTATGCTTAATGTAAAAGATTATAATTTGCTTTATCAGAATTACTGAACTAAGCTTAATAAGTGGAATTGATAGTAGCTATGGTTATAGTCTTCCTTTTATTTAATAGTGTATGTTATAAACAAAAAAAAAATATTTAAAAGGACTTTATATAATATAAATGCATAATACAATATATTATTCTATTATTTTAATTTTAAGCAAAATGTGTACATTAATAAATTTGAATGTATCAAGTTTGTTATAAAATATATTTGTAACAAATTTCAGTAAAAGTCATAAATGACTATTTAAAACGTATATAGAAAAATGCGAGTACATTTAAAATGTTCTTCTTGATTATTGATGTACCAAATGCAGCTTAGTTTATGGAAATATTTTGAATGCGCTCTACTAAATCATACTGTTTTGGTTGATATTACAATTTTCTTTTGCTTTAAAACTCAACACTTCTATATAATGAACCACACTATAATTGAATATTATTAAACATAAATATATTTGTTACCTTTACAAATTAATCAGAAATTAATATATCTATTTTAACTCAGGAATGATACTTAACGTTTTTGCGTAAGAAGTCACAGGAGCTTGAGTTTTAGAGAAATCGTTTAAACTGTTATTAGATACCGGTAGATTAGCGGTTGTAGTGTTTGTTAATGTAGTATTTGATTTATTAAATTCTTCTAAATCTATATCCAGTTCTGGTATCGGATCACGCCAATAATTAAAGTTAGAAAATTCAACTGACCCTTCATCGGGTTTATTTGGTGGAAAGAATTGATCCACAATATAAGTCATACTGCTATATCTGTAAATAAAAAATTTATAAGACATTAAATAGAATAAATTTAAAATAATATCTTTAATAAAAAATCTATTGAAAAGCTGATTCAAATTTATTTAAATGTATTCATAATATAGAATATGATTATTAATAAATATTTATAATTTAAAATTTTAATAAATAAATAACTATTAATGCATTTCTAAATGTAAAATAATTCAAATTTATACAAAAGACAGATTATATCTTTTTAAATATAATAATTTATAAATATTTCGAATTTTAAATGTTAATAGTAATATAAATAATAATATTTACTATAACAAAAAATACATAAACTATTGTTGTTAATAGATATTTGTTTTTAATAGTTTATTAAAAACAATAGTTTGTATTCTAATTAACTAATAATCACGTGGTTTAGTTATAAGATAATTTTAATAACAAAAATAAAAAATATTTATATAAAACAAATTACAGAAGTAATCCTAATAATTAAGAATACTGAATCATGATTCTGTATATATAATTTAAAATAATGTTATAAGTAAAGAATTTCTTTACAAATTTTTAAAAAAACAATTATAACAGTACATTCAAAAAAAGCAAATTTATAAAATTTCAGTATTATTAATATTAATAAATACATAAATATTATCACTAAAGTAAATAAGCCTATCATTTCTAGATAAATAACCTAGTATTCTCTAATAAACAAATTTGTTTCACCTATCTTAACACTACAATTATTCAAGTATAAATTTGTTCTTCATGATATGTATTATTAAAAAAACATATAAATATTATTTTGGCATCAATTCTTTTAACTCTTAAATCTTCAAATAAATAGTTTCTTAAACTTAATCAATGATGTATGAAGAATATAGATAATACAGACTTAGACTACTAGCGGGATAAATCAGTGTGATATGGTATACATTTTGCTTCATAAGCTAAGAAGAACACAGATTTCTAAAAATACAAGTGCATTAATTAAAAAAATTATTTTTTAATATTAATATTGTTTTTTCAATAGAATACTGCTATAGGCCAAAAAATATTTAAGTGGTTTCTAAGAAATATAGTAATGAAGGTATTCATTATACATAAGTTTATCATATATCATAAGTTTAAAATTAAATTTGTTTAATTTTGTACATTAACATCTGTTTAATATATAGACATGGTCATAAATTATAAATAAAAATGTATTTAATAGTTTTATTGGAACTCGTTAATTCAATTTACCTTTATATAAAACTTACTTGGAGTTTTTACAGATAAATAGATTGAAATAATTTAATAAAAGAAAAATTGTAATTCTAATTTTATAACAACTAAATTAATTTAGATAACAAAAATAATTGCAACCAGTTTTGTCACAAAATCCAATGCTAGAGGTTGAGGCAAAAATGTTATAAAACTCAGTAGAAAGTATAACATTTTAAAAAGAATTGAAATCACATATATCACAAAATCTAACTTTACAGTTAAGATATTAAGGTGAGAACGTTATCAAACATACACCTTTACGTGGGATAATATATTTATAAGTCATAGTATACATAATATACTAGTTTTTTTTAGTACTGGTTATTTGAGAATCAATATAACTTAAACTTATAAACGAAACCTATTATAATCAAAACTAATTACAATATTTATATTATTTAATTCGTTAACGAATTATATATCAAATAACATTAAAGCCCTTTTCAAATCAAAGATAAATATTGTGCCATCAATTGGAATTCTCGATCGTTGATAATTTTTTTTAGCTGTAATGAAGACTAAACTAAAAACCTGTATATAATAGAACATTATTAAAAAAATTGTATATTTACTTGCAAGAAAAAAAGATTCTATTATAGAAAAAATATTATCTAATTGTGTATAATAAGTTGCAGAAGTATTTATTTATATATATCAAAATAATTTAACAAAATTTATATCATCATAAAAATATAATATTATAGTCAGCATTAAAATATATATTTATTGTAAAATCTAAAACGTAAAGCTTGAAGTTATAACCTGAAGTTATTGCGTCCTTACATCTATTAAAAAATGTATTCCTATAATATGTTTATGTAGGTGATACGCCATTTATATATTATATTATACCACATATAATATATATGTATATAGTAATAAAACAAGCAATCAAAACAAAGCAATAAAGTTTTAATTTTATTTCTTAAATAAAACAATAAAAATTATATTATAAAACTAATATTTTTAATAATAAAAAAATATGATACGAAAATATAATATATATGATTTACACATCATATAACTGATTTAATATAAGTTATAGTAAATATAATTTAAATTGAAGTCACTACAAATTCATGTGAATTCAATATTCTTTAATACATTCATATTGAACATTAGCTACTATTAGCTACAAAATTCTCAATATAATAAATATTTATATAGCTCAACATTAGTAATTGTAATTAATTGATTAATTTCCCTATCTTAAAATAAATTTGTGTATTACTAAAAAATTATCACTTTTTTCTTCAGGTATATTTTGTATCTGTCTATAAAATTTACTTTATATACTCATATATCCCATACAATTTGAAAATATATAATTAATATGAGTATAATTAAATTAACTTAAAATTAACATAACAACTTATCTAAACTGCAAACAACAATATCACAATTAATTTCTTTTAACAAAACATGTTTTTGTTCCAAGATCTTATTAACTTGTATAAATTAAGTTTTCTAAATAATACCTATCAAACATTTAATTTTAAATGACTAAAATCATCTACTTTTCTTTTTTTTACATCTAAATTGATTGTTGGTAAAAGTATCTTTGCATTCTCATACATTTCAATGTCATCATCAACATATTCATCATTGGGCTCAATATCAATACCATCATCTATACCATCGGATTCATCATTGTCAGATTCACTAAATTGTAGCTCATCTTCCTCTTCTTCGTCATCAAAAATATCAGTTTTATACTCATAATCATCATCAGCAGTGTTTATTGCTGGAAAATATTCATCAACTTCTAAGGACTGATTGATGTAACCACTACAATGTAATTTACAAAAGAGTGGGAATGGAAATATAGAAATTATACAACTTCTTTCAATTGCTTTTAATCATAATAAAGTACTGTGCATTTGATGTAAGTAATTCTGTGATTGTTTAGGAAAGCGTCACAAACAGGCAATATGTAGAAGTACACAATAGTATCACTTTCACATATTCAAGCTTAATAAGTATTATGAATGAACTGATCTCGGTTAATATATACTAATAGATGAGTTTAGAGTTTAATACTTAGAATTTCTTGCCAATTTTAATGGTCTTTACGATGATATTAAATAATGATAATTAATATATTAACTTGATTCCAGAAAAAGAAACTATACATATATATATATATAAATACTTAATAAATGAACCTATGTTAGCACTTTGACTAATATTCAAGTAAATTATTATAAAATTTTAGATTACTGTAGATATTTTTTTTACAATGAAGGCTTCAACCATTTAGAAATGCAGTGAAATAATTTAAATAAAATTAAATTATTTTAATATTTTACTTACGATGATTGGAATGTTTGTGTCAACTCGTGCTTGAGCTCTCCTTTGGCATTTATTGTGAAAATACGCATAATTGGTATGCCAACTGCTCGATACGCCCAGACATCCTAAAAATCAATATTTATTTTGTAAATTTAAAAAATTTTTTTAAATTAATCTAAAACTAACATTAATACGATTTCCATAGCCAGCATAGAATGGATCCTTATCAGGAAATAAATCTCGTATATCAGAGAGGCAAGCAATTTTAAATTGTTCCGGTTTGCGTTCGATAACTTCACGATGAAATGCAGATATTAATGATGTTGGATTAAGTAACAACGGGCCGTCAGGCAGTTTTGTATCGCCTTGGCGTATTGATCGTAAATATTCACGTGTAGCACGTGATTGCCCTATTGCACGAGCGGACAGGTACAGTAATTTGTAACCATTTTGCTCGATTTTTGAAAACAATTGTGCAACACCCATTTGTGCCCAATCTTTTCCAACCATTGGAAGAATATGTCCCAAGACATCAGATTTAGTTATCGTACCATCGATATCCGATATAACAACTTTATCATTATATTTCCAACGGAAAAGATAACACTTACAGCGTGTTGTACCTTGATAAGCTGTAGTAACGCTGAATTCAACTTCATTCATGCCTTCCTTTAAATTCAATTTTTTCTAATAATTAAGAAAAAAGGAAAGTTAAATAAATATTGCAATTATATACAAGACACTGCTTACTATAATATCAGAACTTAAGCGCAAACTCTTTTTGTAACGCTCATTTTTGATATTTTGGCTTGATTCACTTTTAGCAGATATTTGAGATAATTCCTCAAAATTTTCAACTAATGCCGATGTATTCTCTGCATTTAAAGTTGAGTCCGTTTTACTTAATGTATTATCGCTCACATCTGGGGAATTAGGTCGAGTTGTTTGAGTTCCAACAGCAGTTTGATCTGCATCTAAAAACATTAAGTGTATATGTGTAAATGATTATTTTTTTAACTAAATAATTGACGTTACCTTTTTCATCTATTTTATCAGCGCTCTTTATAATTGTATTAGCTTGTGCGCCTGTTTGAGGTCTCCTCCAATACCACCAGGAACGCTTAGACTGACCTACTGCATCAATTGCAATAGTCTCATCTCCTTTATTATTGTCAGCACAAGCAGCAACTGCTGCTTCGGCATCTTGTTTAGCGTTTGTCATGAGTTGCTCCACAACATCCTTTATATAAATATTTTATTTAAATTAATTTCTTATAGAAGCATATTTAAGCGTGCATTATTAGTATTGCAAATTGGATGGCTTAGTTTACAATGTAAAGTTCAATGTACAGAACGGCACATTGGTGTTATTTATAATCGAACTTACTTCTGCTAAGGGTTTCTGGAATGTTATTATAGTCATAACAATTGGACATGCAGCAGCCCAGCTGAAGTATTTACCGTTAAGACGCACAATTAAATTCGGTGACGAAAACAAGCTAGGATTTTCACAAACCTATTAATAGGGGTTATTTTTAGTTGTGTTAATATGTTGGATATATTGTTTAAAATAGTATACAGTAATAATATGTATTGTAATTATGTATATGAACTCAACTAATTTTTGTTGTAAATACTAAATATTTAATTTTTTATTAAAAGTAAAAAATGTAAGTATTTATAGTGACTCAAATAAGATATATATCGATTGAATATAAACAGATGTACTTCCATTTGTGAATAATTTTTTTTTTGACATTAGTATCAACATCGATTTTGCAGGAAAATTTGACATAAGTCTTATGTAAAGTCATATAAAAAAATGTTCCAAAAAATTTGGACACTGCAGAAAATTTTTTTTATATGGAAATTTATGCCAATTTTTTAGATAAAGCTTTAGGTAAAGTGTCTAATTATGTTTATTTAAGATTTAGTGTTCCGTATTCTAACAATTAACATTTCAAAATCAAAATTTGTATTTAAAATGTGCTAAAACGAATGCAATTGTGCATGTGCAGTAACAAAAATTAGTGCAAAACAACAAAACCTTTAAGTTTATACATAACTCACATTATATACATGCAATTCTGAACATAAGATAAAATTTTATTTCAAATACTTACATCACTGTACTTGACCATGTGTCTATCAAATTCTTCGTCCGTCGGATTTCCTTTTTCCGAAAAACCACAAAGTGACATCGCAACAAAATCAAGATACCTAAATGAATGATATATTTTCTATTAAATCACATACAATACTATAACTCATATATATATAAATTACTTATTCTCTTGCAATTTTCCATCATCATAATCCGAATCTACACTTTTTTGACCTTCCATAGAGCTCGGTGAGTGCGGAAGACTAGTACCATTGCCACTTTCACGATCATCCTCAGCAAGTGGTACTGGTAATGTAGTTGGAGCTACTTCTTTTGTTATAGTTGCATTAGGAAAATACATTGCTACCATTTCGGGGTCCATGGTATCGGTATCTAGATCAGATAAATAAACTCCTCCATCGGTACCCTGCTTACGCATTTTATTATGTTTTTTCATAAAATTAAACATGCTACTGAGCATTGACTTGTGTTGTGCAACTGAGTCACCATTGCCTTCTTTAGTGTTACTTTTTTCTGGTGTTGGTAATTCACCCCATTTCCATGAAGGTGTATTTGAAACTAATTGCTCTTCAGCCTTCTCATGCGAAAGAGTAATCTCTAATTCACTATCACTTTGTATTGGTGTGGATGGGCGACCAGCGCCGCGGCTCGCACCCCCAACTCCATTGCCACTGGGAGAAGTAACTTCCGTATCACTAAAGAAATGAATATCTAAATCTATCATTCTAGTGTTAGTAGTTATTGGTGTTGTTTGGTAAGTATCTGCTAAGATACTATCTTCTCCAGTAGTTGCGGTAATAAGTGGAGCAGAAGGTTGATCGCCAGATTTTGTTGTAGACTCATCATTGGATGAATTTGTGTTATTTGAAATCGATAAAGACATAGTTTCACTTTCATCGACACTCTGTACATTGACTGACACACCATCTTGTGGTGTATTACTGCCAATAGAGCTACTTGATGAAGATTTTCGCTGTGCGTTTTTCTTTTTCATTTGTGACTTCTTGCGACGTTTCTTCTTGCTTTTGGACTCTTCTTTAATACTGTTATTATTAGAAGGTTGTTCCCCTGTGTTACCACTTACTATGATGTTATTTACTGAAGTATTATTTATTGTACTTATATCTTGTGTGTTCTTTTCAATATTTGTATCTTTGGTATTTTCTGTTAAAACTACATCTCTATCTAATAATAAGTTCTGTGTTGTAGTTTCCTGTGGCTTTTGTTCACTCTGTGTGCTATTGATCCAATCTTTTTCTTTATCTACGGTGTCAAATTGAAAAATTTCTTCATGTTCAGCCCATTCTTGACGTAACTTTTGAGTTGTGTATTCCTTAAGCTGAAAGCTCAAATTTCGACGTTCCAATGCGTTATCAGTGTGTCTATTTTTTAATAGAGATCATAAAGAATTATTGTTAGATATTATTTTTATTATTTTGTACTTTAAAAGCTGAATTAACTACCTTCTATGACTAAAATCTGAAACTTGATTTTCAAACTTTGGAGCATCTTGATCTTGAGCGACATCTTTTGTCAAATCTATGGAATTTCTTCTAGGTATAGGTAATGGTAATGGCAGCTGTATGTCATCGCTAGCATTTCTACAAGTATGAAAGAATGAATTAAAAAATTATTACAAAATTGAAAATATCAAAACTAAAATATTGATTATTATTATTATTATAATTATATGTAATTATATATTATAATTATTATATATATATAGTATGTAGCACAATTTGAATTAAATAGGTTTATAAATGATAATATGATATACATGATCATATGCCAATTAAAGATTTGTGAAATCACTACTGTAGTCTTTACAAATTTGTAATACACTTTATTACACATCTCAACAATATACTTTATCATACCTCAACTACAGGTCTGTGTAATTATACTGCTGACTTTTTTAGAACTATTTTATATATGTATTATCGTATATGAAAATAATAACAATTTATATAAAGCAATTTTAATTGTAGTTATATAAATAGCGGTAAGCTTAAAATTGAAATTTAAGTTAATTTTTATTTAATTATCATACTTACTTTATTCTATCATTAGGATCAATTTCTATTTCATGATCAAATTTGTTAGGCATATAGCTTGTTGGAATGGGGGAAGTAGCCAGATTATCTGGCAACTCTTCTACGTCATCTTCTGGACATTCCTCAACGAAAAATGCTTCGCCAGTTTCTCCCAATTTCATATGAATATCAACTGGTTCACCATTTATTTCTATATCAACCTAGAATGTCGAAAATAAGTTATTAATACATTTAAACAAAAAATATAAGTTGGCAGCTCAATTTTTTAAAAGAAAGCTAGACATATGTGTACGTATGTAATATATTAAAGCTCATAAGATATAAGAATTGATAATAACCGAAAGTAGGTATCAGGTTTTTCTTTTACTAATATTTTATCATTTTTAATTTTTTAAATATTTAATCATTTGCTATACTACGTTAATAAAAATTTTAAATAAATATATACAAATCCTTTGAATAATAAGATATGTACTGTTGAATAATTGAGCTATGTACATATATATTACTGACAATTAATCATACCATTATTCAAATTTTAATAATAAAACAATAAAATAATTTTACTTTAATATACTTACGACTTTTTCACGGGAACGTAAAACACCCAATTTTCCAAATCTTACATGAAAGGGTGAACATTGGAACTCTCCATCGGGTTGTTCCACACATATTACGTCTATTGCACCAGTAAGTGTAGCACCATTAATTTCACTATAGAATTCTCTAAAATTGCTAAACACTTTAACCAAACTGTTCATTTTGTGTTTCTTAATTTGAAAAATTCGTTGTCAAAAATGTAGACTGATTGATAATACCTAGATGTAGGTATTATATGTATATATCAATGGCTAATCTAGTGTATAGAATCCAATTGCTTATCGATGTTTCTTTTATATATGCTTTAGAATCATATCTAAATTTATAGTTGATTTATCTGAAAGATAAAAATGGTTTCATATTAGATATATAATTTATAAGTCTATAATTCACGTTAACCATAGGTCAATTACTAAATAAATTGACTATATGGTTTATTATTATACATATTACTAGTATATGTACTCATAATATATTTTACAATTGCTTGTTGATTAGATTATTAGTTTTTAGTTAGACTAATTATTACCATGGAATTTTTGTATATTTTTTTACCATTTATGTAGCGCTTTTTTTTCTTAATTCTCAATTTTGAAATTTTTAAAAAAAAAAAAATTTATATAAAAAGATTTTCGCAAAAATTAGATATTACAAACACAACAATAGTCTCTTTTAAAAAATTAATAATTAATATCGTAATTATGACTAACACAAATACCAAAAAAATTCTAAAGATTTAATGTTGTTAGTCTGTAGAATTCGTACTTTGAACTGCAATAATTAAACAAAAATTATATAAAGATTTATAGGCGAATTTTTTGAAAAAAATGTTTATGAGGCAAAAAGTCAAAGAAATTATAGAATTTGTACTTGTGTGCGGCCAAGGTAAGCGTTCTAAAAATGGATGAATGCCCAAATGTTTCACCGAAATGCAAAAATCTTGAAAAAGTTTCGGAAAATTTTTAAGAATATTATTTTTTCCTTTTTTGACGGTGCGCAATATTGCTATATAAATATGTATTTGGATTATTTACACTAATAACTAGAGGTCGTTGAGATGAAAAAAAACTATTGTATATTTCAAATATAAATTAAAATAGCTTTTTCTTCACTTTTTTTTATTTACTTTAATATTTTCAAGAGGAAAAATACAGAAAATTTGGCAAAGTAACTGAATTAATCATGTGAGGAAATTTATTGCTATGTTTATGTTATTAAAATTGAATGAACAAAAAAATTACAAAATATATTTTTAAAAATATTTTTTTTGTAAGTTGTCAAAAATTAAAAAAAATATTCTACATCGGAAGTATATTTCATTCAAAATGTCGAAAAAAATGAAAATATGAGTCATTGAGTATTTTTTCAAACTATATGACAGATAAATTGGTTCAAGTAGATCCCAATTTTTTTGCTATCACCTTCCTAAACTTATCCATCTCTATAATGAATGTATTATTACAATAAAAGAACACTCGTGGTTTTTCTTATAAGATTTTTATAATATAATCATTTTTAGATTTTTTAAAATATACTATGTAGTCATATATAGACATACTTTATATGACTAGTACATAGTCATACTAATATGACTAATTAATATATTAAGTAGTATGCCTAATTTAGATTCCAATTTCTTGCGATTGGCATCTTACACTTTCTCGGATCTGTAACATATATACTATTATAACTAATCATTATCTTTAATCTTTCTAACATGTATTTAATATTTGATGTATATTTAAATCGCTTCAGATATACATTTGTATAAAAGATTAATATATAGGACAGTTTATCTAAATGATTTTCTAATTTTCTACGAACGCCAACCGAATTTTTCCACACCCATAGGGAATATTTTATCATAATTAAATATTATACTTAGTCTTTCTAACAACTTTTCGAACAGTAATAAAGAAACAACAACACAAATTTGATTACTTTATTGAAATTCGGCTGACCATATAACACTGTTTGAGTATTGTCAAGTATTTAGCATTAGTGATGTTAGGAAATATTTGACTTTGAAATCAATTAGTTTATAGTCTGTATATAATTTGTTGGACTGCAAATCAATTATTCAAATTTGAAAATTATTTTATTCCTTCCAAGTGTTTGAAACCAGAAATCGTTACAGTTGGAAAAAGTTCGTTATGTCTCAATGTTCTTTTAAGAACACAATGGAATGAAGAAAATGTATTTGATATTACGAGGTTTACAATATGGTAAAAGAATAATTCATATTATAACAATAATAACTCTAAATATAGATAACAACACTTTTGATTTGAAGATACAATTGAAAAAATCCCAAAAGGGAAGCCACTGCAGGTGTCATCCTTGACGTCAATACGAAAATAGGAAAACTCATGCAAGTACATGTGGCAACGACTAATGTTTTTAACAGTTGCTAGGAAATATTTATTTATACTTTTTTTAACTTTTGCCAATTTTGTATATATTGTATGCAATTGTATAAACGTAAACGAGCATGAATAGAAAATTTGAAGTGAAAAACTTTTGCTGCTGTTGCAGAAACCCTAAAAGTGCCATAGAAAAATAATTTACCAGAATGTACATGAGCTAAACATATTATACAATTACCGAATACACAGGAAATTTGTTCATTTTCAATTATTTTCTTAATTTGTATATAATGAATAAATAGCTGAAAGCTATTCAGTATGACCATAACAAATGATTATTTAAATCTATTAAATTTATTATAAAAAATCATTAGTAACGGTTAGGTTTTATTTTATATTTTTACAAATAATCGCTAATAGGAAGTTACTGTACTGTACAATGAAGATACAGATGTATATATGTTATTGTATTTTAACCCCTTTTATAAAAATATGTGTTTAAAAAGAAAAATTGCTCAATAACAAAATTTGACTTTTAAAAGTTTTTTATATGGAAATAAGATATGATTTTGTAGTTTAACTTGGGTTAAATCGACAATCCTAAGGATTCACGTAGGCCTACTGACCTATTAAAATAATAGGTATAAGAATTCAGATGTTTAAAAATAGTCTTTAGAAGAAGGTCCTGAAGGTGGCCAAGATCATCCAAGGTAGGCCCTTATTATTCAATCATCGCCACACAGAATAATAACAAAGCAGATATGAGAGAATTTTATTGTTGTCCCAAAAAACAGCAACAGGATTAATTAAACCGGGGATTTTATCTTCTAGGATAGTTTCCTAAACAACTGTGAACCATTAACAATCCTACGACAAGTCTGTTACGGGACATCTCAACGAGATCGATGTATTGTTTCTTAATTTATTTTATACATCAAAAAATAAATAAAGTACTTAATAAATATTAATTAATACTTTGATTTTTTACCTATTTGTTAGTAGTAATATTTTCACTTAAACTGCGACTATGGCTTTGTTACAATTGTTTTGCACATAACTGTAAGTTACTGCCTTTATTTAATTTATTAACAAACAATAGTACTCGTCTCCTAGCGATATCAATCAAACAATAAGAGTTGATAAATCATTTATAGCTTTTCCAACGGTGATCCTAAGGGTTCATTTAGACTTATTAGCTAATTGTCTTACAGTACAAAAATCTGAGGATTTAAAATCATCTAGATTCCTTAAAAAAGCTACTATACCTTTTGATCAAAAAAGAATGAGAGGCCTATTTTTGAATTCCCGCGGTTATCCAATCGGTAATTTTTTTTTATTTTCACGCTGGCAATACTATTATACACATTCTGTCAAAGTTTAACGCATATCGTACAATTAGTTTTTGTTGGGCGTCTATACAAAAAGTCGAAAAATTTTCGTGTGGCGACTTTTACCTTATGACTTCTATGGTCTCAAAACGCGTTCCTCGCAATGGCAATTTGAGTCGGTGGAAGAGGAAAAAGAAAGTAAACATGCAAGGTAAAGATTCTGCTTGCATTTAATATGGTCACTGTTCTCTCCAAGTTGACACACAGCCTTCACTTGGCCCCCTCTGGATAGTTCATTCATCCGTGCGTAGTGAACTAATGTGTGCACCGAAATCCTTTTCATAGATATATGAGGTTATGTGTCGGGCTTGGAACCCATCATTTAAAAACACCTTTCTACGAAAAGAAAGAGGTAGCCTCGCATCAGGAAACGATTTATTGATGAAGACAATCGCAAACGTTATAAGAAATACGATTTAAAAATATTGAACTTATATAGTCAATCAATATTTTTGTAGTAAAATTTATTTTATTGATAATAAGTTTTTAATGTTCATAAAATATTGTAGCAAATTGTTTGTTTTTCATTATTTTTGGGAAATTTATTTGGAAAATATCTTTAAAAATATTAAGTACTGTTATCAGTTGTTTTTCCAACTATAAACATTTCAAATATTTTAAGTTAAAACTATTTTATCAGTATATTACTATAATAAATAAGTACTACTGTATTGGTATTAGGTACGAAAATATTTTTTTTTGTTTTTGTTTTTACTGTTATCTATAAGCTTTGAAACAAAAACCGCGGTTATAAATTTTTTGCTTAACAATAAAACCGTCGATCATGCCATATTATCGCGTGATAAAAACACGTCACTTTGGTATGCTCCAAAAAAAAAGTTCAATGTGAAATGATGGAATATAAGTTTATCTGCAAAAATTTTTTTTTGCTTAAAATCGATATTCAAAAGTAATTATTAATTGTTAATAAAATAGCAAAGCTACCACTTTTATATAAGTGACAAAGTACAATTTCTATAATTATTAGTTTAAAAAAAAATTAATAATTGACTAGAATGAATTATTAATTTATGTATATTAGAATGGAATAAAATCAAGAAAAATTAATTTTTTTATTATATTTTTTTTTGCAAATAAAGTATAGTTTTTAAAGAAGTGAATATCTTTTTTTTCTTAACATATTTTACTCTTTTATTAATACTTTTATTTGATTTTTGTTTATTTTTGTATTAAACAAATTCAGGTTTTGCTTAATTTTTATACTTCAGTCAGTTTTAATATTTCTGCTGCTGTGCGTAAAGAAATCACGCCACTTTGAGTTAAGCCCATATATGCTTTCACTTCTTTTAAGACTCAACTTAACTATTTTGAGTTATGATGCTGAATTTTTATAAAATTACTCTGAGCTTCAAACAAAAATAAATAAATAGTATATCTAATACACTTTTTTTTTATTTTGTTTTTATTAAACTGGTTTTAAAATTAATATTAAACTAACAGTTCTAAAGGTTAAACTTTTTGCAAAAACAAAAAAAAATGTATATTTAACAGTAATAATTTCTGATAATATAGGCATTTCGTTATTTAAAAACCGGATATATTGAAATGGTACCAATAGATGA